TGTTGCTCCTGCTGTTGCTCCTGCTGTTGCTCCTGCTGTTGTTGCTGATGATGATGATTTGGGTCCGGATGCCTCCTAAAACTGTCCCACCGGGGGCGGTCATCCCGCCTTCGGCGAACATGGAACTCTCGTAACAACGACGCGCATTCGTTGATTTTTGGGCGATCTTGAGCTGAATTGCAGTAACTCATACTCCGATCGCGGAGTTTGTCAAAAGTTATGTAGTCGTACTTGTCAGGCTTGTAGCCATCCCTTCGGCGGGGTTCTGCATTACAGGCAGCTGCTCGAAGCGGCCTGTCTTCCACTTCCGCCTGGTTTACGATGGCATTCTGCTGTTGGGCATTCTGCTGTAGGCCGTTTTGTTGCTGTGCATTCTGCTCGAAGCCGTTTTGTTGCTGGAGATCCTGCTGTTTATTTCCGCTTTGCTGCTTTTTCTTCTTTTTGCACTGGTCCAACTTGATCTTGGCAAGCCCCTTGTGAGTTGAACTGTGAATGCGCCAAGGGACACTGAACCGGTGGTAACGCCATCCGTCTTGACCCACAAGGTCGAGCATTCTTTGGTGTGGACCATCGGTGTCTGTGATTTTTCGCAGCCCGACCCGAGCTAATGACAGGTAGTTAGATCCGGAGAACTCCTTCTTCCTCCCGGTCCCAACGCTGACCAGAAGATTTGCAAGGACAGTCATAGGCTGTCCCGGAGCCACTGCCATCTGCTTCGCTTCGTTCCACGCTTCGACAGCAGGGTTGTTTGCAAGAAGTCCGCCGTCCATGTACTTCCTTCCCCTGATTTCGACAGTGCGAAAGTAGGTTGGCGCGGCTGTTGTGGCAGAACAGGCCTCGTCAATCATCAGGGTCGAACTCTCAAGGTCCTTTGGATTCGGCTCCAATTCAATGAAGTCTGGACGGTATTCCCGCCGTCGATGATTGTAGGACCGGAAGAGAACCTTGACGTTGGCCTGTTGCCCTCGAGAAGTAGTGCGACCGCCTTCACGCACAGTGACTACAGCTCTAGCCTAGGGTTAGTTTCTCGCGAGGAACACAGACCTATCAGCTTACACTCTGCAAGTCTTATTGGTACGATCGAGATCCAGGCCATCCGTTGCTTCACCATAGTCATATTGGCGTAGGTATTCTTCACCCATGCAGCTCTCACCCACTGCACCGTGGCAACGGCAAAAGTTCTGGACAACATTCTGGGTTGCCTCTTGTAGGGTGCGCCTGGAATATACCTGGAATGGTACCCTGGTTCGGGGCGGTCGGAATATTTTGTTGCTCAGAAGCCAGTATTGTTTGATGCAGTCGTCGATACTCATTCGAAGTCGTCCAAGCATGACAGCGATCAGTCTGCAAGTTTAATCAGCACTTGCGCATGGTCAGCATACAACAATCAACGCAAACCCTCCGGTGCTGGTCCCAACTATGAAGTCAAAGTAGTCACATGGGAAAGGCACTCCCACGTTGGGCTCAATGCGGTCGTTAGGCTGTGCATTGTCGTCGAGCTCCTTGACCCTTTTCATGATTTCCCGAAGGATGTAGAGAGAGGAAAGGCCTCTAACCCCTCCTCCATCTGGCACAGAATCGTTAGCCAGCTGACCCTCTTACGTGTGCGCTCTAACGAACCTAAAGAGAGCACCATGGGTGCCCATGGATTTGAATAGTCCACCATTACTTGGGCGAGATTCTTTCGCCCCGGGGTCGAATGATCAGGCAAGAGATGATCGAACAGCACCAGCCTGAGGCAGGAATCCAGCAAGTACTATGGAAGCCGCACCCCATCTTTTCAATGCTGTCGAGTGATTCGATTTCAGCCTCATCCATCTTGTCCGTTGTCGACTTGTTGCAGCACCTCCTTCGGGAACTCGAGCAAGCCACGCATGAGTGAAGACTGGGGTTTGGCGCATCGAAGAGATTACCTGGCGCCGACGACAAGGGCGAAGAGCAGCGCAGCGAATCCAGAAGCGCTGGCATGCATCGAGATGCATGACTGGAAGAAGTCCAGCATCGCTCTTCCAGCCTCCTCGCGAAAGTGTCGCAGCGGTGGCGGTGTTGCATTGGTCAGGCCAAATGGCAGGTCGGTAATTTCTTTCAGTGGGTGTTGAGCAATGCAGTGGAAGCCGCAAAGGGCAAATGCTGGCAACAAAGGCCTCGTGCCCGGTCCACGGGGATTTGGCCGCCTGGAAGTCGGGCCCGAGTGGCAGTTATAAGGGTGCCGTGTCCGCCGCCTGCAAGCAGCTCCGTCACTGAACTCCGCTTCGCTAAGCCCGCCCACCATTCCATTCCCCTCTCCCACTACAGAACAAAAAATTGTCCTTTTCTACATTCATTCATCAGCCATGGGCAAGACGCCCACTACTTGGTCCACAGAGTCTAGGACGGAGTCTAGGAAAACAATCAACGATATAAAAAAGGAGAGATTCTTGGTTTACGAGACAGAAACGCAGCGCTCCAAGTCGGTGTCGCGATCGAGACTGAAAGACGCCTACGCAGGTAAGTGCGCTTCGGCGAAGGATCATTGTGCAAGCCCGCTCGTTGACTTGTAGAGCTGACCTTGTTACAGACAAGAAAGCCAAAGAGCCGACGTTTCTGGAGCTTCCAGTCAAGCGAGGCAGCAAGCATGTAGCTGTGAATTCGCCGGACGACCTTGAGTCTGGCTTGGGGTCAGCCAAAATTGCGTCGGTCTCCATACCGATGTCGATGTTTCTCAAAAATTCGATACTTGGTCTGTTTGGCGCTCAGGAGTCCATCTACGTGACGGGACGGTGTTGACAGCCTGATCAAACTTGCAAGGACATGTTGAGTGGTTGGAAACAGGGCGGTCTTCTCGCGTTGTCCGAGCTTTGGTTATTGTTCTTCAACCGCGATGGCTTCGTTGAACACAGTCCAGAGAAGGATAACAGGCCAATTTCGTTGCAGAACTCATTCTTGGGAACCAAACGAGACCTTGTCTGTCCTTGCACCGGCTCGCGAGGACAATCAGGCCAGTACCGATTGGGGATTCTCGTCGTGCCTGTTTTTCACAATCCGAGTGCTTCCTCAGGTAGGTGCATGAATAGTGCGTCTTTCGCTAAATCTGAGCTAAGAATGTGCTTCGCATGGCGCTAATTCAAATGACGGGTGGAGCAGAAGTGTGATGACGACTAAGATACGAACCGCTAGCCTGTTTAGGCGCCACAATGCAAGGGCCTTTGGTACACACCCTCGTGTTGTCGTTCTTCAAGGTCAAGCGGAATGTGTCCAACACATGGTGGCATGAGCTGGAAGGCCAACCTGAGACGAAGTTAGCACTGTGATTGGAGACAAGAGAGCGCTTGGTTGGGGACAAAATTGTTGATGATGGCGTATGACGAGGCAGTGAAGGCGGAATCACCCAAACAGAAAAGGGTTCATGACCGTTTCACTGATCAGCCATCCCAAAGACTCGACTCATCTGCGATCCGTCTAGCCAAGGCAGTAATGAACCAGCAAAGATGAGGATTCCATAGTTCCAAACCCTTTTCCAACGTCAAAGCCAAGCTGGCCAAGGTACCGAACATGATCAACTCTTGGAGCAAATCATCCCTGCCATCACTCTGACGAGACTGCTTGGTGGGCTGTCGGCCTAAGAACGATCGTTGATTCCGTATACAACAACAATAAATGATGGATAGGTACCTACGGCTTTTGTGGAAGTGCGCATTATGCTCAGGACTCATCTCCTTCCGTAACGGGAGCAGCCGAATTCAAGGCAGCGACGACGGCTGAGCTCGTCCTGAGACCTAGGCACCTTCTCGCCATGGAGGCAGTTCGATCATTGTAACAGGCGTCAGCAGAACAAATCCTACTAGGAGCTACTGATTGGTAGGGTCGAGGCCGGTCAGCGGTTGTGTGGTGGCGCTGTCACATTGCGAAAGAGTCACTGTTTTACGAAGGGACTGGGTTCTAGTCACCAGTACGAGGTAATTACGGAGTACGGAGTATGTGGAGGAGATTGGGAGGATCGGAAATGGTCAGGCCGCTTGTGAGCATAAGGCGGCGTCGTTCTAGTCCCGAAATATCTCTTGGCACGTGCGGGGAAACTCCGGTTATCGATCAAATTTTTGAAGCGTTTCGTGTGCGCTCAGATACGTGCAATGCATTGAAAACCGTAGAGGCTCCGTCACCTATCACAGATTCTCTCGTTCTAAGGCCACGATGTCGGCGTCCAAGACCGCTCCGGCACAACCGTCGCAACCCTCGCGTAAAGGGAAGAAGGCATGGCGCAAAAACGTCGACATCACCGCCGTGCAAGCCGGCCTCGAGACTCTACGTGAAGAAATCATTCAACATGGACGACCCCTTGCTGAAAAGGCGCAAAGTGAACTCTTCGCGCTGGATACTATCGGGTCCTCGAAGGAAGCAGTATCAAGGAAAGCGAAGGATGGCCACAAGATTAAAGTGCTAAAGATGGATGAGATCCTGGGGAGGCGGAGTGCGGTGCCTGCGCTTCCAGGTGGGAGAAAGCGGCCTGTTGACGCTAGAGTTACGGATGGGCTGGTTGGGACCAAGAGGCAGAAAACAGACTGGGTTAGCAAGAAGGAACTTGCTCGACTACGGAATAAGTTGGACAAGCCATCGCATCTCGACCTGGAGGATATCCACGGCGAGCCATCGAATTTCGATCTATGGGACACGACCAATAACGCCGTCAAACCTGCCTCCACTTCGGCTTTGGCTTCTTCAGAGGAAGAGCAAGGAAACGAATATATCCGGAAACCCAAGCCGAAGATCGCACCCCCAACCATTCGGCGTCCACCTGTCGCCCTAACACAAAACGGGCTTCCCACTCTCGCCGTGCCCACCCCAGATGCCGGGCATTCATACAACCCCTCTTTTGAGGACTGGGACAGTTTGCTCACTCGCGAAGGGGAGCTTGAAATTCAGGCTGAGCAAAAACGCCTCGCCGAAGCACAACTGGCCGCTGAAAAGCAGGCGCGTATAGACGCTTTGGCCGCACAACCAGAGCGCCAACCAGGCGATGACAGAGAAAGCGAATGGGAAGGCTTTGAGACGGAGACCGAAATCACCGAATCAGAAATGAAAAAACGAAAACGACCCGAACGCAAGACTCCCGCACAGAGGAACAAACTGAAACGGCGCAAAGAGGCGGAACGGCTAGCCAAGCACGAAGCGAGAATGGGTGCTCAACAAAAACGAGGCGAAGAGGTCATCAAAGCCCTCATCACCCGACAAGAGAAGGAGGAGCAAGGCGCCATACAAGCCGCAGAGCCTTCGTCGGCAATATTCGCGTTGCGGCGGAGGACGACACTCGGACCCTCCCGCGCTAGCATTATCCCACCCCGATTAGAACTCGTCCTTCCAGATGAGTTACAAGACTCCCTTCGCCGCCTCAAACCGGAGGGGAACTTGTTGGAGGACCGTTTCCGCAACCTGCTGGTCAATGGGAAATTGGAAGCTCGAAAACCTGTCTCCTACGCCGTGAGTCGGAAGAAGCAAGTCAAGTTCACGGAGAAATGGTGGAGTAAGGATTTTGCAATTGGAGCTTGAGTGACTAGCCGCCGCATCTGATTACGAAGTTCATGGTACCAAGATGGATAGAAGCAGCGTCGTCGAGCATTGATCCCATGACTGACGTGGACCAAGGATGTTTGACTCAAGGGTCATTGCAATGACACAGATGATCAACGGCTCGGTACCTACCTAGCTACTGCGCTCAGTCTGAAGATAAAGTTGTGATTCTCGCTTCAAACCCTGCCTGTATGCTCACAACCACAAATCCTACAAGATTGTCACCCCTCCAGCTGCACGGAGATGTGGTACAGATGCTCTTGATCACGTGCTGAGGGGATCTGGTCCGCTTCTTGCGTTCCCAATCCCCCATCGCTTGCATTTACACGAGACGAGCTACAGCATAGTAGTCTGTTCGAATATGCTGGTATGGTGCCGCTATCCGGCGGTGACTGACACTGGCATCCAATACCGTGGAGGCTGAACAATTCAGCCTGATTTGATCCCCCCTCTCCTCTTTCTCGTGACGTCCAATGTTCAAATGCCGGTCATCCTCCGACCGCATCGCGTCCTTTACCCCAGGATTTCGCGAATTCTATGCTGGCGCTAACCTAGGTACTTGTGCGTTCACGACCAAGCCAGAAAGCTTGACAAGGCAAAGGCGTCTTATATTGCCGAGTGTCTATGGAGCTCCGGCAAACTGTGCGCCGAATGAAACGCGATACATACACCCGGTGGCCTACTCCAACGTACGCGAGAAGGCGGTGGACGTCAAAACTGCTGTCCGTGGAAGCAACTTTGAGAGCTCGCTTCTTCCCCACCATGGCTCCCGCATCTCCGGTCGAGCTGGAGTGCTCGAGCTACTTGTACCATAGATAGAACCGTGCGTGCTTTGGAGAAGGAGTTCGACCTCAACCACGGCGAGCCCCCTCTCGCTGCCTCCACCTCCGACCTTCACAGCTCGGCTCGGACGTGCGCCCAGTTCCCTTGAAGATGAAGTCCCTCGTCTCGGGATCGTTGGCGGCTCTTGCCGTCTATCTCACTGCATTTGCCCATGCACAGGTTCCCTCTTCAACCGTCCCGGTCGTCGACCTTGGCTACGTCAAGTATAGCGGGTACCAGAACGCAACTGCTGGCATCAACTACTATCGTGGCATCCGCTACGCCGCGGCTCCGACGGGAGAACTACGCTGGGCAAAACCCGTGCCGATCGAGTTTGCGAACAACTACAGCGGACGGACCATAAACGCCTCGTCCCTCGGTCCAGCGTGCTACCAATCGTCTGCGCGAGGCGCCTATTCTGCGCCGAGCGCACCGCAAGGACAATCGGAAGACTGTCTGCTGTTGGACGTCCTGGTACCGGCGCAGCCTGTTTCGACAGCCCTGCCTGTGCTTTTCACGTGAGTACCATTCTCGATGTTGGTCCTGTTGAGCGACGGGTGTCTTGAGCCCCTTTCACGTATGCGTGTACCTTTATGAGAGAGTGTGTGTTGGGAAACCTGAACTCCGCACATGTATTGATCCAATCTTCATTTCCCCGGGGTGTTGCAGAGTTTGACGGTGAGTATGAATACAGCATCCACGGCGGCGGCTATGTCGGAGGGAGCGCCCCCTTCTCCTACCCCGGCGACGCCCTCGTGAACCGCTCCAACGGCAACATCATCTACGTGGGCATCCAGTACCGGCTGGGCATGTTCGGCTTCATGGGCGGCGACGTCGTGGCCGAGAACGGAGCACTGAACGCGGGCCTCCTGGACCAGCGCACAGCCATGGACTGGGTCCAGCGCAACATCCGAGCCTTTGGCGGTGATCCCGCTCGAGTCACCATCTGGGGAGGCTCAGCCGGCGGCGGCAGCGTCTCGTGCCACCTCATCGCAAACGGCGGGTCGGATTTTGCGCCCTTCGCTGCCGCCATTTCCGACCATCCCTGGTGGCAGCCGTTCGCCAACAAAAGCACGCAGAACACGCAATATAACACGGCCTTGAGCCTGTCGGGCTGCGCCGACCTAAACTGCCTGCGATCTCTCCCGTCAGACACGCTGGGCACGCTCAACCAAGCGGTCATCAACGCGACGTACCCGGGGCCCGGCAACGCGTACGGCGTCTTCTACTGGGGTCCTGTGGTCGACGGAAAGTTCATCCGCGACCTGCCGGACCAGGAATTCGCCAGGGGAAACTTCTACAAGGTGCCGCTGATCACGAACCGCGACGCCTACGAGGGCGTGACGTTCTCCAACATGACGCAGACGTCCCAGGTGGATGAGACCACGGATGTAAGTTGCGCGCCTGTTCTCCGAGGATAACTAGCCATGAACACCATCTCGGCCACTGACTGACCTCTGGTGATTGCGCTAGGCCCGATCCCTCTTCCCCTTCGCGGGCCCCTCGTTCTTCTCGCGCCTCTACTCGCTCTACCCGCGCGCCTCGTTCAACAGCACCTTCTTCCAGCGCGTGACCTGGTTCGGCGACTTCATCATCAACTGCCCCACATACTACATGGCCTCGAGCATGGTCGACGCGCTGTCCAACTCGTCGGCCGTCTTCAAGTTGACTTTTGCCGCCGGCTCGGAACTCCACGGCGCGACCAACCCGTTCATCTCGTCCAACGTGACGAATTACCCGTCCGCGAACAATTTGAGCCTCGCGCACATCATGACCAGCTACTGGGTGTCGTTTACGGTGTTTCATGACCCGAACCCGCTCCGGGACGTCGCTTCGGGTGCGCCGTTCTGGCCGAGTTATGTCTCGGGCGGGCAGGGGAGTCTCGCGGAGGGGGAGGGCGTGGGGTTCACGGTGCAGGCCGTGAATTATAATGATATCACGCCTGTCCAGGATCCGGATGCGAGCCAGCGGTGCGATTTCTTCAATAGTAGGGGCTGGCAGGTTAGGAATTGAATGGAACAGAACTGAGCTTAAAGAATCATAAACCATGAACTGTGATATGAAACCATTGACACTGAACTAAACACAACAAAACGAAACTATACGCCCTTTCCAGCTCTAATACATGCCGATGGCATCGGCGGCGGCGCCCTCGCCATGATCACATTGACGCCCATGCGCGCCGTCGCTATGCCCTCGTGCCTGGATTGTCGTCGACGACGACCCCTCCCTCCCTCTCCAGGCGCCCCACTTTTTTTGTCCTTTCTTTTTCTTCCTTTTCTTGCCGAAGCCCGTCCTCCGCATCACATCCCTTGGTTTTTGAAGTCGCCGCCACTCACACGCCTTATCGCCGACGCCCGCCGTGCTGTGCCCGCCTTAGTCGTCGTCGCCGTGCACGGCGATCCACTCGCTGCACGGGCACAGCACGTCGGCGTACCGGCCGCACAGCTTGCTGCACCAGCAAAAGGCCCAGCACACGCACACCCGTGCGGCGAGGTATTCCTCCAGGCTCATGAACCCCTGATAGTATCTGTACTCGCCGACGCTGACGCCCTCGAGCCTGGCGGCGGCGCATTCGCGGTGGAGTTCGCGGCGGAGCATGGCCTGCGTGGGGGTGCGCAGGATCGAGACGCGGGGCGAACACGCGTACGACTGTGTGGCATTCTCGGCGTGCTTAAGGGCCAGGTCGCGCACGGGCAGCGCGGCGAGCATGGCGGGTGTGTATTCGCAAGCTGGGTATGTCGGGTCTGCCACAAAGTTGGTGTGGCTGAACAGGCCGTTGGGGTGGTTGGCGTCGCCGGCCGTGAAGAGTTCAGGGGCGGCTAGGGTGGCACGCACGCCGAGGTACTCGGCTTCGTATGATTCGAACTGGCCTGGAAAGCCTGTCAGGGACGTGGTGAGGCGTTTGTGTTTGAGGGAGAGGACGGATGCCGTGTCTTCATGGCCATCATCTTCGGCGTCGGTGATATCTGTGTCTGTGTGGTTGTCGATGTCTGAAGAGTTGGGAGTGTTGGGGCTGGTGAGGTCAACTGAGGATGGACTCGAGATGGAACCGCAGACGGAGGCGGCGCGGGAGGGACTGCTGAGGTCTTGGTCTGGCTGAGTCTCGGTCACGCGGACCTTCTTCGTCGGGAGGAGATTGATGTTGTAGTCTGGGTGCAGGTTAGTTGGCTGGTCAGAATGTCACATCAGGAAGAGAGTCATACTGTCATCAGACTTGGGCTGATTGATGGTGGATTTGGTGACGAATGAGTCTCGTGCGCTTCGCTTGTTGGCTCGATTTTTCTTGCTGATACGGCCTGTGTGATTGTGATGATGTGACTTGTTCTTCGTGCGAATGGTCAACGGGCGAGGTGCGCGGACTGGAGACTGAATGGTTTGGACAGCCGGACCGGTGATGATGGGGGTGACGGTTTGATAGGAATCCGGGAACGAAGGATCTTGAAGGCGGACCTTATTCTTCTGTGACTTGGGCTGAAGAATGTGCTTTGTGCCGTTGAAGTGGTCCGGAATTGTGGTGTTGCTGTGTTGGACCGCGAGCTCTTCAGAGGCTGAAGCGGTGGATTTAACGAGAGTCTCTTTGTCGTTTCGCCACAATTGAGGCCAGTCCTCGAGCCCTTCGCGACGGTCGACGAAGCCTTCTTCATCCACGACAGGGACGTGATCAGGGCTGGGTGCTTCCTTGACTTCGATACCACCAAAGAAATCCTCTGTAGCCTTTTCTCCTTCAAGGTCGTCGGCAAGGGTAGCCAGGTCAAGGGCGCCTTCGAGGCTGGTACCAAGAGCTGCAAAGTGATTGTCGATCATATCTGGATTTGTGGGTTAGTGAATAGGTTACAATGAGTCTCCGAAAGGGTATCTGCAGTTCGTACCTTTGGTTGAGACATTAACACCTGCTTGAGCGAACGCAAACTGGGCGACTTCAGAGCCGTTCAAACCGTAACTTTCAGCCGAGCCATTGGAATGCGTAGCACAAGTCTCACTGTACTCTGACTGAGTTGATTCTGTCGAGCGCTTGTCAGAGACAAACCAATACAGGGCAGAAGATTCTTACCTTGGGTGTTGCTGTCAGTCTCAGCGCTGGACCTGAGGGTCTCAGTGGACTTCTTCTTTTTCATTCCGGCGTCTGCGAACATGTATTCGAAGTACGGCTGCAGTTCAGGGCCAGGAAGCGCTGGCAGTGGCTTGTTGAGATACTCTTCCCTGATTTTTGCTGGAGAGGTCGGCTTCTCTGGGATGGTCGAGGAACGGTTGCTTTTGCCATTACCTCTGATGCTCAAGCTGAGCTTTTTGTACCAGGATTTGCCGCGACGCTCAGCAATACTAGATTGGGTCGCTTGAGGCTCCATGTCTCCGACACGTTTCTTCTCAGGATCGGGCAGACCAATGTAAGGCGCGCTGTAACCTGACATCTTGCAGTGACAAGTTGCTGACCTTCTGCCCGTTGCGAGTGCTTGCAAGGGTGAAGATGATATTCTCTGAACAGTTCAAGGTACAATGTCACGAAGCTTGCTGCGAGAGAAGATGGGTGAGAGTCAAGAGGCAGGCGAGGAAGAAAGAGATATGGGATATTGCAAGAGTTTCATTTTGGTTGTGTGCGGCATTCATCTCGTCGTCGAGACCAAAATACACTTCCAGCCTCCCTGTATCCTTCACTTGCAGCCGGCGTTGAGCGAATGAATGGGGAGCTATTGAAATTACTGCTCCCGCGCAGTGAAGGACTCAATAGCAGGGCAAAAAAAGAACAATAGGCACCTTCATTGAGGCTGGGGGTCTGGCAGAAAACTCTGGAGAAATGGCATCACCGCCATTGAAGTATCGCCAAGTAGAGTGCGATGAAGTCTTCACTGTGTAAAATGCCCGTCGTTGGTAGGCATCACACCCACAAGGAGAACCGTTGGAAGCCTCAGCAGCGCTGCTGTCATCCGCACCAGGAGGAGTCAAGCATCCACTCTGTTCAGTCCCTGCAATATGGCCTGTCCTCGAGTGATGAATGGACTCATTATACCAGCTCATGTCTGTGGATTGCGCCAGAAACTCCGCATCTGAAAAGGAGACGCCATGCAGTGAGGTCGCGGAGTCCCTGCTGAAGTTGCAGGCAGGGCAGATTCGCTTTGCCGGTCCTGTGTCCTTGAAAGAAGTCTCTGTACACTGAATCACGGAATGCCTCCGTCTCAAGTCGTAATAGACTCCGACTTCTCATGTGAGCTGGTATCCCTCCCAAGGTCAGTGAGTTTGGTCCGATTCATGCTGACAGCTTTATCTGAAACACGACCACCGAGTCATTGTCGATATAGCCGTCTACCAGTACACCTACGCCTTCTTGCTAAGCCCGGTAGCTACTTCCCCCTCGTCAGATTACCTCATCTGGCGTGGCAGTGACTTGTTCCGTGGGTTCTGAAGCAAGAGGGAGGTGAAGTGAGAGGAGTCTGAGGAGTCCAGACAAAGTTGTGGAGCCAAGGAGCTACGGAAAAGTCGAGATCCGAGGTCACTTTGTATGGGACTTCTGTCTTCAGATGAACGGGAACTGATCGTCTCGCATCCTGTGTTTCAGGAGCCCTGAACTGGGAGCGTCGTGGGATGAAATGGGGAGCACGCGATGTTGCTCTTGGCCATTGGTGCCGCGCGGAGGGCCAAGCCACGTTTACCCAAACATGGGAAACATAGCGAGGAGAGATGGGAAGCCCAGGGGAGATCGTCCGTCCGCCTTTGTCTCGTCTCCAGAAATCTGTGGCCGTGCAACCTCTTATTCACTTCGCATTCTCCAGTTACTTCTGTACAGCTCTCTCAATTGCCGATTCTCTCGCTTTCAAAATTGCTGCTATTTCTGGCGTTGAGGACACGGTTGGCCGAGATCTGAGTGATAGTCCGAGACTGCGCATTCAGGATCCAAGTCCCGACGCAGCCGACCTCGCCCATATTCGAAGCAAGTCTACGCAACAAGAGTATTTCCGGCTCGAGTACTGTCTAAATCAAATAATCACTCCGGGCTTGACTGTAAAGATTCCCCTCGCTCGAAGCTGTCCAGTCGAGCGACCTTCTCCTGAGATTCCTACCGTCCATTCCGCTCCGAGATGTTAGTTGAGCGATAACATACTTGTTACAACTCTCCTACAATATGGCCAGAGTTGGGGCATTATGTGCCCTGCTCTTCATGGCGCTTCGGGCTTGGGCCGACAAGACCGCAGCAGATTACTTTGTAAAATCGCTGCCGGGAGCGCCAGACGGCCCTCTCCTGAAAATGCATGCTGGGTATGCAACTCTCATTGACTTGGCATCCGAGGATACTGATGGTACGCAGGCATATAGAAATTAATCCCGAACATAACGGACATCTCTTTTTCTGGCACTACCAAAACCGACACATCGCCGACCGACCGCGCACCGTCATCTGGCTCAATGGAGGACCGGGCTGCAGTTCAATGGACGGGGCTCTGATGGAGTTGGGTCCGTACCGGGTCAGGGAGGGAGGGAAACTAGCATATAACGACGGCGCGTGGGACGAATTTGCGAACCTATTATTCGTCGACAACCCCGTGGGCACCGGCTTCAGCTATGTGAACACCGACAGCTATTTGCATGAACTACAAGAGATGGCAGATCAATTTTTGATTTTTATGGACAAATGGTTCGACCTGTTTCCCCAATACGAAGACGACGACCTCTATTTCGCCGGCGAGTCGTATGCCGGGCAGTACATACCCTACATTACAAAGGCGGTTCTGGACCGTAACAAGAGAAAAAGGGCTGAAGGACAACGGACCTGGAATCTCAAAGGCCTTTTGATCGGCAATGGCTGGATTGCGCCGGCTGAGCAGTACCAAGCCTACCTACCGTTCGCCTATCAAAGCGGGATGATTCAGGGTGGCACTCCGGAAGCTGCAAAAGTCGAGGCGGCCCAGTCAACCTGCATTACAGAATTGGCCAAACCTGGCAACTCTGACAAGGTGGATGTCAGTGCCTGTGAGGCTGTCTTATCTACAATCTTGGACGTGTCCAAGGAGAACGGCCTGTGTTACAACATGTATGACATCACGCTTCGGGACAAGTGGCCATCTTGTGGAATGGCCTGGCCTCCGGATCTGGAGACCGTGACACCCTATCTGCGACAACAGGACGTCCTGGACGCTTTGCACATCAATCCCGACAAGCGGACTGGATGGGTGGAATGCTCGGGCGCTGTGTCTTCTTCATTTCGAGCGAGGAACTCGAAACCGAGTGTTCAACTGCTCCCTGGAATTCTCGAGGCAGGTGTCCCAATTTTGTTGTTTAGCGGCGCCAACGACATGATATGCAATCATGTAGGAACAGAAGACATGATCAGCAACATGCGCTGGCTAGATGGGAAGGGTATGGAATTGTCTGCCGGAGTTATTGCACCACAAAGAGACTGGGAGTTCGAAGGCCAAGCTGCCGGCATTTACCAGGAGGCAAGAAACCTGACGTACGTCAAATTCTACAACTCCAGCCACATGGTGCCATTTGATTACCCTCGGCGGACGAGAGATATGCTTGATCGATTCATGGGAGTGGACATTGCAAGCATCGGCGGCAAGCCTGCCGACAGCCGCATCGAAGGTGAAAAGGCTGGACCTGAAACGAGCGTTGGAGGCCATCCTAACAGCACAGCAGCCATCGAGGATGAAAAAGAGAAAGTCAAAGAAGCACAATTCCAAGCATATTATCGCAGCGGCGAGGCTGCCCTCGTCTTTGTGATCATCGCCGCGGCGCTGTTCGGCTTGTGGGTATGGCGCGGAAGGAGGAAAGCCCGGAGTCAAGGCTATGTCAGCCTCCCTCTGGCGAACGGCTCGCTGCGCAAGGGACGCGGGGACGTGGAAGCTGGAGATTTTGACGCGAACGAACTGGACAATCTCGAATCAAGCCGTCGGCCTGTGAATATGGATGCTCAGCATTATGACTTGGCAAGCGACAGTGAGGATGAGGATAAAGACGGCCAAAGGGGGGAAGTCAGGGCTCAGCAATCATGGCCTAGGTAATGCAAAAGCACAAATAGGGGGTTTATTCTAATGACATAGACGGGTTGGTCGTGTTGCAGCAGGATATTTCTGTACCTCGAACATGAATGCGGATGAATTGACATTGCTGCTTGCCGCTAATTCCCACAGCTACACTGAAAGAGCTGTGGAGACAACAACTTGGACCCTACGAAGTCTAGCTTCAGGGTTTCAATCTCAGGGGGTTCAGCACCAGAGCTATGGAAATAATTAGTGTCTGTACCCACGTAGATTCGGAACTCACAACGCTGTTAGTTTGGCTCGGAATCTCCGCCTCGTGGTGTCCGAGGAGGAGGCCCGGGGCAAACTCTGTTCAACGCGGTCCGTGGAGAAAACACATGCTACCTCGTATCTCAACGGACGCTTGTAGATCAATTTCTACACCGATATGAGAAAGTAGGATCTAACACTTACCAGATTGTCAAGACTCCCATTCCTTTGACAGCGGTACGTCTATGAGAGAAGACAGGTCACGTTTGAGCATCCGAAGAAGTCGAATGGCATCCGTCGCCAAAATCGAGCTTACATTAGGTAACGAGGTGGGCCCCCGGAGGGATCCGATCTCTCGCTTATGGTGGGTGTTCGTCCCTATTCGGCACTTGTAGATGCGCTTGGCCCCATCGGTGATCGCAGATCAGTCTTCGGCAAAGAGATCTAATACGGTTTAGCGGGCAAGTGTCATTGGCCATGCCAACGTTGCCAAAATCCCAGTTCAACGGCAGCCACTCGCGATGTCCGCCATCTTTTCGATTTCACCGTTCAACGCCCTTGCATCACGTTGCTGCTGTCCTACTCTCTTGGCAGAGTCCAACTGTCTCCTCGTATCCCGCCACTTCGCGGTCACGGTTCGCTTGAGCACTTGGCCTTTTCAGTGTGAACCCCAATTCACTTGGGCCCAACTCTGGTTGTGTGCGTCAGCCAATTTACTGTGTTCTTCGATTGGGCGGGGTTCTTTTCCCTACCGAGTTGCTGGATAGCCCTCAATTACGGTTCGATGCAAGCTGCGATCTTCTCGCTTGTCACCTACCTGCTGTGTACTAGCACCGAATCGTGCCGCATTTGACTTTTAGGATCCCTACGTTATCGTGCATATCAGCTCACCCCGAACCTGATGCAGAGATGTCACTGTCCACAGCTACCTACCACAGTACACCTCCTCGCGTCTGGCAATTGCTAGTTATCCTGTCACGGGCACGTCAAGAGCGTCTGGCCTGCACCATGCTCTGTGCGACAATCCTCCACACGTCCAGGCTGGGCACCAAATCCGGACTCATACATCTGTCAATTGTTTCACCCACGAGTCCTTTCACTGCTGACCCCGGCTTGTGTGCTGACACGGACCCCTGGCCTTCGCCACACAGGTGATTTACTCGTCCTCTCACGAGTTCTCGCACTCCAATCCTTAGCCCTCTCCACATTCGCTTCCAGCCCACTTCGCAGATTCGGCAGCCACATCCCTTGCTCCTGCCGGTTCCTGCTCCAGATCATGGATGTCCTGAACCTGCATCTTCGGTTGGGGCTCTTGGAAAACTCCCATCCCATCAGGGATCCAGCTTCACGGACGTGGCTTCCTCATCGCATGTACGGGCTCATCGTCCCTTCTTCTTGAACATATTTCCGGCATCCTTCCGCAGCGAGCGGAGCAAATCACTGGTGCTCCTCTCACACCTCGACAATGGTGCGAATCCGAGCCTTGACAGTATTCTTTCTTACCTAACACTCCCCCTGTGCCCTCTCGCTCATCCTTTGTAGCGCCTTTGGACGTTGCCCGTCGATCGTTACCTTTCTTCCTCTACCTCAATATCAAACGGTCGAGTCACCTTCTTCTCTGCTCCTGTTACCGGGAAGCCGAACACGTTGCGAACGCAAGGCTGGACCCGTTGAGGCCGGACGAATGGACCACAATACCGCCTTCAACATGCATCAGTTCCTCGCCAGAAATGCTCCCGATCCCATCCAATCCACCGTCACCTACGATGGTAGTCACATAGTCCTGTCCTTCTTCACCTCATTACTAGGATGCATCACCACATTGGAGTTGTTGCAGAGGCGGACCTCGACCAGAGGCGCATACAACTGGCAAGTCGACCTGGTTGGCGAGTGTCACCGACCACTAACCAGTGCACAGGTTTCTCCTCGTGGCGTCGGCGATCACAATGGGCGGCATCGGCATCTGGGGAATGCATTTCGTCGGTAATAGAGCTATCGTCCTGCAAGGCGGAGATCCCGAGCGCCAAATCCTTTATAACCCCGGCTACACAGCAATATCCTTCTTTCTGCCAATTGTTGTCCTTCTTTTCGCCTTTTACACGCTCGGCATGCCGACAAGGGTCCGCCAACTTCATGTGGCCGCCGCCGGTTTCTTCACGGGGGCTGCTGTCTGTGGGATGCACTATCTCGGTCAATACTCCGTCGAAAACTACACTTGCTCATACCGGGTTCAGAATGTTGTTGGAGCTGCGATGATTGCAGTCTTGGCTTCTTTCATTGCCCTCAGCATATTTTTCCGTCTGCGGGATGCATGGATGGACAGCTGGTGGAAACGAGTACTGTGTGGAGCTATCCTCGCCACCGCAGTCTCGGGTATGCATTGGACGGCAGCCGTAGGGACGATATACCATTGGAAACGCGACGTCAGCTCTCACGGGAATTCCAGATCGCAGACCGCCATTGTCGCCGCCGCATTGGTAGGTTTACCCTGTTAGCCCCAAATGATAATCTGACCGATCCTGCAGGCCATGAGCTCCTGTGTCATTCTTCTCATCGCTGCCTTCGTCCGAGGTCGAAACAAGCACACAGCGAAGATCAAGGCGCAGCGACTGGTGCTGGCTTGCGCCTATTTTGATGACGAGGGCAAACTGATGGTTACGCAAGAAGGAACTCTGCCTAGCGAGAAGATAACGAACCATTACGTGGAAAGGGTGGGTAGTATGTGCCGGCTGAGCGACACTTTCACTGACCCCGAGATCTAGACCTTTGGAGAAGATGAACTTAGTAGGTCTCATGCGACCTATCTGTGGATCTTCAAAGCATCTCGCAACTGGACGGTGCTTCGAGATCTCATACCCGGAATGAAGGAGTATATCGAGACCGACCCGGTTGCGAGAAAGTACCGTGCGGGCAACACAGCTCCCAACTTGTCAGAGGATACGATCGACGGCTCGCTCAATTTCGCCCCAATATTCAAACAGCTGTTCTGTGTGGCTGCGCAGCAGTTGGCCAACTTGACTCACGAGCCCTTGGAGAAACTGGGGGTATTGTTTGAAGAACCGCTGGAGACCGGAGCTGCCCCTGCCACCACAAACACACGTACTGGTGGTAGACCACTGTCGGCAAAAGGGTTCGACAACGGTCCCGACGCGGAGATTGGGATCTCATCCCCAACTACGGCTGCTAAAGGGAAATATTTCTTCCTCCATCGCCAGATCAGCAAGGCCGAAGCGGCCAGATTTGCAGCACTCGGTTATCGCTTCGCCACCGTTGGCCAGATCGCAGAGCCACTCGCTAAGAGCATGCAGGTCCATCGGGACAGGTTGGTGTCGCGGATCGAGCGTATGAAATTGAGTGCTTCGCCTGAACACCTCCTGCCGCCTGGAGTGCATCTGGCATGCTTCATGCTGCGTCCTAGCATGTACAAGAGTTTTGATGTCCTTGTGCCAGCTAGTTCACAGAACCAGCTGCCGTATGTGACGGTGCAGTCGGGCGATCTATCAGCGGATCAATTTGCAGAGTTGCAACGCTTCGATGATCTTAGCATCAGTGAAATTTTGAGGGTGTTGGTAAACAGGTCCAACACAACCCAAATTGGCGAGGAGATCCGGTGGCAGCTGTACAACACTTTCGTCAAACTCGTCGACGTCCTTGGTGATTATGACAGCATGATGCAGGCCAAGTTTTCTGCCAAAGCCTTTCAGATCCCATGCCGACAAAGCACCACGGCGACCTCCACACGAAGCTGTACCTTATTGACAGTTCGGGTGTTGAGAAGTATACATGCCGCACCAACAAAAAAGGAACTAACATACGTTCCCCTGTCGTTCTTCAGTGCGCAGCAGCAGATCCAAGCGTGCGAAAAAGATGACGGATTCGAGCAGACAGTTAGAGCAGAGTTCAGACATCCTGCCCCTTGCGCTGTCAAACATTCTCCACGTACTAGCATCAAGGACGGCCGAAGAACAAGCTCGACCGACTCAACCGTTCAAGGACTGGAGTCTCCTCGATCAGGACTGTTCTCAATCAGCAAATTCTCGATATTACCGAGCCGGCGAAGCGACGAGGCGACGTTTGTCGAACGGGAAAAGAGCATAACTGAAGGGTCCGAAGTCGAAATGGGCGGGATGTCAGACAGTGCTCACCTTGACAGGCAGCCGCGAGTGACACACTTGGATGTTGCCGCTCTCAAGCAAGCTGGGAGCAATTGGGTCAGTGAAGTCTTTGGTCTCTTCCGACTGGGTGCAGAGGGCTGGTCAAATGCAAAAGGTGGGAAATGGGAATGGGACATCCGGGTTGAGAATTCTTTTGAGGTCGGGCTCAACGATCGGAACCAGAGCGTTACTGATACCAATGCGAGGGAGATATTCGATGCCAAGTGAAACAGCCACTGGGAACGGAAGTAGAAGAGGTTTGGGCGGGTTTCCGCACAGTTGCACGACTTGTACGAGTACGAATAGCGTGAACTGGAAGGCTCCTCTGCTTATCGTAATATGTATTTCAAAAGACCGGTCGATGAATAGATTGGCCTATACACCGAGACAACAGCAACGAAGGCTAAACGCAACTTTACAAGAAGGACTGTGTAATTACCCCGTACCTAAGGGTACACAATAGACAAGAAGAGGGAGACACGGAGAGCAAGTTTCGACCGAAGTTCCACCGCCGGACGAGAGACGCGATTCAGCGATTGGCGGCACATCGGGGAAGATTCTCCCCCCCACCACCGCGAATTCCGGATTGCTTTGCCTTCACAGTCCGTTCACTTCTCGTAGGCAATCTACACCGTACAAGTTCGACGGATGCCTGCCTTCTGATGGTAAGAAAGAGAGAGAGAGAGGTCCCACCCGAATCACAAATCATTACACACAGCCTCACAATTCACCATGCCCTTCGCCCAGGTAGTCATCGGCCCCCCCGGCGCCGGCAAATCGACCTACTGCAACGGCATGCAACAGTTCCTGGGCGCGATCGGGCGGAAAGCATCCATCATCAACCTGGACCCGGCCAACGATCCTATTTCCGCGAACTACACACCGGCGCTCGATATTCGCGACCTGATCTCGCTAGACGGGATCATGCGGGACGAGGAGATCGGGTTGGGGCCCAATGGCGGGGTTCTTTACGCGCTGGAGGAGTTGGAGGCGGATATGGATACGATGGACAATATGGACAACAGTGACAAGGACAAAGGTGACGGTACCAACGGCGGGGAGTCGTGGTTTGCGGAGGGCCTGAAGAAGTTGGGCGACGATTACCTGTTGATCGATTGCCCTGGGCAGGTCGAGATCTTTACGCACCACGCGAGTCTGAGGCGCGTGTTGAGTCGGTTGGAGGGGATGGGATATCGTGTGTGAATTTTTCCCCGTCCCTTTGTCCTTTTTCCTTGGATCGAGGCTCACGTTTCTGGGGGCTGATGTATCAATGAGCCTGACCTGGTGTGCTAACGTTGGGGTGTAATAGCTCGTCGTCGTCAACCTCATTGATTCATACGCGCTCACGCTACCGAGTCTGTACATCTCGACGCTACTGCTCTCCTTGCGGATGATGCTTCAATTGGACCTGACGCACGTGAACGTGCTGACCAAGATCGACAACCTGAACAAGTACCCTCCCTTGGCGTTCAACCTGGATTTCTACACCGAGGTGCAGGACTTGGAGTTCCTGCTCCCGTACCTGCGGGACGAGTCGCCGCTGTTTCGGACGGGCAAGTTCACGGCCCTGAATGAGGCGATCGTCCGCCTGGTCGAAGAGTTTGGGCTCGTGGGCTTCGAGACGTTGGCGGTCGAGGACAAAAAGTCGATGATGCAACTGCTAAGAACGATCGATCGGGCTGGGGGGTATGCGTTTGGGGGCGCCGAGGGGGCGAACGACTCGGTCTGGCAGGTTGCTGTTAGGGAGGGCATGCCCGCGATGGATGTCCGGGATGTGCAGGAGCACTGGATCGATCGACGGGACGAGTTTGATGAGATGGAACGCAAGGACTGGGAGGAGGAGCAGAAGAGGCGGGAGAAGGAGTGGGAGGAAGGCCGGATGGTGGAGGGGGATCAGGAAATGGGAGATGTGGACTTACCGCCTGTAAGGGATGGTGGCGTGAAAGTTGTGAGGAGTGGCAAGAAGTTGTGACCTGAAGGGAAAAGAGCAGCTGTTGCTGTGCCGTGGTGCTCCTCCGCGTGTCTCTTGGGGGTTGATGGCCTTGCTGAACGTCGGTATGTGCCGAGGCCGAGAGCTAGACTCAGTCACCTACAGCAGCAACGAGGGATCGGGCACCTCTGGTTGTACGCGACAGCGTGGCAAGAGTGCTGCTGCGGTGCGGCGACACCGAGAGTACGGCCGAAATTTGCAGCTGCGTGCGACGGAGGTGTCCCGCTGAAGATCTCAATTCCCGGGAGAAATCTGCTCTACGCACCGGCGTGCCGCTCAAGCGGGCAGTCAAGAGGTTCGCAAACACTGGTCTCAAGGCGAGGGAGCAGGTGTTTCAGTCATCGGACATGTCGGTAGATTGTGCATCCTCCTCATCCATGAGATCCATGATATCCTTGTCTTCTGTTGCCATCAAAGGTGAAGCTCGTCCACTTGTCTGCTTTCCCTTTCCACTTCCACCAGCGAACATGCCCAACGCGACCTCGTCTTCCCGGCCATCCTTGCTTCGGCCCTCCGTCTTGGCTCTAACGAGCTCTCTTCTCGCCCGTCTCAATAACTCCTCTTCACTCTTCCGGATCGTCCCACTGACCCTGACCACCCGAATCACGCACGGCCTCTCCGGACCTCTCGTGCCTCGACCGCCGCGGTCCCTCTCCGGTGGTATTGCCGTGATGAAAGAAAGCGCCGCCCAGACCATACGGAAATGCGCCCTCGGCACCCTCAGAATGCCGCTCGAAGTTGCAGGCGAAAAGTACACGACTCGTAAGGCGGACTGCGTTACGCTGAGTCCGTGGTCGCCGAAGAGGGTGTGCAGTTCGTTGCGGATTACCATGGAGAGGAGGGACGCAGATAGGTGAGAGGGCGAGGGGCGGCAGAAGAGGATGTAAGCTGGCGGAGAGGTTGGTTGGCTCCCGGCGGTGGTTGTAGGAGGGGAAGGGTACAGGATGTTGAAGAGGAGGTACCGCTGTTTGATGCGGACCATCGTGGCAGCACGAGGTCAAGCCTGCGAAATGGAAAATTGTCGCGTAGACTGCGCCCTATACAAGAACACGGTATATGCGCTCATATCCTGGTCAACCTATTCATCAGATTGAGGCGGAGCATTACTCCATACTCCGTACAGTAAGAGAAATGGCAGTGAAGATTCGTGGGTGTCGCAAGGCTGAATTCATGCAAGGCTGTCGCCTGTCTTCCCGGACGGGCAGAACTTTCCGCCAATCACACCCAGGGCTCGGGCTTCATCCTCGCTCAAGCGTCAACATTATTCGACGCTCTGCTTTCGATGAAGCACTTTGCTACTCTGTACACTAGAGGAAGCCTCGCATGGAATCATGTGCTTCTATGAGAGACAATACGGGGTTTTCTACGGCGTACTCCGTACGACGGGGAAGACGGCAGGTGAACTCGCCTTTCGAAACTCCTGACACATGAAACGCGCTCGAGCTGAATTCGGCACGTTCAGGAGTCCAGAGGCCTCGCTTTTGTCCAGATGAAACACGAACGCACAACCATATCCGTGTAAAGTTGCGGGCTCACGGCTGCTCTTGCTTGTCATCTGCAAGCACTGTGAGCGAATCCAGTTAGAAACTGCCAGATCTCAAACCTCCGTGTTGTAGATCTATGCGTGGCTTTTCGACGGAGCTGGCATCATCGCCGCACGACTGCAGGGGCATAGGCTTGTTCACGGTACATTGCTGGATTGGACTTTGACGTGAACATGGATCTTCACGTGAACATTGGGCCAGGGGCCCTTTCGTCGCGTGCTAGAACATGAACAGAAGCAGCCACTTGATCGTGCTCGAAGCTCTGATTCCTAAGGCCCTTATCATGGTCAGTCTTTGGCCGTGTCTTTGTCTGCATCCAGCCTCAATTTCGGCAACGACAAGCAATCCGGGGAAGAAGATATTCTTGGTCGCTTTCGAGAGCCGAGTCTCGAGAAGCGCCTGACATGGACGATGGAGCATGGTGAGTGGTTGCATTTCGGGGTGTCGTCGTTTCACATCACCTGGTCGGCGGCTCTGAAAACGATTTGGCGGTTGTGACTGGTCCACATGTGCCCGAGTCTGTTCTCGTGCAGCCCCTGAATATTGGGACCATGCGTTGGGGACCGGTCTAGCCTGTGAGAGGTATAGAATCTTAACGGCTTGCAGGCCCACCACTCATAAGCAGCAAAGGCGTTGACGCCACTGCTTCAGATCGCCAGAGGGAAAGTTTTGAGTGGCCACGCGGGTGCAGCGAATGGAGAATTGGGCTAGAGGCATTCCACAATGCAGCCTAGACGAGGCCTTTGGAGCCATCCCACGTTGGCCCAGTGGGTGCAACGTTAGTGGACGTTGCTCCTCTCGAGCCTCTGTTTGGGCCTCTTCACGCGCTGGCGACTCCATCTCGCTGCATTGACATCGCACCCGCATTTCTGCATCCTGCGTCCTGCATGTATCCCTCTGCTTCTCCTGCAGCATCTCTCTTTTTCGCCGTCGCTCTCCTTGCGTCTGTCCCCAACGAACCAATCCAGACTGAAAAAGTCTGTTCGTTCCTGCAGTCGGTTTTCCACTCAGTCATTCTTTTGACCCCCCATCTTACTTCTCTATCACACTCTTTTCGCAAGTAACCGACGGTCGATTCGTCGTGATACCGCCGCACACCTCGCAGCCATACATTCCTTTCACACAAACAAGTGATCAGCTAGCTGCCTTGACATCCTTCATTCACCGACTACTCGGATTCAACCAAGCGGACTGTGTCCTGCCTTTACTGAATCATCAGTACCGCTCTTTCTAAGAAAAGCCCAAGAACTACCTTGCAATTCAGCCTCAAAGCACAGAGGAAATAGCACTCGTGAAATACAATTGTCGCATCACTGAACCCGGCTCGTCCAACGGAAACGGAAGAATCACCCTTACATCTCACACAGACATACAATCCATCGGGCACTGGCCGAGCGCATACTACCTTGGGCTTGTGACCTAGAACATCTTTACAGTGGTCAAAACTATGTCTCTCTCTCGAGCCTTCACGAAGCGCGTCCGACGCAATGTCGAGCAACAGGCACCGATGATGCGTAGCACAACCGTCAAATACGCTCCTGGCACCATCAACCGCAGCCTCATCTCTTTGCCAACTGAGCTGATCTCGACAACCAACGTTCAGGCGTTGACGGCGCCTGACATTCGGAGCACCTCGGGGTCGTCATCAGAGTCGGTCTCGTCTGCGAACGACTCCGACTTCTGTACTATCGACCGAAGCTTCCTCAACAACACGGGCAGCGATACTTCCTCTGTTGCCAGTAGCGGTCCCGCAACTCCTGTCACACCTGCAACAGACTCCAAACCGTTCTTCGATCTGAAGCAGATGTCCCCCATGCTTCCTTCGGTCATGTCACCCAGCCTTGACATCCCCGCCCTCCCGCAAAGAAGCCCGTCCCATTCAAAGAAAGCTCATGTTGAGTTGTCACGAAAGCTATCTATTCAACGCCTCTCACCACCTCCCACAAGCATTACCAAGCCCGCCATGCGAGACGCTGTTGAGTCTTCCATGCTGTCTCCTCACCCATTCGGAAAGGAACTCGCACAGGTCAACGAAGTCGCTGAAGAGTTCGGCGCTACGGCACGGATCCTGGACGAGGAAGAGCAAGAAATCCTGAGCAAGGGCCTGCACAAGTTCGGAGTGGAAGACTATCTCGATGAGATCGCAGGCTTGTACGGCGGTATTTTCGATGACAAGCTGGGACCAATGTCCAATCCGTGGATCTAAAGAGAGATCTCAGGATCTCGTGATCCTGCACATCACGACCTTTATGACTTGGGCATTTTCCGGGCACAGCTGCTCGCATGGCGATTGGCGAAATGGGAGGTCGGTCGGGATTTGATGCCGATCACTCACCGTGGCTTCCTCGAGTGGAGGATGCTGCTTCGATTTTCATGAAGAAGAATCACAAGAAACAGGATTGAGGGAGGGTGACACCACACCAACACACGCAACCCTGGTGGATCTGGCCGTGTGCCGCCCCATTGTGAAATGCTAATTTTGAATGATACCAAACATGTTGAAGGAGGGAGACGAGTCGGAGATAAGCTGCAGCTGGCGAAAAGACTGCAGCATGATTCTCTGTCGAAGATACTGGTGCAATCTTCATGGGCAGCGTTGTTTTCTACCTGTACACTAAGTTAGAGCTACTAGCTGGTAAGAGGAACCATCAAAGAAACAGAAAATCAACACCTTTGAAACATCATTCGCGTAAATTCTTGTATTGACCATTGTGTATCTACATTTTAGCCTTGATCAATCTCTCTCTGCACGGATTCTCCTTTCAAGACACCTTCTGACTGCACCTTCGTCAGCCTCAAAACATGACGTGCATAATTAGACCGTATCAGGCCAAGCGTCGGACGGAGGATTTAGAGGAGTACGGAGTACTACTGCGACTAGAGTAAGTCGTACAGGAGCTCAGACGGTGTGTGAGACTTTGTCGCGGAGGAATGAGCTCCGAACTACGCAGGTTGTGGACGCTGATTGAGAGGTACAGTACCGAGTAGGAATGCAGGGTTTCCCATTTCTACAACACGCGCACGGTCGTCCTTCAAACCATCGTAGTAGTTTGGAAGAGCCGCGACGAGGCGTGGCAGTAAATACGGTACATTTTGGGAGGGTGTTTGCGTGGCAAGCACTGTGGAAAGAAGCCAACAGTGGTTGAATTCCATGTGTCGTCGCACGCGATTTCCTGGCCACTACAGAGTACTCTTACCCGCACACGTGGCGGAGCCTCAGACGATGAATTGAAGGTTCATTTTCTCAAAAGTCGTGCCTGCAAGTGCATAGCCACTACCCAAGATTTCGAGGTGTGGCTTTGAGATATGAGGGAACGCACGGAAGTCTCCATTCAGCTTGCATGCGGAAGGTCGAACGCGCGGTTGGTGGGGGCCCGGTGAGCATGCTCTAACCGAAAATAATAGCGTCGATGCGAGAAGGCGATATCGTTGCTGACGTAGTACGAGATACGAGCAGACTGCAGCTCGGATGGTCTGACCAGCACAGCGCCATACAGGGTAGTAAGTATTTGGTAGTGTGAATGAACCAGGAGGGGAAGAAAAGGAAACCTCGGAAGCCTGAAGCTGAAATAAAAATACTCCAACCGCCTATGAGCTGCTGTCACGAGCGTGCGCCTGCCATGTCTCGTAAGGTTGGCAATTTCCAGCAAAGCATTTCGTGGCTGGACAGGGATCAAGTGGCTTGCATTGGCGACGGTTCGGCGAGCCCCAGTTTTGTGCACAGGGGCAGCCCGAAGCTCCAATCAAGGCCCCGAGATTCACGAACTCAGCTGCTGTGCGCAAGACCACGCAGCAGGCAAATGTCATTGTCCTCGCACTGAACTTGTACCACATGTAAATAAACCCTGTCATCTCGGAATCAGTATTCCTTGCACACAACTCTTCATCAGCTGTTCCACGACTTTGACATTTCTCGTTTCGTCACGTTTGCTCTGTTCTTCTCAGTAGCTCACTCTCCGTTCCTCATGTACGTGCTACAACAACAACAACATTAGTTGTCGTTTCCGGTTTCCTTTCACCATCGACACAGCAGGGCCACGCACGCACTGTGGTGCGGTGTCATCTACCATGGATGCTCTCTATCATGTACTCAGCACTCGTCAGGCTTCTACCAATGCCAACGACGACCAGAACATCGGATCAAGCAGGAAGAGCTCTCCTTCATTATCAGGCCTGGTCTCAACCCTGGTGCCGACTCTCATCATCGCTGTCGTCTATTTCGGTATTTTCTTGGTTTTGCGCAGGAAATTCCCCCGGCAATATGCGCCTCGAACATATCTGGGCGCTCTGCGTCCGCAAGAAAGAACTCCAGCACCCCCCAATTCTCTCCTTGGCTGGATTCCGTTCATGAGAAAGGTTAGTTAGCCTATGATAGCTCAGACGGTCCCTCTAACGACAACGAGTAGCTACCCGATGAGTATGTCCTCCAGCACAACTCCCTCGACGGCTATTTCCTGCTGCGCTATCTGAAAATGTCTATTATCATCTGCCTCATTGGCTGTCTGGTGACCTGGCCCATCTTGTTCCCTGTCAATGCCACTGGTAACGGTGGCCAAACCCAGCTCAACATCCTCAGTTTCAGCAACGTGACAGACAAGAACCGGTATCTGGCCCACACTTTCATCGCCTGCATATTCATCAGCTTGGTGTTCTTTCTCGTAACCCGAGAAATGATCTACTATATCAACTTACGACAGGCGTACCTTTTGTCTCCACTATACGCTTCAAGGATCTCTTCTCGTACCGTGCTCTTCCAGGCTGTCCCGAATGAGTACGCCAATGAAGCAAAGATCCGCCGCATGTTTGGGGACGAGTTGAAGAACGTCTGGGTCGCCGCAGACGCCAAGAAGCTGGAAGACATGGTCGAAGATCGCCACAAAATATGCATCAAACTAGAAACCGCCGAGACAAAATTGATCAAACTCGCGAATGACGCACGGCTGAAGCGCCTGAAAGGCCAGCAACAGACTGCAGAGCCACCCATGATTAATGAGGACGAAGAATATGGAGCCGAGTCTGGTGCCGCCGCTGCTCGATGGGTTGGTCCGAAGCAGCGACCTACCCACCGTTTGAAACCGTTGCTTGGCAAGAAAGTCGACACAATCAACTGGTGTCGAGAAGAGATTGCGAGGCTCAACCCACTGATCGACGTGGAACAGGAGAAATATCGTGCCGGTGAAGCGTTACCCAGGAATGCTGTCTTTGTCGAGTTCTGGAATCAGACGCAGGCTCAAAGCGCCTTCCAAATGGTTACGCATCACCAGCCTCTGCACATGTCGCCGCGAGTCGTTGGCCTCAGCCCCGAAGAAATTGTCTGGTCTAACTTGGGTATTACGTGGAAAACTATCGCCATTCGCAACATCATCGCTCTGGCCATAGTCACAGCCCTGATTATCTTCTGGTCAATCCCGGTCGCATTTGTAGGCTCTGTTTCGCAGATTACCTACCTGACCGAGGTAGCACCGTGGCTGAGTTTCATCAACAAGTGTCCCAAGGTCATTCTCGGCGTTATCACCAACCTATTGCCTGTCATCATGTTGTCGATTTTGATGTCGCTGGTCCCTGTCATCATGCGATTCATGGGCAAATTCGCTGGCAGGCCAACCCTCTCGTTGATTGAACTGTTTTGCCAGGAGTCCTACTTCTGGTTCCAACTGATACAGGTCTTCCTGGTCACCACCATGACCAGCGCAGCCAGCGCGGCAGTGCCTCAGATAATTAAGCAACCAGGATCCATAACGACGTTGTTGGCCCAGAATCTACCATTGGCGTCGAACTTTTACATTTCGTACTTTATCCTCCAGGGACTTGTCTTTTCGTCGGGTCAATTACTCCGGATTGTGGGCTTAATATTGTTCAACGCCCTTTCAAAGATCCTGGACAAGACTCCGCGGAAAATGTACAATCGATGGTCGAGCTTGTCTTCGGTGGGTTGGGGCAATGTATTCCCTGTTGTTGAGTAAGACATGAACCTTGTGGTTGCAATGTGTAGTTGCTGATGTCTTTACAGATTGATGACTGTCATTTCGATAGCTTACGCTCCGATTGCACCGCTCATGCTTGGATTTGCTCTCATCGGACAGGCCCTCTTTTACTTCGCTTATCGATACAACCTTCTCTTCGTCGACAGTTCCGTCATTGACACCAAGGGACTTGTCTACGCCAAAGCGCTTCAGCACACACTTGTTGGTTGCTACCTAGCAGCAATCTGCCTCATTGGCCTGTTTGGCATCAGAGCAGCTCCCGCTCCATTGGTCATCATGATCATCTTCTTGATCTTGATGGTTCTTTACCATATCTCTCTCACCTCAGCCATCCATCCGCTCTTGCACTACCTCCCTCGCTCTCTCGAAGCTGAAGAAGCCGCGCTACTCTCCACCGAATCAGCGATCATGACCGGTTCCGAGACTCAGACACCGAGATCCAAGAACTCCCGACACTCCAAAAACGGCACAGAAGAGCTCCTCTCGTCTAAAGAGCCCTTCCCTGCCGCCAACTCTGTCCGCAAACCGGGCATGATGGCCATGCTGAAACGTTTCTTCCGCCCTGACATCTACGCGTCGTATCGCATTTTACGAAACCTCGTACCCCAAGAGTTTGCCGAAATACGCTATTCTCCCGAGACTGAGAGAGACGCATATCAAGACCCGGCGGTCAACGCTGTTGCGCCATTGCTTTGGGTCCCCAGGGATGTCATGGGTGTCAGTAGGCAAGAGTGCTTGCATACAAATAAAGTGACTCCGATGACGGACGAAGGGGCCGGTTTCGACGAGAAGGGCAAGATTCGCTGGGATGAAGACGAGACTGGAGGCAGGGCGCCGATCTTCGAAGAGAAGATCTACTACTGATGTGGATGGCTGCGGAGGGGAGAGAGCTCAAAGATCCAGGCACCGCAAATGGACCTTTTGAAATGGGTATACTTTAGAAAAAGGACTGTCCGCCAGCAGGAAGGGGCACTTCAGAGACTATTCTTTGTCACTTACCGTCAGGCATGGCCTGGCGGGGCAGAGCCGGGCAGGGTAGGGCAGGGCAAGCACACTCTCTTGCAATGCCCAGGATGATTCCCTGTATGATTTGCGATATGATACCCAATTGCAACGGCAACCACTTTTAGCGCGGTGTGCAGTGTTTAGGCAATTCAGATACCTACCAATGACGACTCACGATTCATGATCCACTTTACACCTCTTCCTTTTCGTAGACCGTACACGGACGTCGGAGCATAGGCTGGATGAATGTGCAAAGCGCGTATGTGAGCCTAGGTAGGCGCCAAAAACAAGAATTCACCGGACCAGAACCGCTAATGGTCACTCGCAAAGCACCCACAGCCCCGGGCGTGTTGCAGTAAGTGGGACCCAAAGCCTTGGAAGAGGGAGAAGGAAATGGGAACAGAGCACAGCAGTGGTAGCTAGGGTAGGGTAGGGTAGGATAGAATCGGCCTCGCAGGATAGAGGGAGGATGCAGGGCACACGACAGTCCGATCAACGCATCGAGGAACACGGATCCCTCCTTTCCTTTGTCGCGGATCTGACCTGATCTGCTCTGCTCTGATCTGAGGTCGTTGCTCCCCCGGTACGTGATTGGGAACGCAGAGGGATAGAACAGCAGAATAGAATAGGATTGGATTGGATAGGATTGAGATGAGATGAGATGAGATCTCCTCTCGGGGAAGAGTCACCAGAGTCGAGTCAAGTCGAGTCGAGTCATGTATTGAGTTGAGTTCAGATCAGATCATTCAGCTCTCGGCTCTCCGTTTGCATTTCTGGTATCCTGTATGTATCATGCTATGCTATGCCATGCCTTTCGCTGCCCCTTCGCCGTCGCCCTCGCAGCACCACACCAGCACTAGCAAATACCACGCTCAAGCTCAATGTTCCGTTCTGGGCGCCGGAAAGCATGCAAGCTCTCATGATATGTGTGAATTGTGATATGTGAAGGAAGATGGAATTGTCTTCGATGCAGGCATACTCCAGCTTCCTATTCATGGCTGAAGGCTGCTTTTCTCCATTTCATACCCCGTCTCGCTCGCCGCAGCTAGAATGGATGAGTGCGCGTCGAGAGGGTCCATATGTCTCCAACCCCAAGGACTTGGTGCTCCATTTACTGCTCACAGCTCCCACTCGTAACGCACTCAGATTCCAGTCTTACTGTCGTCAATCACTAGGATTGGGGAGTCAGCAGACCTTTGAAGAAGCGGTCGGTGTTGGAGACGAGACCTGTATTCACAATGACATTAGGGCGAGGATATAACGGGCGATAGACCGAGTGATTACTTACCTGTAACTGTAGGTGGGGTAGCTGAGACGTTTTCCACGCTACGGACGCTGATGTTCGAGACGCTATCTTCGGGGCGGAGGTCGATCTGCCGTGCAGGATCCGCTAGGTTCTGCTTGAGCATGCGTCCGGCAGAATCGTGAGATGACGAAAGCGATGAAGTGACTGTGACTGGGGAGGAGAACCGCTCAGGGTCAAGTGTATGCTTCTGAGACACATAAATGATCTGTGGCTGACGCTTTGCAGGGAAGTTGAGGACAGTTCCTGGCTTTAGGCTCTTGATGTCGATGTCGATTTGCTGCTTCTTATCGCTGGCCACCAAAGTCGGGGCGGGTGGTGGAGAAAACTCAATGCTTGGTAGCGGCTTCTGAGGGTCGTGGAGGACGGACTTGACCATCGCTTTAGCTGTAATGGGGTACTTCGATAGGATTTCTTTCAAGTTCTCATCGAGCTTGCTGCGATGCTTGGATACCGTGAGTTGTGGTGTAACAGGAGCCTCGCTGTACTTATTTGTAGCCATCACTGGTGTTCGAGTAGTTCGATTAGTCGAAGACGAGACACGGGACTGCCTGATGCGCTTCGTGTTCGGTTCGATCTCACTCTCGATCCCAAAAAACGCGGCGTCTTCGTCCTCTGACTTGATTGTCGCTTCGCTGACGACGTAATCTTCATTACCCTTCTCGAAGGAGCCCAAGCTCATCTCATTGTCAGTGGTGACAGATGCAAGTATGTCGTTAGTCTAATTTCTTGCCTCGGGTCTGGCGCTTAGGGCCAGCTCCGTCAGCAGCACCATCGACTTGTGGCAGAGCCTTGTCGGGTTTGTCGTCATCATCGTCGTCCTCATCTTTAGTCGGAGCCTTACGCTTGCGTGTGCCGTCACTCTTCTTGGCTTTGCTCGCACCCGACGGCTTGCTTGCTGTAGAGCCTGTATCTTGCTCGATCTTTTCCTTGAGACGTCTGTAGCGAATGGCACTAGCACCTTTGGTCGAGCCGATTGCTACAGCAACAGCTTCCCAGTCGATCTAACCGCTGTCAGTTTCGTTTCACTCGACCCGACGCTGTGGGTCTCCCTACCTTCCCATCTCCAGAGCAATGCTGAAGGCAATGGTACAGAAAGATGACATTGTCGTCGGATTGATATGGTGCCATGTTGACCTGAGTGATAGTATGATTTGTTCAGGCGAGAAAGCTTGTTGACAGGTTGGTTGGAGAGATGAAGTCGAGGAGTGATGGTGGAAGAGGTGGAGATGTGAGAAGGAAGAAGTGTTCGAGTAGTGAATGGACAATGACTGGCTACTTCACTTGAAGTGATATACGGTGATAAGAAGCCTCCGCTGGGGAATGTGAGACCGAAGCGAGCTGGGAATGAGTCGAGGTCGAGGTCGATGTTAAGGGATGAGGACGAATAGCTGGCATGTGCCAGTAGCTTCGGAGACCTCTTTATGTTTGAATAGGACGTCGCGCATTCGTCATCGTGCTTTCAAGTATTCATCTCAACGTCATTCATCTCGTCTCGTGTGACCGCCTTCTTCGACACAGGCTGACTTCGCGTGACAGACTCCAGCAGGACTGCTTGGATAACTGTCTGGGTTCCACGAGCAGCAGCAATAGCGCTGTCGGCCAGCTCGTCGTATCCTATCACTCCACCGTCGCTCTGCTTAGGCGCACTTCCGTAGGACCACATTTCCACGACCTCATCTCTTGATGGCAGGTATCCAACCACGCAGGTCGAGAGTATTTCATCGTGTTCAACAGCCGCAGGGTCCAGTATTCGAACAAGCTTGCCGTCTTTTCCAAGCACAACGGCACCGACGCCAGCCGCCAAAGAGTCGAGACAATCTATTCTAGCATCTGCCAACGCGGCCATGGAGACATTGATCGCCGCTGCCAGTAGGTTGAACAGCCCAATTCCCGTAAACCCGCTCCCTTCCTCTCGGTCATCTTCTCCCTCAAGAACCATCACGGCTATATCAATCGCGCTCTTTGGCCATCGGTCTGGTAATAGGACACCCTTCAATGCATTCTGCAGATGTAGTCCAAGGTCTTTCTCCGTCGAATCAGGGACGTAGCCTTGGCGAATGCGAGTAGCGAAAGGTGCAAACTTGATTGAGGCACTCAGTTGCAAATTGGGCGAGAAGGATGCGGTTCGCGGTAGCGGCTTTGGCCCATGCACAGCGCATGACAGTTTTATGGTGGAGGACGTGCGTGAAATCGTCGACTTTGGCTCCGCAGGACTTTCGAGCTCCAGATAGGCCGAGCCGCTCGCTGAGGGGACGAGTCCGGTCTGTAAAACTGTTTACAATCAACATGCGCAACTTTTGCAGCGACCCGACGGGCATACAAATCTTGCGGAGTTCATGTGGCTTTCGCGCTCGCTCTGGCCATGCTGCCGCAGAATGGGGGCCCTCTGTAAATCGTGGCGGCTGGGTCGTGCCCGGCGGCCCATTGATCCTTCGTCGGTCACTCATGACATCGTAAATGTCGTGTGAAAAGGAGCGAATCTCCCAAAATGAGAGAGGACTGGAAGTACGAGGGAGAAAACAACAGCACTGTATTCCGTAGGTGATTTCAGAAGGGAAACAAAAATGTTCCCCGCATGGCTGAGAATCAACGCCCCGCCGCTTCATGCGAGGGACAGCCTTGCGCAGCCTTACGTAGCCTTGCAGAATCGCGGAATCGTGTTCGAAGATTAATTATGACATGTTCACAGGAGAAGCGTTCATAGATGCTCTATTAATCCTTTTCAAAGCCTTCATTGGGAGATGGATGACTCGGCTAGATTACTTTTTGACCTCGCGATACATGAGTTTTGCTGGATGAGCAATTCAGCGAGACCAAGCTTCTACGCTGATCCTACATCAGTAGAAAGTCCGTCAGTGGGTCCTCTTTTCAAGAAGGCTCCTCATACGTTCGAGCAGTCTACGCATGTGCTTGCCTCCGGCCCAAGTAACAATGGCCACGATGAGACCTGTAGCCAGAACTCGTCTCCTCAGTCTCGCACGAATCTCACTTGTCCCCTTAGCAAGCCAGGACCTTGGGAAGATATGTGGGAACGGCTCATATGGCTGCGGCACAGGCACATTCAGAATCTCACACAGTGGCTTCCACCCATCCTTCACGTTGAAGTAGAAGAGCCGATTCGATGGTACGACACGCCGGACATACTCCGCATGAGCATCGTACAGTCCTTCCTGATTCGACATTGGCCAAGCTTCGCATGGAGGGATCCCAACCGCCTGGGGCACACGTCTCCAGAACTCGAAGGAGAATTGGCAGAAGCGCCTCAGTTGTGGTGAAGGCCAGGACCAAGCGTACAGGTCGTGAATGCTCTGCCACAGAGCCGAATAACTTGCCCACCAGGATTCCTTGTCCCGGACGGTGACGATAACTTTCGCATCCGGATACAGTTGCAATAGCTCTTCGACGAAATAGCAGCCCGGCTGATCAGAGCTCGCGACGCACCCCTCGGTCAGCTGCGCGAGGCGATACAGCACGAAGGTCCGGTCGACCAGCGTTTTTGTCGGACAATGCAGCGCAAGCTCGAGCATCTGTTGTTGCAGGTGGGCGTCGCCGGTATATGAGGCGGACCCACCGTCGAAGACTTTGCCTTTGAGCAGTATCTCGAGCGCTCTAGTCATGGACGTGGTGCCTGTCCTAGGCAACCCGGCTACTATGACTTTGAGCGTCGACTCTGTTGTAGCAATGTCGGTTGCCATGATTTCAGTCGACCGTGCTGCAGCTATAGCCCCGTGGTATTTGTCCTCATTTTCATGTTTATATGCGATTGGTTCGTTCGTCGATCGTTCACGCTGACAGTATGAGGAGGTGAGAAGTCTATGTTAACCACATCCTTGTCATCGACATAAGCTCGGCACAATTCGGCCGCAGTTTCTCCGCAGGATATCCTCCTATTCTTACCCTTGCTTTACCAAACCATGTCGTGCAACGCAGAAACAGCTTGTTTCAAGATACAATAGATGATACACAAGCACACCTGCCTTGAGAAGGTACCAATTGACGGAGCCTCACCACCGCCGGCCTACCGAATGGAGGTGACAAATTCCCATAGCACGGCGTGAACAGTTATAAGCATCAGAAACTCAGGCGCACCTAGTATGGGATCGGCACATATCGAACGGACTCACCCCAACATTGATACTAGCAACGAGGCGGTACCGCCCACAGCTACCATGAGTGTACGAATTACGAGTATTGCGGCTGTCAAAGAGTGTATTGTTTAGTTGTGTACTGGATCTCCCAGTAATCGTAGACGGCTTGTCAATCAACAGGTGTGCCTGTCAGACAACAAGACCTGAAGCGGGCAGTGCGGGCAAATTGTACTCCTTGGACATCGCACAGTCCTTCAATCCGTTCTTCGATGCCCAACCGAAAGTATTGATGTCCACAGACATTGTGCATTCGTCCGTTCCAACTTCGGCATCAGTCCCTTTCCGTCGTATCACCGATAGCTTACATGGACGTGATCCCTGTAAGAGATCAGCACAATCAGACCCCGTATCGATTCGGCTCCAGCTCAAACAGCAACAAGTCGTGGAAGAGCACTTACCAATGGTTAGCCGTGTTGTCCCCTCTATCGCCCTTCACACAATTTGGGATGACTGTGCATTGCTGATATCGCCATTGACTCCACGGCTTGACGCTGTCTTGGCTCACTTCCCAGATTCTTTGCCCCCACATCACGTATTTGAGAGAAAGGTCGCTCGCGTGGTTCATCACCCACTCCGCGATAGGTTCGCCAGCTATCGTTTTACCCTTTGGTCACGGGTCAGTACCAGAAAGGAATAATTGCCGTCGCGGAACTCAAGGGAAAAGTACTCACTCCGGCTTCCGTCACCATCATATCAGTTGCCATGCCAGTGCAATGATCGCTTGAGCTCGGGTCGTCACAGTTCCTGATGCATCCGATTTCCTTGACCTTGCCTGGGAATGCATTGACGATAGCCTTCGCTCCATCAATGGCCTTCTGCTTACAGCCTGAGCTAGTGCTGGGGAGTTGCGGCCCACTGCCAGCAGGCATGCAGCACTTGAAGTTAGCAGGCCCGGGGCACTGGTTCGTTTCGGTGTTGCCGGAGCTGCAGGAAGAGGTGAAGCGACAATTTCCTTTGTTACCGGTTCCACAGGCGGTTTTGTTGCAGCACTTGATGTCCTCAGGTGTTCCCGGGCAGGCGCCAGAGATGTACTTTCCCCCGGCAGAGATGCAGGATGAGGTCGAGATGCAGACGCCGGGAGCCCCTCCGGAGCCAGTGCATGCGCCGTTGACTTCAGAACGAGCTAAGAGGAGGGACGATGCATCGCCGCCGGTCAGGAAGAGATGAAGGACGGTGAGAACAAGTGTTGGAAGCATCTTGAGGAGAGGCGATGTAATTGCTTGGCGACAAAAGTATGGGCTGTTTTGACTTCGGGGGTGTCTGTTGAACTTGCACTTCAGCTACCTGCTCGTCCGTGGGCAGGTAGTTTTATATGTTTTCTCGAGTGCAGTGGCACCCTTGCAATTGAGATTTGGGAAGCATGCCTTGTTCTTTTGTGCAAGGGGGAAACAGGGTTGAAGTCCATGGTGTTCGCTGTGCATCAATGATAATTGCCGACCATCCTTGTATTCGTCAAACTCGCACGATTCAAACCCAAAGCCCGCATTCACTTCCACCTGGCGAATGTATCCTCCCGCCTATAACCCGAATACGAGCATGGTGATTGGTGTAGCACAGTCCTGCGAGCCTTGGCTACCGTAATGCAAGGCTGAAAGCCAGCATTCCAGCATCCTGGCGGCGTCGACGGTGACACAGCCAAGAAAAATTCAGCCTTCCTGTCCAGGTCGATTTGTCAAGCCAGGCAAGACAGGAGAGCGTCAAAGTTGCTTTTGCCCAGTGGACGTACAGCCGTCCTCTTCAGGCAGCCTCTCCCTTAAAGCACCGCCCACCTTTCAACACACTGCCTCCCCCTTTACGTATTCCCTACCTGTTAACTGACCCCATCCCCGTTGATGGCGATGGCTGTACCCACGAGTTCGAACCATTTTCCTCAAGATGGAACCAGCACCAGCTGCCTAATCAGTGTAAGCAGGGAAGTGGTACTGTGCTGGTATAGCCGTGGAGAAAGAGAGCCCCCCAGTTTGGTTGGCAGAGGTTTGTGTCCCCATGTGGGAATATATCCTGATGGCAGACGACGTGTCAACTTTAGGACCATCGTTTCGGGCTGCATCGTTCATGCACTATGCGCGGGAGACTATGGCATCAGGCTGATTACTGTAGAAGAGCTGGTGACCGGCCGAAGAGATGAAATTCACGTCAAGAGCAAGACACCTGCAAGAGCATGGCGCGCTAGCCCGACTGACACACGCGGCTAGGCCACATCCGGATAGCGTTGCCAAGCCACAAGCTAATTTGTCGAGCGCAATTTCAGATTTCTTTCACTGCAGCTCTCTGACTTTTTGCCCTCTACGTGCTCCGTACTGTTCGATATCTCTCACATCAATACCATCAAAATGCCCAACTATTGAGCTCCAGTGCGCTTACGCCCTCGCCTTTAATTGATTTCTGTGTGAGCAGCTCCTCGGTTCGCCCTACTCCCCTCCTCTGATGAAGCCTATCATACTTCAGTTCCGGCGATTCTTCATGAGCCTCGAACTCAACATGCACTACCATCTGACACATCATTCCCTTCCACAAGCCTCCCAAGTTTTCTTATGTCAAGGCCATCTCTAATGGAAAGCATTGCCAGGCTCGGTTCTTGCATATGACGGCAACCGTGACGGTCTTGTTCACTTCGTGTGCAGAAAAGGCAACGTAGGCTAGGTAAGCTGCCACATCTCCCCTGCCTACTTCCATTCCTATCACCATCACCTCGTCTCTATGATGATCAAAGGTTCTCAATAATCAGTTCTGCTTCTGATCTCCCTTGAAGAAAGCATTACCAAAGCTTACCAATTTGTCTGATCTCCTCCGTCCAATCACTGTCTACCCCTAAATCTCACGTTTGACGAACACCTTTGCTAACCCACAACTTCTGCTAAACAGAAATCGAAACCCTCGTTATCAGGGCGCGTTGTTGGTTGCGAGACGACAAAAGTTCAGCCCAAAGTACGTTTTTCTCCTTCCATCACCCGCTCATCCCTTCCGCCCTGTTTATGATGACACCATGTCTATCCATTCTCCAAGTTCCCTTGCGGGACACCCTTCTCCACAGCAGCGAGATTGTGTGGGAGCAGCTTTCGTATTGAGAGTTTCGGACTGCCTTCTTGCTGCGTAGGGAAGGGGATGAGGTCGACGGCTTTTCTGATTGTATCTTCATCACGTTTGATATTTATTTCACGCCGCTCTTGAATGATCTGAACATAGGGTGATCAAACTAACGATGGTGCTTGTGTAGGGTTTGTTTAATAGTAATACATGGCCAACTTCCTCATCCACCTAGGTAACTAGGCTCTGGGCTGATCGTAGCCTGTATCGCGGCCGTCGTCAAATCGTAGACTGATGGTAACAATACTTCGGGACCTCCAGTCATTAGTCATCATCATAGCCGTCAATGAGCTCGTGGCGGTCTTCGTCCTGCCTCCCAAAAAGTCCATCTAGCTTCATAACTAATCGGTCAACGACAGTCCTTGCCTGCCAGGGCACAAAGTCTGTCTCGGTTCCATCCAAATTCATCTCACTCATGCCGTCATCGATATTACTGCTCACGCCGCTCCCCGTTTCCTTTTCTTTCTCCATGTCACGAATCTTGTCGACAATCTTTGAAAGCGAGGCTTCAACAGCGCTCCTAGTCCGGTCCATCTCGGCGAGCACTTCCACTTCGTCCTGTGCATAGTTGGAGAAGGCGTCAACCACACCCTCGTCATCCTGCAGGTCTAGCCCTTGCCAGACTGTCTGAAGCCGCGAGAAGAGGGCGACGAGGTGATCGATTTGGTCAAGAAGCTCTTTTAGTGATTCGATGAAGCCGTCGTTTGCGAGGAAAAGAGCTGCATTCAATGCATGTAGATACCTCCGATGCGCGTCGGCCAGCGCGCGAGGATCAGTGGGCACCCTCTCTTTGTCGCGGCCGACGGCTTCAGACATAGGCGGCTCTCCAGCCGACGACGCTGTGGTTGGCCTCGATGACCTTGCAGAAGAAAGGTGATGTGAGTCCTTGCCCTCCAGCCACTCGCGGAAATGAGTCCAACTGCTCTGAATCACCTCGCCCTGCAGATATGCCTGAAGCTCATTGACCAGGAACAAGAGCTTGCTCGCGCAGGTCCAATGACCTCTGGTCCTTGAGTTGCGTTGGGCATCTTTCAGCCTGCCAGCTTCCAGTCTTGCTCGTCCAGACTGTGAAGTGCTTCTCGGTGGTCCCAGAGGGCTCGGGTGACATCGGCGATGAGATGACAGCCTCCATAGTGCCGATAAATGTAGTTCTGCTCGATGAATGGAGAGCAGATAGGCGTTGATGTGGGCGTAGATCTTGGCATCGTCCGAGGACAAGAATATGTGCAGTGGCGATTGTGCCGGGAAAGCAAGGCGCAGAAGTGTGGGCGTAGGCAGCAGTGTGGCTATGAGGCGCATGCTGTGCTCACTCGGCGCTGCTTTGAGAGACAAAAACTGTCTGGCGAGATGGAAGGTGTCGTCCTCAAGGTCATCCTCCCTTTGTAAAGCTGCAATCTCCGCCATGGTTTTGGCCAGCACACCATTCAGTTCCGCCTCCTTCACTGCTAGGTCGTCCAGTCTTCCGATCTTTCGAATCGGACGAGCTGTTGCCAGTGTCTGCTGGCGGCCACGAAGTCTATCATCTGCATGCCTGATCAAAGATACCGCAAACTCGCCTTGACCAAGGAGCATATAACGCAAAATGACCTGAAGAAGTTGCATTACTAAGGACCGGGGAAGGATTTGAGAGAGGGCGTTTTCCGAGATGCTCTGGTTGATGGCCAGTAACGCACTCCCCAACAGGGTTGGGTTCAATGGGTACTGCAACGAGCAAAGCACTGTGAGATGGTTCTGTAACAGAGCCATGGACGGGTCTTCGAAGGCCTGTAACGCAGCTGCACCAGAAGTGGCTTGCGAACGCAGCTGGCTCAACGCACTACCGGCTGAGAGTAATGCTTGGATTGCCCCCCGCCTCAACAATTTAGGAGCCAATGCAGGATCAATGATGAACTCATCCATGGCAGACGACGGATTTGGATTCGGTTTGACGCAGAAGTCCTGATTCCCAGCGGCAGGAAGCTTGCCATAGAGGACCCAGAGCGACGTCGCTCGCATCCAACTTTTCTGAGCAACTGTTAAGAGTGCCACAGCCATTTCTTCAATGTCCGAGTAACCTGTATGTGTTTCATCTTCTAGCAGATCGAGAATGCTGGCTCCGGATGGCGGGCGTTTCCTTGCACTCTGCGCGGCACTGGGGTCGAGATGCTGGACTACTGACCATAGCCACTCCAACCGTCTAGTCCAGGGTGAAAACTCGGCCACGATGGTGCTCAAAGGCACGATCTCATACGCTGCCACGTATCCTGCATCCTTTCGGAGAATGGCAGATTCCACCTGTATAATCTTGCTCAAGAACGAGCCCAAGTGAACGTCTGCTACTGAGGAGCTCACCGCTCGGCACACCATCGACTTGTGATGTTTGGACAACTGCGTCGTCGTCGTTCTGATCTGGACATGCAAGTCATGTAGGCGAGCTAGGGTATCTAGCATAACCCGTTCCGGGGGTGAAACATATTGGTTGAATGGCGTTTCCTGGTCTCCTTCTCCTGATGGTCGTACCCGTGCTTGCGACCATATAGGCGACTGGAGACCGGACAGGGACAAGAGGATCTCATGAAGCATTTTGTAGGTTGCGTGCGGCGGCAGGGTCGAGGGTCGTCGCACAACTCAAATGAGGAAGGGAAGTCGTGTGGCCGTTGGAACCTGAGGATAAGCCGCCCAACGAGTTCGAAGCGACACATCGGAAAGGATCGAGGCGCATAGCGAACGCGAAGTGCGGTGAAACGGTAATGACTGAAAACACGGTCAAGTCGCGGTTGGGAGAATCACGCGTCGAGAGTGCTTCGGTCCAACATCGTCTACCTGAGCTGATGTTGAGGTTAGACCGAGGTGTAGAGGATCGTGTCTAACTATGCGTCTGCAGGATGTCCCTCGTGGAGGTTTTGAGACCGCCCATGCCTTGCCTGGAGAGAATAAGACCAGCGGGCAGCGGTGTACGGAGTACAATTGAAGCGGGTTCTCGAGGCGTCAAGGGAGTCTGCAGTCCACCGTTGCAGGCAACCCCATTTCCTACAGTAGGTGCCCCCCATGCTCCGTATCGTGCCTGGCAGGCGGCTATTGCATCACTGATCGATCTGTCACCCTGATCCGGAGGCCGCCATCACCAATTGCTCACTTCAGTTCGCGAATCTTCTTGACTAATAGCACAAAACACACCTGCGTTTGCCGTATGAGCCTTGCCTGCGCCCGTCAACTTTCGTCCTTTCTTCATATTCAGCGTCTTGAGGCCTAGGTCTCTGTCACTCCTTCCAAACTCTTTCTGACTCGCCTCCCATCACCTCCCGTCAGTTTCCGTCGCTCTCCTCCCCCGCCACTCCAAATACCCATCTGAAGCAGCAGTGTCGCTCTTCGGATCACTCGTGCTATCAGTCTAGGTCTTGCCGCAGGCAAGGCCACTGTCATCATTTCACCTCACGCCGAGATCCCAGATACTATAAAGGCCGGTAGCAAAAGAAAGGCTTCCTCCGAAGACGTCTCCCGGCCAGAAAAGAAAATCATGACAGACCAGTTGATGGATGTTGACAATCCTGGGGCTGCCATTCAGCAGCTCCAGAATGGCGAGATCGATGAGTCCCTCTACAGCAGACAACTCTACGTTCTGGGACATGAGGCTATGAAGCGTATGGGCGCCTCCAACGTCCTCATCGTTGGATTAAAGGGCTTAGGTGTCGAAATTGCAAAGAACATTGCCCTGGCTGGCGTCAAGTCTCTGACTCTCTTCGACCCTGAACCGGCTGCCATTGCCGACCTCTCCTCCCAATTCTTCCTGCACGCCGAAGACGTCGGCAAGCCTAGAGCAGAGGTTACGGCGCCCCGCGTGGCTGAACTCAACGCTTATACTCCCATATCCATTTCCAAAGCGAAATCATTGACAGACGATCTGAGCCACCTCAAACAATACCAAGTCATCGTCCTGACAAACACGTCCCTCAAGGACCAGCTCACAATCTCCGATTACTGCCACCAGAACGGGATCTACTTGGTGATTGCCGATACGTTTGGTCTCTTTGGTTATATCTTCACAGACTTCGGAAAGGATTTCACAGTGGGCGACGTGACGGGCGAGAACCCAATCAGTGGCATTGTTGCAGACATCGATGAGACTGGTCTGGTATCGGCTCTTGATGAGACGAGACACGGACTTGAAGATGGTGACTATGTCGAGTTCGCCGAAGTCAAAGGCCTGGAAGGCTTGAATGGTACAGCTCCCCGAAAAATTACAGTCAAAGGACCGTACTCGTTTTCCATCGGCGATGTCTCAGGTCTGGGCAAGTACGAAGGAGGCGGTCTCTGGGCACAAGTCAAGATGCCAAAGGTTCTCCAATTCCAGCCCCTGTCCGAACAGATCAAGAAGCCTGAAATCCTCATGTCCGACTTTGCGAAATTTGACCGACCTGCGCAACTTCATGTCGGCATCCAGGCGCTCCACCAGTTCAAAGAGAACAAGGGCTCATTCCCACGACCACACAATGACGAAGACGCAAAGGAAGTCATTGCGATCACCAAGAAATTGGCGAAGGAAAGCGGTGAAGAGGTTGAAATCGATGACAAACTGATCACAGAGCTGAGTTACCAGGCTCAAGGTGATATCAGTCCAATGGCCGCATTCTTTGGTGGTCTGACTGCACAGGAAGTTCTCAAGGCTGTGTCTGGAAAATTTACGCCAGTTGTACAGTGGATGTATTTTGATTCTTTAGAATCAATTCCGACGTCGGTGGCCAGGAATGAGGAGCTTTGCAAGCCCATTGGATGCAGATACGACGGCCAGATTGCAGTATTCGGCAAAGAGTTTCAAGAAAAGATCTCCAATGTGAAGAATTTCTTGGTTGGCGCTGGCGCCATCGGTTGTGAGATGCTCAAGAACTACGCCATGATTGGCCTAGGAAGCGGTCCCAAGGGGCATATTACCGTCACAGACAACGACTCCATCGAGAAGAGCAACCTCAACCGTCAATTCTTGTTCAGGGCCAAGGACGTCGGCAAGCAGAAGAGCGAGGTCGCGGCAGAGGCAGCCCAGGCCATGAATCCTGACCTCAAGGGTAAATTCACCATCATGACGGACAGAATTGGGCCTGACAGCGAGGATATCTTCAACGAAGAATTCTGGCATGAGCTTGATTTTGTCACAAATGCATTGGACAACGTCGAAGCCCGTACCTACGTGGACAGAAGATGCGTGTTCTTCATGAAGCCATTGCTCGAAAGCGGTACGCTCGGAACGAAAGGCAATACCCAGGTCATTCTGCCACGCCTGACCGAATCGTATTCCAGCTCACAGGATCCGCCTGAGCAATCATTCCCCATGTGTACACTACGAAGCTTCCCCAACAAGATTGAGCATACCATTGCTTGGGCCCGTGACTTGTTCCAGTCGTACTTCGTCGGCCCCCCGGAAACGGTCAACCTGTACATGTCCCAACCAGATTACATCAATACCACTCTGAAACAACAAGGCAATGAAAAGATGATCCTCGACAGTCTCAAGGAGTATCTAGTGACCAACAAGCCGTCCGACTTCAACGACTGTATCAGCTGGGCGCGGATCGAGTTTGAGAAGCAGTATCACAATGCTATCGAACAATTGCTGTACAATTTCCCCAAGGACTCCAAGACTTCATCGGGGGCCGACTTCTGGTCTGGACCGAAGCGCGCTCCGACATCGCTCAACTTCGATCCCAAGGACGAGACACATATGGGCTTTGTGGTTCACGGAGCCGCTCTTCGTGCCTACAACTATGGCATTCCTGTCCCGAAGCTCAAGCATGAAGATTATGTCAAGGTCATCGACAGCATGATCATCCCTGAATTCAGACCCGATGCCAATGTGAAGATCCAAGCAGACGAGAAAGAGCCGGATCCAAATGCCGCCCAGCCCAGTTTCGCAGACGACGCTGAAGAGCTGAATAAGATTATCGCGGAACTGCCCACACCCAAATCTCTGCCTGGTTTCCGACTCAATGTCGTGGAGTTCGAGAAGGATGATGATACCAACCACCACATCGACTTCATCACAAGTGCCAGCAATCTCCGTGCACTGAACTACAACATTCCAGTGGCGGATCGCCACAAGACAAAGTTCATTGCTGGCAAGATCATTCCCGCCATCGCGACCACCACCGCGTTGGTCACAGGGCTGGTGATCGTTGAGCTCTTCAAGATTGTGGACGGCAAGACCGACCTTGAGCAATACAAGAATGGGTTCGTCAATCTGGCACTGCCATTCTTCGGTTTTAGCGAACCTATTGCCAGTCCAAAGGGCAAGTACCAGGGCAAGAACGGTGAAGTCACCATTGACAAGCTCTGGGACCGGTTCGAGGTGGATGACATCACGTTGACCGAGTTCTTGAAACACTTCGAAGACCTTGGACTGAGTGTGACCATGGTCAGCTCCGGAGTCAGCTTGCTCTATGCCAGTTTCTACCCGCCCAACAAGACGAAGGACCGCATGCCTCTCAAGATGAGCAAATTGTTGGAGACGATCAGTCGCAAGCCAATTCCTGAGCACCAGAAGAACATTATCTTTGAGATTACGGCCGAAGACACGACCGAAGAGGACGTCGAGATCCCGTACGTGATGGTCAAGTACAAGAAGTAGAGGACGACTCAGACATTGGCTTCATATGGCCTTGGACGGACGTACTGCAGGTTGGCGTTTAGTCAGATTGGTAGACCTGGAAGGCATGGAAAGCGACTACTAGGAATTTCGACAGGATGTGGAAGAATAGAGGATAGAGGTTCTCATTCGACTCTGTATCAAGACTGGCTATGAGAACATACACGATCGTCAATAGTGTAACACAGGCCCGAAGTGCCAATATCGCCATTATGGAGTTTTGTTGACGAAAATTCCGCGTGTTGATTTTCTCGCCGCAAGTGGAAAGCCCGTATTGCCACATGTTGCGATAGTCTTACTGCATCTTTAGTCAGGACATCATGTTTAGTCACTGGGTGGCTTTCCTGCTCGTCATGATTAGCTTTAGAGCTTGCAGGGAGCCATGCTGATTGCCCCTCAGCGGCGCGAAAACCCCACGTTGTGTCATCGAAGCGATCGGTCACCGTGTAGGGCGCCGTGCTGCGATGAGTACGGGCTAATTACTTTGAGGTTTCGTCGAAGCTACAAAAGCTGTGCTTGTCCCTTCTACCAATTCAGCTGCTCCGGATCACCCTTATGTCCAGAATCCTCGCACGTGCACGACAACAGCTAGCACACATGTCTTCGCAAGCAACCAAAGGCGATCCCTCGAAGGCCTCGGGCGCCCCGGCACAGCTGGAATCCCAAATGTCGTCGGTACGGAGCAGCTCTGTTTATGCCACGTCCATCTTCGCTGTTATTGTCTCGATTGTTGCTTTCTACTTTCTGAAACCGTCGCTGAATGCAGAGTTCTCACATTTACAGGCCAAAGGCGGCATCACGGACTGGGTGAAGCCGGGCGACAAGTCCGGCGAGTTCAAACGACAGGCGTCCTCGTTCCGGAATTGGATCTCGAGTGATCCCAATGCCGAGTTTCCCGCGGAGAAGGGGCGGTATCATCTCTACGTCAGCTACGCGTGTCCTTGGGGTGAGTGTGGCCTGTCCACAGAAAGGAAGCAGCGCTAACTGATCGGGCACAAACAGCCCACCGGACACTTATCGTACGGAAGCTGAAGGGCCTGGAAGACATCATCCCCTTCACCAGCGTGCATTGGCATATGGCGGAAAAAGGTAGCGGCCCGCCCCCTCATCGAATCGCCGGACAACTTAAACTAACGAGCGCCGGTGGTGGTCAAGGCTGGCGCTTCGCCACACAAGACGAGACCGTGCCCGGCGAAAACACGACGCCCGACCCCTTACACCCGAACAACACGCACCTGCGCGACCTATATTTCGCCGTGAACCCGAACTACGAGGGCCGCTTCACCGTCCCGACCCTGTGGGACAAGAAGAAGCAGACGATCGTGAGCAACGAGTCCTCCGAGATCATCCGCATGTTCTACACGGCCTTTGACGGCCTGGTCGACGCGAAATATAAAGACGTGGTACTGTATCCAGACGACCTAAAGGCCAAGATCGACGACGTGAATAGCTGGACGTACGACGACATCAACAACGGCGTGTACAAGAGCGGGTTCGCCACCACCCAGGAAGCCTACGAGAAGAATGTTCACCAACTCTTCAAGTCGCTCGACCGCACCGAGCAGATCCTCGCGGAGTCTTCATCGCAAGGCCCGTATTATTTCGGCGACAGGCTCACAGAGGCGGATGTGCGCTTGTTCACAACCATTGTGCGCTTCGACCCCGTCTACGTCCAGCACTTCAAGTGTAATCTGCGGGATATACGGTCCGGATACCCCCACCTGCATCGGTGGCTGAGGCACCTCTACTGGACGATCCCGGCGTTCGGGGAGACGACGCAGTTTGAACATATCAAGAAGCATTACACGAAGAGTCACAAGCAGATTAATCCGTTTGGGATCACGCCTGTCGGGCCCGTGCCGGATATACTCAAGCAGGATGAGGAGGTCGGGGTCGTGAAGAAGGCTGTGGCGTGATGGAAGAAGAAGAAGATATGCGCGGTGAATATGATGTGTTCACGGAGTATGCATAGTAGCAATCGAGGGAATGGATATTTTGAATTGATGGGTAGTTGATTCGTGACCAAGTTTGCAATTTCGGGAAGCCGGCACAGCTGCAGTATATCAGGTTCCGGTACCAGCAGCGCCGAATGGGAGGGTATACTTTCTTCCAGAATCAATTCTTATAATTCTCGTCTGAGAACGTCGTCTATGTGCAACGATAGGCCACTCCCATTCTTCAGTTCCTATTGCGGCTGAGGTGCTTGGCAAAGAGCACCCAAGCATGTTAGAGGACACAGGAAGTTATCGGTTAATTGGACGTCTTCGTCACTGGAGACGGAAGGTGGATCAATGGTCAAGTTTGTGATTGACTGACCATCTACCGCTGACTATTCTGATTTCGACGAAACGAAGTGTCGCTGCTCAGGTCCCCCCTCCAGCAATGCAGAGCTATTGCCCTCAAGGACCAATGCCATAGCATGCCACGAAGCAGAAGTGGATTCATCCCGAGCTTCTCAATCAGTCCATCTCGATAAACCAAGCCGCTGAACTGCCCGGGCCGAGACGTCTCAGCATACCCATCCTCAGCTGTTCGCTGCCATGCTGAACCACATATCAAGGCACATCCACCGTCTCTCCGCCTTGGATGATGTCCAACTGATGGGATGCCCGGCCTTCCGTCAGATATCCTGAATGCAGATATCCTGAATGCTGATATCCTAGATGCTGATATCCTGAGTGCTGATCTCCTGAATGCTGATATCCATCCCTGCCAGGCGTTCAAGATCGTCAACCGGAGAGCCCGTTCTTGCTCGTATCGCCGTCGAATGGTAGACGTGCCCAGACCTCCTTCCGCATCCTGGATGGCCTAAGTATTTCGTCGGAATCTCCTGATGACTTGATGCTGGATGGGCGCTCTTCTTCCATTAGTACCACGAGCTGGCTCGGGTATGTAGGTTGGAAATCCGCTTGGCCGTGAGGTTGCCTCTGCTTTGATACTGGAGGTGTTAAGTTCAAGGCGAACCTCAGATGTTACGACCCTGCCTCGCCATGTCTCGAAATCGTCGTGTTCGCGGCTGATAAATGTGATCAAGACATGCACATTCAGCCAAAGGCGTCGGGAATAAGGTACGAACCCGTTCTGGGTGCAGGGCGAAACCAAGGTTGCAACAGACCCGCATTTCCAAGGTCGGGAGCAATTGCCAATTTGGTTGCCACATGGCGCGAGTTCGAATCGGACTAGGAACCCCTTGCTGAGGAAGTAATCTAGCGCGAACCTCTTTTCCATCGTGTTCGTTCGGCCGCTATGGAGGCTTCGCTCATGGATGACGAATTCGGCGGGATACACGATAATGTTGCTGTTTGCCTTCTGAGCGCTTTCGAAGGCAGCTTCGAGCTCCGACGCAGCGTTTCGGCTGGAGAAAAACATGCTGCGCCGTTCCTCGATGGTGAACTTCATCAGGGAGGGGAATAGTCTTGCGACGCGTGAAGGATTTGGGCTCGGAGATCTCGAGTTCTATTCGAGTCTCATCGAGCCGACCAATCCTGCTTCCCCCTTGTGATGTGTGAGACGGCGACCTGCGTTGACGACTTCCAGGAATGTATCCTCCTCCACCATGACCGTCATACGCCTCAAAGCAATGGCTCTGAGGAGCTTATTCTTGTAAAGCGCCTGACAGACATGGAACAAGCTGAAGGGGTCGAAAGGGGCTGAGACAGGCGCTGGGAGATTTGTGCCAGGATTGCTGTGTTCAACGGCTTCCATTGGGTTCGCGAGAGCGGTAGCTTCTCTCTTGAGCCTGAGTCTGGTACTCTGTCGCGTGGTTTTCTTCACCGGAATGACTGTGTATTGCTCAAATACGAACCTGACGATCATTGCCACGATCTCTATTGGGAGCTCCAGGAGCGTTGACATCATGAATGGGTATCCTTAGAACAATGGGGGCAAAAAGATGATTATCCGAATATGATCCGAAGATGAGCCGAAGATGAGCCAGAGTAATATGAACGGAGAAGCACAGAGCACGACAGTGACTGACCCAGTGAATGAACAGTCATCACTGTGCTACTCCGTATTCACTCCGGTAATGTTAGTCACGTGCTTTGTCGGCCGCGAAGAGGGCCCTTGGGACGCGTGACCGCAATCACAATGTCGCGGCTATGTGTGATCACATCACAATTCAGATAATGGGACCGGCGGTGCTAATTGCGGTTGAGGGTCAGCAAGCATCGACGGCATGAATAGCAGGGCGGTGGCCACGTCTTGAAGGCTGAGTAGACGTCCAAGAAGTGGCCAGAAATGCCCTAAAGTTGTCAGCCTCGCGAATACTCCGCGGTTACGACATGTGCGTTATAGTCTTCTCTTCAGGGTTATGATTTTTACCGAACACGTCTAACGACGTGCTTGCTTGCATAGTGAGAATGATGGAAATAGAGATGTCTGGTAGCTCTGCGTGTTGACATCGTTCCCAACGGTAAGCTCAATATACAAAGGTGCTCGATGTCATGGACGGCGGAAAATGTAGTCATATAACGAGCATAGTTTTGTGTGCCAGAGGTTCGCAGGATACCTTCCATTCAAGCCTTGTGTCTGCACACGACAACTTGGAAGTTGAAGGAAGCTTGGGCACGTCTGTAGATAGACAGGAATACCAGTGCTGCTGTTCCATAGATCGGCACATCTAGGTAGACATAGCCTAGCAGTAGAAACAAAGACTTCAAGTGCAGATGACGTTCTAGCTTCTGTGCAATAGCTCGGACAGCATAGAGGAAGTGAAGAAGTCAGAAAACCATGAAGTACCTTGGTAAGAGGTTAGTAAGAAACTAGCGACTCACGTGCAATCACGTGACAATACGTTCTCTCACGTGCTTGTGAGCTTCCCTCTCCTCCACTTCCGATTCGTCACCTTACACTACCAATTTCCCTTTCGACCACCACAACCCCACACAGGCAGATTGATATTGACAGCTGTTCGGACCCGGCCTACCATTGGGCTTAGGGAAGATAGCCTGCGGGAGCCGGCTCGTCATGTGCTTCAGTTTGCTCTGAAGGCACAAAGCATGGAGCAAGGTCCTCCACACCAACCAGATCTGTTTTTCAGGCCTTTCGAGAGCCGTTCCACATGCTGGGTTGCATAACCCGCTGACCTTATCCATACCCGGCAGGTTTCACCAATTGCGTTGGATTTGAGCGTCAAACAGCACGACAAAAAGCATGACCAGCATCTCGCAAACCTATCTGACCACATGCGTCTCCTTCCGGTAATGTCCTCAGCCCATTCAGCCAGTCAAACTCGGCTATGGCGGGTGACGTGGACTGAGCCTGGAAGCCTCACGGAGCCTGACATTCCCGTTACCCTATCTGTGTCCCTTCTCCTTGCGCTGGTGTCGCGTGCCTCACTTGTGCTCATGCACAGACTACAAATCAAGGTTCGTCGTGGAGTCTCGCTTGACCGTATCTCATCCATGATTTTGAGATGCGTTGCCACTCTGCCAAAGGCGTAGGGTCCATTGTATCCGGCAACTCCGCCAGAGTGGGGGTTGCACGATCAGGTGCGTCCTTGTGCGGCCGAGTCGACCATATGCAGATGTTATCCTTGTTGGTTTCTTGCTCGTCATTTCCCTGTGCGCCTTCTCAGTCTCCTATATCACGGTCGACCCTTCCGGTAAGTTGGGCTGGAAGGAACGGTATCCGTTTCGGGAAAGTGTGCTTCTTCGGCGATTCAAATCTGACCCTGGAGCTGGGTTTCTGAGATAGATGTCTCCGGCCCGTACTTGCTTGCCTGTCGGGCACTCAGAGCTACGACCTTCTCCGGCAATCGGGCGCGGCAATAGTCCTCAACGACGATCCATCGATTCCTACACGTGTTTCAATGTCGGCTGGCAACGCCCCTAGCTTTCGTTAACACCGAAATGGGTTTTCTGGGGCTCGGCGAGCCGTCCTGGGGGACTCTCATCATCTGTCTAGGAGCGTGGATAAATCGGGATTTCAAGACGCCGATACTTCGAACCTCGGAAATCTCATATGAGTTACGAGTAGAAGATCCTGGTCACGAATTAGCACTACACTTGCCCACTGCCGAAAATGAGCGCACCGAAGGACACAGCCGCTGGCGAAGCAGAGAAATATCACTGTTTGGATACCAGAGGACTGTGGAGACACCCGATACGACCGTGTTTCGAAGCAGGACACTCAGCAGGGTACTCTTGCGCTTACCTTTTGTTGTGGAGATTGTGTACTGGGCTTTGATATACGGTGTCCGTCCAGCAAGCTCCCGCCTCACAATTTACAGCCTAACGCATTACAGGTCTACCAGTTCGGTCGAGGCCAACTGGCTATACGCTTTGTTGATCATACTATTGACATAGCATGCTGTCATGCCCTGGCCGTTATCGAAATGGAGCAGCGGCTGCACATCTTTTGGGAATTGTCCACCCAGCAGTTCTTCCTTCAACATACTGACTGGATGTGGTGGATCAACCGAATCTATAGTTTTGTCCATCTGCCCGCAACGATAAGTTTCCTGGTCGGCCTTTACTACTTCGCGATCACACGTAACAGATCGAAGGCCGACTCGAGCTGGCAAGTCGACCCAACAAAAGGCCCCGAGCTATATGAGTCAAAACGCCGGGCATTAGCACTGTGCAACCTCTTAGCATTCTGTGTCTTCAGCATGTGGCCATGCATGCCTCCTCGCTTGCTCGGACAATCCACACTACCTGGAGAGGCAGGCAAAATCGCCCGGAGCTTTGGATTCATTGACACCGTACATGCTCGAGACGGCGCCATCAGCGCCTTCAATACTAAAAAATGGACAAACCAGCTAGGTGAGCACGATACCTCCGAACCCGTCTGCGTACGCGTTGTGATATGTTTCTGAGTGAGAAACAGCTGCTATGCCCTCGCTACACTTCGGGTACTCGTTGCTGGTTGGAGTTTCGCTGATGCGGCTGCCGCTCGCTCACTCATCGAGACGCTACAGCATATCCCTGCCATTTCTGAGCTCACAGACTGGGTTCCACATCCGCGGACCGTCCTTCCCAAAGCTGATATGCGAACTCATCGGCGGCTTATACCCTACTACAATATTGGTCGTAATCGTCGCTACCGCAAACCATTTCATCTTGGACGCTGTTGCAGGAGGCATGATTTCCTTGTTCGCATTACGATGCAACGGGGTCATGAAAAATCTGCTCCCTGTGGAGGACTATGTGCTCTGGTGCCTTCGAATTCACAAACCTGTACACCACCCAACTCCAGAGAGACATCAGCTTGAAGGCAAGCATCGAGCCTGGGTCGGCAATGAATCTAACATCTGATATCTCTGTTGCAGTCAGTTGTGCGTCGCGGAACGGCAGAGACGGAACACGATTGACGAAAGGAAGTTAACAACTCGATGGCGTGACCCGAGCTCTCCGGCTTGTCGTCTGCGAGAGACACCCTCTTTTGAAAGGTGTAATCACAAAATGTGCACGTCCTTGGGGGATTACAACTATCTGGCGGATTCCACACGATCCAAGAGAAATGCAAGGCTAGTGCTGGAGTCTTCCATGAGGACCATACCTTGTAAGCATCATAGCTGGGTGTTATAGCTATTAAGTAATCCACATAATGCAACGTGAGGGGGCTCCCGCTCTCTCACGCCTGGACAATCGAAAGAGACGATTTTTCTTGTCGAAAGTGTGCACGAATTCATCTACTGCCGCGCCGAAGGATATAAGCTACTGCGGAGAAAATATTACGGCGGATCATAAAGTACAAGCACGAAGGTCTCGACACTCAACATCAATTGCGGGCACTTTCCCACGTGTGCTCTCAGACCTAGGACAATGCATGACAGTTCCTAGGTAGCTAGCGGAGTCGCGGGCCTTTACAACTTCATCCATACCTCAGTCGACCTGTTATGGCGTCCTCTCAGCCGGATGTCGACCAGGATCTGGTCCGACGCCGGACGATCTTCTCTGACTACAACCGCTTCTTGCACACCTCGACCCTCGCAGCATGTGTTCTGGCCCCTGTGCTGATCGCTCTTCCACCGCGAAAACTAGACCTCTACACGTTCTTTTTGTCAGGCGCACTCATCGCGTCGGCGGACTACCAAGCTAGAGAGCGGGCAGGATTGGGAATCATGGGCTACGCTTCACGGCGCTTCATGTCAAGAGAACAGTCGAGATTACCGGGTCAGGAAGGTGCGAATCCGGTGCAGGAATCGGGCAGACTACTCGAAGAGTCATCCCCGAGACTCGTGCAGGGCTCAACTTTGCAGCACCAAGCTCAGGAGGACTGGAAGCAACAGCGACTAAAGGAGGAGCAGGAGAAGCTTGATCAGGGCGAAGGCTATTGGTCCATGATAGTCGACCAGGTCTGGCATGTGTGGAACCAGGAAGAGAAGAAAGTTGAGCAGCTTAAGGAGAAAGATGAGGAGGTTGTGCAGGCGAGAAAGGAGAAGGGTTGAAAGACACAAACTTTTGTTGGTGCAGACCTATATTGAACGCCAGCTTTGGTTCCCAAGTCTGAAGATCAACGATGCTGGACTCAGACAAAAGCAGCCCCAGAACTGATCTGGTTCGACCACAATCCTACTCGGCCGACTCAGCTCCCAGACACGGTTGCCTCAACCGCAAAACTCGTTGAGAAGGCTTGTCAGTCAGTGCTTCTCGGCCCCACTGTTGTTCGATCCGCCCCTCGCTTTACCACAAGCATGGCCGCAGCCGAACCTCTGCTCGTCGACCTCAGCCTGGAAGTCCCGTACCTTGATACCCTGCTTCTTCAGGTCGTCCGTCACCTTTTCACTCTCTTCAGTTTGTTCACGCCGGGACTTCTCTTCACGGTAATGGAATATGATCGGGGCGTGGCAGGCGTGTGATCTCCGATGGGTTGGCGCCTGAGCTGCTGGTGCAGGTTGCTGGATGGCTGTTGAACTGGTACCCGTAGTTACTTTGAGATTTGACCGGTTCGGTTGAGACGGAAGCGAGTGGCTTCTGGGTGATATGGGAGGAGGAAAAATGCGGGTTGCGAGGCCGGACATGCTTGGATTGCTCATGTTTAGCGCCCTGTACGGCACTGTGAGCCGTATTGCTTTCTGTCTGTGTTGGAAGAGGGAACCAATGGTCATACCAGCGATACCTGAGCTCTTCCTTTCGATGGAGTGCCGCTGAAGGTGGGCTGGCAGGTTGAGCTTACAGACGCGCGTAACTCGCGTGAGCATGGTGTATTTGATGCACTGAATCGAAGCAGTGGGGATGGGGTATCAGCGTCGACTCAACATTCAATATGGCCAATGCCTCGTCTCGGTCACGAGAAAAAAAGAAATTATGACAGCAGGAACGTTCAACAATTGCTAGGATATGCCCTGCACTCAAAGTCGGGGTGGGAAGATTGACATGCAAAAGCAGACCGGATGGGCTCTTTATGCACGCCGCAAACGTTGTACAGAGACGCGACACGCAGGATTTTGCAGTCAGGACTACATGAGAGGGTGTGGTGTCAAGTGTTCATTAGGTTACACGACGCAATATCAACAGCCAATTGCAGGATACTGGCTTTGGACCGGGAACATGCTGATTCGTGGTGAAGGTACCCTTTCAGAGAGATTTCAGTGTCGGACGCTTCCTTCGCGCCGCGTCCTGGATCAAGAGGACCATCAGCTATCCAAGAACTCAACGGCATTTTGCAAAAGGATCTCTCTCACGCCTTTGACTGCTTGCCATTCCGCAGTCTCTTTCTCCGCCCGCCAGTCTTTCCACTATCGGCATCTTGGTCGAGGTCTGCTTGCGCAAACGGTCTCTTGTCATTTTGCTTTTGTTCTTCTTGTGCGACCGCAGGCGGTGCTGAAGCTTCAGACTTGGTTTCGTGGTCCCCTTTCCGCTTCTTGTTCTTGGTAGAGTTCGCACCTTCTGTCGAGTCGTCACTCTGTCGCTTCCGTTTCTTGTTTGCTTTGGCCCTCTTCTTCTCTTCCCTGGCCTTGGCCCTTGCCTCCACTGCTTTCACGAAGTCGTCGTCGTCGTCATCGGGTTCCTGCACCCCTTCGGCCTTCTCGTCCTCGGCAGGAGGCGGAGGTGTGACTTTGCGCTCGTGGTCCTTCTTAGATCTCTTTCGTTTTGGCTCTTCTTCGTTTGCCTGCTCCGCTCGGGGCGGCCGATCAGCTTCCACCTTTCGCTTTGGGTTCTCTTTTGCCTTCGCCAAGCCAGCTGGCTTCTCTTTGCCCGGTTTCTGTTTGTAGAGCTGTTCAATTGGTGTGGGGTTAGGGTCGATGGTAAAGAAGCCGCTCGGGTCAGGTACGGCCTTTACAGACTTCTGCGACGTCGGCTTCTTTGTCGGACGAATTGGGATAGTCGGGACCTCTGTTTCAGGTGCCTTCGATTCCTCACCGACGACCTGCTCCTCTCGCTTCATCACTTCTTGCAATGACTCTGTTGACTGTTTGAATGTTGCGATTGACTTCTCCGTGACGTTGAGACGCCCCAGAATCAATGATCGTGTGGCGCTCTTGTCATCGCAGAGTTTCCGCATCTCGACGAGTAACGAGGCATGAGTATCCAGTAAGGACACGATTGAGTTGTGTTGGTCCAGGAACTGAATACACCGTCAGTGTTGCGCAAGCGCATAACGAAGACTTCGACTTACTGTTTCCCATGCTTTGTTACCTATTTCCGTAGCCATATTGTCAAGCACTCAATCGAGCAACGCACAGTGAGTCTCTGTCGAGGTCAGGAAGGTGAGGGCGGACTCGAGAATTCTATGTGCAATTGGAGAGGAATTTGTCCCGCCAACGGCGAGGCTGCGAACATCTCCGAATAGTGACAAGGCTGTGGCAGCTACACTTCACCGTACATTGCTCGGCCCTTATCTTAGCACTACGGTGAATTTTGCGGCCCTGTCGTGGACAATCACCTCGCACCTCACTTCACAGACGCTTTTGCCTTCACAAAACCACAGCAATATCCAATTGCTCAGGGGTATTTTCATAGGCAAGCACGTTTCTCAGAAAAACACAAGAGAGAGTGCTGTTTGCTGCAGGAATGGTGGGTGCACTTCATTTTGCGCTAGAGAAGGTGGCCAGGGTGTGGTTGATGCACTGCTATGGAATCAACACCACACAAGCCATGCCGAGACTACGAGGTGGACGTGATAGGAGGAAGACTGACTGTGAACCCTAATAGGGGACTGTGCTATGCTCCAGAAGACCCCAATTGAGCCGTACCCTTCTTACCCTGAGACCCCGTCTCTGAGAACTTGTCCATGAACCGCGGTTTGTGTTGAACAGGGATCACACCAAGAACAGGCAGGACGAAAGCTATCTGTGAACTCCTAGCGAAGTTTTTACCCGCACTCTAAGAGAGGACCAAGCCCAGACTCCGTCCTTAATGAGTGTTAATACACACACTCAAGCAGCCCATCCTTGGTCAGGTCTGCTGGCTACAGCGGGTGTGCCAGCACTGAATACTCTCGATTCCGGATACCGTGCTGAATGAGCAAGACAACATGAGGCGAATATGGCATTCTCGCACAAATTCGTCACTTATCCCGCACGACGACGAAGAGCTGACAGTCTATACATGATCTCCGAAACACGCGCCCTGGAGCGGATTCCCTTGCGTCACTCTTGACCGGTCCCCATGGGTGTGGCAGCATTCCTGTGCTGAGTCTATTGAAGCTTCAGACCTGACTCGAATATGCAGTGAGTTGCATTAAAGGTGCCTACACCTGCCATTGTGCGCTCCGACAGCTATTGAGAAGGCGGTGATTGCCGCCACTATTGTCGTCGGTCTTGCCTCAAGTCAATGCCAACTGTTACCCACCTTCAAACTCTCGGATCCTCAATGGGTTCCTTCCTCAATGGACCTCCTCCTTCCTCCCGACTCGGTGTCGTCCATCTCTTTACTATTATTCCTTCATTCTTGTCCTATCTCTCCTCTTCTTCTCTTCTACACAATTCGCTTGCACAACTCCCCTGCTGTTAGCATCTCCTCCCTCTTATCATCCATCCAGCACTGCATCTTGGTTGCTCATTCTCATCTCCCCGTTGGCCGCTCTATCCATTGAGCTTCATCCCCATTTCTACACCCAGAAAAGCAAGCAGAAAGGCGTGGCAGCAAGCTGTTCTTGTGCCAATACTCCGCAGGTGGGTTCATCAAGCAGCTCCGTTCCATCGACGCCTACTGTTCCTTTTGCAAGAAGCATACTGATACCGAGCACTACAGAGCGGCAACATGTCCGAGAAGCCTACGAGTCAAACAGCCTCGAGCAATGCCTATGCCGGTTACCCTCAGACGCGAATGCCCTACACTGGGCTTGGCTACCAACAGTACAATGGAGGTAAGAGCTGGAGTCACAGTGGCTGCCATAGGCTTCTTTTCTCACCATTTCTCAGGCATGAACATGACCAATTCCAACCCCCTTGCCAGCATGCAGAACCTCAACGCCACCTTGCCATCCTCTGGATCCGCGGACAATGACATGAATGCTGTCAATCGCCAAGGGTACAATAGCCCAATGATGGTCTTGCCATCGGGTCAGACTGTGCCGCTCACCAACTGCTATGCTCAGACCCAGTCGTCGTTTGGAGATACCACTTCACAAATGCCTTATGTCCCCACTGGCATGTTCCCAAACTTCATTGGCAATACCAGCATGGCTCCCAGCACCCTTGCAGGCTATGGATGGCCTTATGGAATGGCCCCCAACCTTGCCGGATTTGACCCAGCTCGTCGAGGCTCTTGGTCTCCTGAAGACAATGCTGCCAACAACCAAGCTGCTGCGCTTCAAGCTCAATCGGACTACTACAACATCCCCGTCCCATACATGGCCACTGGTGCTTCAGCCAGCCAGCACTATATTGCCGGCCCCATCCAACCCATGAAGTGTCAAGACAACAAGTCATATGAAATGGTGAACCTTGACGAGCTTGTCAATCGAGATCCGCCCATCCCTCGCGCTGTGCCCGCTCTCTGGACAAACCAAGAAGAGCTCAGCCTGGCCAAATGCCTCCAGAATCCTGAAGGCATCACCAACGTCTACATCCGCGGCTTCATGCCTGAGACCACTGATGAAGACCTTCATCGCTGGGCTTCTCGATTTGGTGAGATTGAGTCATGCAAGGCCATCATTGAGCAAGACACAGGCAAATGCAAAGGGTATGCGTGCCTCCCAATTGACCTTGTTCATCACGCTGACTTCTTCCAGCTTTGGCTTCGTCATGTACTACTCTCCTGCTGCCGCTGAGAACTGTATCCGTGGTTTCTTTCATCTTGGTTTTCAGGCCAGCTATGCCCAGAAGTCCCGCAACTCTCGACTGAAGGATCTTGAAGATAGAAACTCCACTAACATCTACTGCACCGGAGTTCCGATTGAATGGAATGAATCGGTTCGTCCCTTCTCTTCTTTGCTGTGAACCCCGACTGACACCTGGCTTCAGGACTTAGCCAAACATTTTGCTCCATACGTTGCCGTCTCCACCAAGATTTGCCGTGATGCTCCATCCGGTGTCAGCAAGGAAGTCGGCTTTGCCAGGTATGCGTCATGTTCTCATCTTCAGCGTCTCGTTGCTGACCCTTACAGGTTCGAGTCCCGTGAGGTCGCCGAGCGTGTTATCAGAGAGTTCCACTCTGTCCTCAACGAGCGTGACAACGTCAAGTTGTTCCTCCGTTTCGCCGACACCAAGGCTCAGAAGCAACTCAAGCAGCAGAGCCAGGAGCGTCGCACCTGGCGAAGCCGCGAGTACAGCTTCTCTGTCGAACACACTCCCTCACCAACTTTGTCTCGATTGCAGAACATGAACAATCACATCAGTCCGAATGGCAGTTACCAGTCACCTGCTGGTGGCTTCACTCCAGCGACGTCAGTCTCTCCGCCGTAAGTCTGGCCTTACTGCTGTCTCCAGATCTCTTGGCAAGTCACCTTCACTGACATCTCTTCCTACAGTGAGTTGCAAGGTGTCACCAATAACAACAAGCCTGTCAATCTGCCCATTCGCAGCTCCTCTACTGCGTGGCCGATGCAAGGCGGGCTGCAGTCAATCACCAATACCACCACAGTTCGAACCAATGGTGCAGATGCTGTTGCCACTCGTCCCTATATTGAGGTGCGACCCAAAGCTACTGCTACCGTTGCAATTGTTCCGGACCACGGTGACGCCAACAAGAGCACGAAGACCCCGAGTCCCAAGAAGGTCACCATCAAGGTTGAGCCAGCCAGTGGCAAGGAGAACTACATCACTGCCACTCCTCAGTCCAGCAAATAAGCTTCGCCACGCCAACTTTGTCCAAGAACATCATTCCAGCACGCATCGTATTACCTCAGGTGTGCATCATGTTCTTGGTCTGCTGGTACAACTCCATCTTGTTTTCTTTTGTTTCTCCTTGTCTTGAGCATGCACCGCCATCAGCTGGGGCGACATGCATTCTGTCAGCACCAGCACTGGCGATCAACATATGGACATAAGACACGATCATTATCCATGTACGGCAAGACATCGGTAACGTGTGCATTGATGACAGGCGACATCAGCACGGGAATATGTCGATATGACAGGTGTCAGAAGAAGAGCTGGAAAAAATATTCACGCAAGACTTGCAGGTATTACTGAAACATGTACTTAGTTGAGAGATCGATCTCAAATGTATCAAAGGTATCTCCACTCGAATCTGCTTTATTACACGTGCCCGTTCCCTTTGTCCTTCAGCAGACGGGCATGGCATTTTACGGTCAGGTCATAAGCCGCAACGTAGTCTGCCAGGAACAGACACGTGTGAGTACCTGCTTCTGACGGGACCTGCGATATGGTTAAAGCGTGCGGCTCGTGTCATCACATGCCGTTGCTTGCTACGTAGCCGTCGTGGATGTTGGTTGATAAGGCTGCGCGGAAAGGGGCGGAAATACTCCGTATGTCATCCACATACCGAATTGGACCAGGGGAATCTGGGAAAGTGGTCGGCGGAAGGGATTGTGTGACATCAAAGGTCAATCAGTCTGCGCGAAGACATACGCGGCTACTGGTGTTGATCCTGGTGCTTCATTGTTCTCCATTCTGCAAATACAGAACCGCAGGGCTGACTTTCTAAGAAGAACAGGCTGATCATCTGGAGTGAGTGGGCAAGTAGCTCTGTAGACGGTGTCTGAGAAACCATTGTCATATCGCGTCAGCACATTCGAAGTGAGTGAGTGAGAGCACTGTGGATTCTAAAATCACTAACTACTCACTCCTGTCGTCGATTTGTTTCCGTCAAGATCCTCTCTAGGGCCTCCTTGCACGGGCCGCGCAAATGTGCCGGAAGCAAAGCAATCAATTGGGCGCTTGTCTTGACCACTTCTGCGTCGATGCATTCTATACTTCGACATCTGTGTCTGTGGCCTTGTCCATCCTGCCTGACGGTATAGGACTAGGTGTTTGCTCCTTGGAATCCATACCCGCCGACCTGGATCCCTCTTCCTCTCCGCGTGTCGTCAGCAGCAGAGAATCGTCGTCCCTCGCCGTTGGCCAACCGTTACCCGTTCCAAGCACGGCATCCCAATCCAATGCCTCGAGGAACCACTTGTCCCGTCTGGTCGTGCCTTTGTCGCCGCCTTCCATTGCTGCTCGGCTTGCTCTCGTGCGTCGTTGGCGTTTAGTCGACCCAGTTTGGCTGACACTGTGCAGTTCATTGCGGAGCTGTTCGAGGTGTTTGTCATGGGAGACGATGGAGCGGATATATGGCGCCACTTCGGTGATGACAGACACAGCTGACGGGTTGTCGAGGGAGGGAGATTTGCGGCCGAGGCCTGTGGGAAGTCCGATTCGGGATTCTTCGAGAAGCGGGTCGAGTGTTGCGGAAATAGTGGTGCGGGTGAGTTGAGACCGGCTGGAAGGGAGTTGATTGAGGTATAAGCGTACGACTTCGTGCCTTTGGGCTGATCGTATTTCGTGGGAGGAAGTGGATAGGCTCTTTATCGCGCTTGCGAGGAGAGGCGACGTGGAGTCATCGTAGAGATCCATTGCGCTCTTTGCGTCGGAGAGGATGACCATGTCAGTCAGCGTCTGGGCAGGCGTAGTTGCCGCGTCAAAGGGGTAGATATCTTCCTCGACCCAGTCCAGAGGCGAAATGCCCAAGCTGGCCCGGGCGAAGCGGATCAGGTCTTCTGTGTCTTCAAACTGCTCCGGAAGCAGATCGAGTCCGCTGATATATGTGTCTTGGCTGATAATTCGTGTTATCGACCCGTTGAGGCTGGACTCCTGCCTGTCTTGATACGATAGCATCCAGTCAAGTCCTCCTTGTTGAGAGCCGACGGTCATCTGGCACCAGAGACTGAGCTCTGTGATCGCAGCACGTAGATCTTGACCTTTGGTCAGAAAGAGGTTCTTTAATGCCTCTTTGCTCAGGAGGTGGCCCTCGGCTGCGGCGATGTGTCCAATATGTTGTATAGCTAGGTCCATCTCCGGACGACCGTAGCGTAACACGGTGAAGAGGTCAAGCTCGTCAATGGGTACAGAGTCGATGTCGTTGCAAGTAAGGATGACAGGTCTTCTCGAGGTCTTTATCAGCCAGATGACATGACTCCAGAAGCCTTTGTCTTCCTCGAACAAAATGTCGACTTCCTCGAATAAGATCAGAGACTGCTTTTGCGACTTGACTGGCGGATCCTTGCTCTGGTTCGGGCCAACCAGCTTTTGCTGCTTCCCGTTCTTAGCAACTCCGGAACTCATAAAAGCTGCCGTAGTCTTCTGGTTCGAAGGCAAGGGCTCATGGACAAGTCGTGTTTCATCATCGATAGAGACAGTGGATTCTCTACTCAGCGGGCTGCTCTGCTGCACAAGATGGTTGTGTGTCATATCTCCCACCTTGTCCTGGATATCCCTTGCACTTCGCCGCATGCCCGGGTTGATCTCGAAAACCTCGAAACCTAGTTGCTGTGCAACCGCGAAGATGGATGCAGTCTTACCGGAGCCGGGTGGACCTACCAGCAGGATGGCGTTCTTTCCGTTCGCAGTCGATCGCGCATCATCGTCGTCTGAGTCTGCAATGAAGTCCTCCATTTCTTCAGACTTTCTCTTTCGGCGCAGCTTTTTGGCCGCGGGTGGGTTTGCCTTCTGTGACCCGCCTGTCTGGACTTGATGAACTCGCAGACTGTTCAACCAGTCATGCAAGACCTTGCTCTGACTCTCCAGTACATCTTGCCAACAAGCTGGGGCATATTCGTGAGACCATATGCGAGGTCCTGCGGCCGTACCTTTGTCGAAGCAACTTGGCGTAGATCGAATGCGTGTGCTCAAGGACATAAGTGGATTTGGCCAGGCTTTCTGGTTGTTGCTTGTCTCAAGTAGCGCATCCACGGTTTCCGAGTAAAATTTACCGCTCATAACTCGCCGTCTGGGCATGTGAATGGTGGAGGTTCCAGCACCGGGAACAGCATACCGAGAAAAATTCCAAAGAATGTCTTCTTCAGGTCTGATATGGAGAGCATTATCCTTCAACTTGGAAGGATTTTTTGAGGCTAGAGCCTGGTTTGGGAGCAGAGCGTGCGATGAATGATCGGGTCGGATATGTTGTAGGAAAGCTGGAGGCCAAATTGAAGGCAGCAAGGGAGTAAGTTGTTTAGATAGCTTCTCGGATCCGAACACGATGTCTTTCCACGGCTTTGGTACCTTCGGATTTGGCTTGGTACCAGCCTCATCATCAGAGGTGATTATCACAGACGACGACTCGCTTTTCACATCAGATAGCTGCTTTTGCGTCTTGGCTGTAGCCTTCCCGAGAAAGAAAGGATGAGTCGTCTTTGCTACGGCAGGCTTGCTCGCTGCCTCTATCACTCGCTGCGCCGTGACTTCAGTGCTGGTCCTTTGATGTTTGCCCGACAATATCTCGTCGATTCTAGCGCCCGAGTCTGGAGCAGTATAAGGCAATGAAACACGCAATGAAGAGACGAATTTTCCGTTCTTCATCTCAACTTTCTTAGATGTTTTTGCTGGCTTTTTTGACTCGGTCGCTTTGATGTTCTGTTGGACAGTACCAGACCGCGGTGGTCTCTTGGGTGAAAAGCTGAGTTTACCATGCTCGCTCCGGAGCTTCTTGTTGCTTGGTGTGGAAGAAGGCTTGGTGCGCTTCAGCGGAGGGTCATCCATGGCACCGTCAGTTTGCGGAAGGTGATCAGGTACAGATTGAGGAGAGTCGATCTCATTTGTGGTTGATGAAGCATTCAAAAAAGGATGAGCTGAATATGCCGGTACGGGGTTAGTCTCATGCGAATTGAACTCGCCCTCAGTGGTCTGAGGATAGTGGCACATGGAATTCTGATCTTCAGAGTCTTCTTGTGGTGGCTCAATTAAAGTTCTGGCGGCATCTTGAAGTTGCTCTTGCCATGTCGACTGAGGTGTATTTACTGTGTCAAGTACTGATGTTACTGGTTCCACTGATAATCTGCGCCTCTTCACTCTCATATTCTCGCGTTCGAGGTCATCCTCTTCAATGACACTCCAGCGGCTTCCGGGAGGTACCTCAGCGACAACCGAGACTGACTGGTTTGAAAGAAGGGGTATGCCAGCGCCAGAGTCGGCAGTAGCGTTGGTAGGCACGGAGTGCAACACCACATCATCGCTGGTTCCGTCTAGTCCTACGTTGACTTTTGAGGGAGATGCAGTGTCCTCGAGTTTAACTGCCATTGGTGTTGTCAGCCAGGCTGATGTTTGACCAATGCAGATCACCAACCTTTTCTGAAGAGCGGATGCATACCACCTGGCGCAGTGCCATAGTCTAACACCGTCGCCATTCACCCTAGTGTCATGCGTTGACGGAGACGTCCCACCCTGCAGCCTGGGCTCTGGCTCAAGCGGTCCATATGTTGTATGCAAGTAGGCAAGAGAGGAGACGAACGGGAAGCTCGACAGTCTGAACTCTTGTCGTGGTGCTGTCGATGTGTGGGTGCACTGAGACTGCGCGTGGTCGTATCCAAGTGAGTTCTTGGGAAAACGCGTCAGTGACGCGATTCGCTTTGACATGCCGCTTGATGGAGGCTCTGGAGCGGGTGAATGGGCATCACTGATAGGCTTCCTTTAGGCGGAAGATCGACCGCTAAGCGGCCCTGGGTTGGTGCCCAGATCTGGAAAGGTGCAAGCGAGGCTTACATAACTGCGTGGTCAGCACTCTCGCATGTGTCTCCAACGAACTTTTTGCGCATCTTGACTTTTTGAGACGACACTGCGTGCAAAGTGCAACGCACAACCCTAACAACACTCCATGTATTGAAATGGACGTATCGGCTCCCGCCGTTCTGGCCAGATTGCCCCGACCTAGCAGGCCAGATGGAATCTATTTCGGGGCGGTTCATGGTGTGCGTGACGGACTGAAAAAGCGGAGGAAAGAAATTTGTGCGGCAGTCGACGGCGATTCTGTCGGCCTTTATGAAGTAACAATCCTCTGGAAGCACACATCTGACGACGGTATTGACACTTTGGCAGGTTGAGAATGGCAGTATCCTTGCTTCTTTCCCTGTCCCGCCTTCTTCGCGTTTCCTGGGACCACCTTGCTCAATCCGCGAGAAAACTGACGGACTAAACACTCGATGGACGTACTGCGCCATAAAGCGGGAAGCTCTAAGAGTCGAGGCTTTCCAGACATCAGGTGACGACTCGACGCGCCCCGCGTTCTTCGCGAGCCCACCATTACAGGACCAAGATAGTCCTGTTACGCTTCTCGACGTTCTCCCAGGAAACAGAGGGAAACGGGTTCTAGTCGTCCAACAAAATGGTAGTGTCACAATCTTCTCCGGAGACCTGCAGTCTATGTCATCCGGATTGTCACTGGCTTCACAGCACGAAAAGAGCATTAGGACCTTGGCTATCCAGAATGCCACACTTCCAGAGGCACGGAAAACCATTTTCAAGCAGAGACCAGATATTGCTACTGCTGTTGCGCCTGATACTTCGTGCCTAGCAGTTGCCTACGTTCAGAGTGTACAATGTGGCGCCGTTGATACCTTCCGCTATGGTGTTTGGGCTATCGACGCTGTCGAACAAAACTCCGCATCTAGTGGGAGGTTTCTGCATCCATTGTTCGAGCATGAAATCTCATTGGCTGGAAACAGACCTAATGTTCTCAACGACAAATCTTGCACATTTGACTCAAGAGCGTCCTATCTCGCCGTACGCGCAGGACAAAGGTTCATCTCATACGATTTGACAGGCTTGGTACCGTCCTTGGCTTCAACATTACACCTTCGGTCCAGCGGTCCCCACGGAATCATGCCCATCTCGCCAGCATTTGCTATCTGCTGGCGTGATGAGTCTTTGCAGCTCTATGACCTCAAGTACCAGTCGGTGCAGGCTCAGAAGGATATAAAGCAAGCTAATCTCAAGCGCAAACTTAATACCCCCCACGAAGGCAGTGGTCCCGTCGACTTTGTGGCGTACTATCCCCAATTGGCACGGATTATCGGACGAAGACGCCATCAGCTTGTGGCGATTGATATTACTGCTAGTGGATCGCGGCGACTGCTTGAAAAAGGGAGCAGTCTTCTTCACAACATCGGACGGGGAATTAATCGTCAAGACTCGACGGTAAAACACCCAGAAAAGAAACTGTCGTCAGGGCATGATAAATCGATGGTGGCTTCTTCACCTAGCGCAGATTGGGAATCCGTGCGACAACGGCTCGATCAATTAACCCTGTCTGGTGATGTCGCCGGCTTCGAGACAGTTGTGGCCAATGACATCTGGAAAAGTCGCTCCCTTGACGAATCGCACGGAGAAGCCCTCACTGTACCGGACTTCAAGGTTAATTACCTGTTGTCCAAGATCTTCCATACAACCGTCGGCTCGAACGCTGCCTACAACGACCGAAGTACCAGTCAAAAGCGCGTGCAAATTCAAGTTTACTCACCCAAACTTATCTCATGGATCTCCGGTCAAGGTTTGCTCTCCAGTCGACATGTTGAGAGGGCACTTGAGACCACCTCGTTTGATGCTGGCCAAAAACTTGGTGCCTGTGCCATAGCACAGGCACTCCTCGATGCCGACCCATCCTGTCATTTACTCGTGTGTTGCATTGAGAACGGCTTTAGTCAGTATGTGGAGGAACAAGCAGCTGTAGTACAGCTGTTGATTCAGCGGGCTCTGGCCTCGTTGTCGGAAACAGCCGCCGCAGAGCCGAAGCCGCGAACAAAGGGGACAATGGATGTTGACTTGGTCTCTGACGCCCCGGAGATGCAGGTGCAGTCGTTGTCCGCCACCTCCGCGGAGAACCCTTGGTTACCCACCCCAGTGCAAGGAGCGTTGATCGCGGCTCTGAACAGGTTCGGCACGGCGGCAGGCCTGACGATATCAACAAATCTGAAAGCCCTGCTCTCGCAGACAGAAGTCCTGGCTTTGATTCAATTCCTACGACAGCAACTATTCAAAGCTGGTCACACTCGATCGCTTCAGAGCCAGCCCATGACTGAGGAGGTTCCGCGCACCGTCAGATTTGACGCCACGATCAAGTTGTTATCCGCCTGCGTCGATGCTATGGGACCACTTGGATTCTTTGCTGCTTTGGATAACGAGGACTTCGTCGACACCCTCGTACCAGAGCTGGCTACTGAGGTCACGAATACAAAGCAGAGCCTAGAGGACGTCGCAGAACTTCGAGGCATTCTGCGTGAGGCTTTGCGCTTTCAAGAATCTGTTCAAAGACAGCGGGCGGCTGGTGCGCGTAGTCGGGCTCACGCGGCTAGCAATACCGCACAGCAGCGGCCCGGGGCTATTGTGACAGTGTACTCGGAAGCTGTTGACGGTGAAGAAAACCCTCAAGCAGGATCCATGTTGCCTCTCAGCTTGAAGGCTCAGGATGTTGTCACTGCTGGGAAGATCAGAAAGGGTGGAGGGCAGGTCAAGCAAAGGAGCATTCGCCAGAAACGGATGCTAGAGAGGAGAGCCAAGGGCGGGTATACTTTTGAGCGACTAGTATTGTGAATTCCGCGCACGCAGTAGTCCAAGATAGCGGTGCAAGATGGGAAATTTCGAGAGCGGGATCCTATCCACTTCGTCAATCATGCTGGTAAAACATCTCAGCCCGATCTGGCTGGACCATGCTGAAGCGAGATGTCAAGCATCCCAACCTGGACTCGGGGGAATGCAAGAACCTCGGGCTGTGATTGGCTCTTTGAGGAGTTCACGAGGCTAGCCTCGTTCAGGCTCCGTCGCAACTCGATGCATGCGACGGCGACTCCGCTGCCCACCTTCAGGCCTTCGCTCGCTCAGACTTTTACGGGTTCACCCGCTGCTCTCATTCTCGCTGTGGCCTCGATACATCAGTTGAAGCCATTGACATTCTTCCGTGTTCCTCTGCCGCACACGCCACGAGGGTAGCCCCTGACAGATCCCTTGACTCGATTGCAGCCGAACCAACCCACTGACTGGGTCGACGAGGGACTCGAGAACCGTCTGCTAGGTATCGGCCTATTCTCACTTACTCAGGAGCAGAGTCGAGTCCTTATTCAAGCCACATCTCCCAACAGAGGGGTGAGGTGTTCTGCGGACACCACCCTTGCCGTGGCGGGGCTTCGCTGTGTCCAAGCGCCGCTTGTCAATCAGCACTGAACGCAAACAATGGCCTACCCCAGCGGCACTACCTATCACGCCGACTCTGATGCCGACGACGAATACGAGAGAAGTGTCATGACCTCGCCTACCCAGCTACATACCGACTCGGAAACTTCGTCTGACCCTCCCTCGAACGAACACACTCCTACGACCTTCGATGCACCCGGGGATGATTCAGGGCTACCGAGAACAATCATAACAGAATGGACTCCGGAGGACTGTGCACAATTCGTGTCGAGTCTGAACTTGAGGCAGTATTGCCAGGCCTTTGTTGGTAAGGCACGCGTGAGAGAGATATGAGGCCTCCGTAAGCTAATTGGGTGTAGAACATGGCATTGAAGGAGAAGCGCTTGTTGCGCTCAAGCATGACGAACTCAAGGAGATGGGCATTGCCAGCGTGGGGCATCGTCTTACCATCCTGAAGAACGTCTACGACATGAAGGTCAATCAAGACATTCCATTTGAACCGGACGACTACGTCCCTCCGAGTAGGCCCACTCATCCTCCACCTTGGTTGCGCATGACTGATTTGTTCTCCAGCTGCCGAGCAGAACCCTCAGCATGAAATGGCGACCAAAGAAGACATCCAGCGACTTGCCAGATCCATCCTTCGACTGCGAGACGAGCGAATAGCCCAAGCGGAAGCGCAGTTAACCAGGCTGGCAGATGATTACCGCAAACTGCGGCAGGAGTTACTACCAGTTTTCAAGATGTCCAAGGAACGCTCAGAACCGCTACCCTACGCCCCTTACCAGAACAACGCCATCAGTCCTGAAATATACCAGCAGGACGTCGTGTCTCCTCCTGTCACCACCCAACCGCCCCACGAAAAGACCAGCCTTACACGCACGTTCTCCAAGAAACTAGGCCTCAGCTCAACGCCCAAGAACAACTCTCCAACACACATCCCCAGTACCATACACGAGGGTAGGACTTTGAACACCGAGAACGGAGGCCTCGACCCCTCCGCCGCAGCCAGCCTTGCCTCAAACTCACTAACCGCCCAGATGTCAGGTGGCGCCTTACCTCATCCCTCTCCCGGAGTCCCTTCACCAACGTCTCCTCTACCTTACCAGCATCAACCTCTCGCCGCGCGCTCGTACCAACGAGAGGGAAGTAGCGGCATAAGTTCCATTTCGCGCTACGACGGAACAGACGACCGCGCTGTGACCATCGAGCGAGATCGTGACCCTCCCACATCTGCGAAATCAGTCTCCGCAAAGTTAAACCCCTCGAATTCCTCTATATCAAACGCGTCGACTCTTATCCCTTCCCGCGAAATGTCTGCCAGTGTGCCCCCGCAACTTCCCTCAAGCGCAGCTGTAGGCCACACCCCTCACAACCGCGACAAAGACCCCCCTTCCGGTGGCGGAGGTGACGCTCCCTCCGTCGAGATTTTTAAATCGTTCCGTGTGGGCCTAGAAGATCCATGCTATAAAGTCCTCCCCGCCGCGCTACGGAAGTACAATATACAAGCTGATTGGCGGCAATACGCGTTATACATTGTATACGGCGACCAGGAAAGATGCGTGGGGCTTGAGGAGAAACCGTTGGCGCTGTTCAAGGATCTCGATAGAGAAGGCAAGAAGCCGATGTTCATGTTGAGGAAGCTTGCGAATCCGATGGTCGGAGAGCCAGTGACGGCTGGGCTCGGCGTGAAGCCGCCGGCGCAAGCGGTCGCGCAGGGAGCTGGTGCTGGGTTAGGTGGCGGTGGCGCTGCAGCCGGGATGAGGCCGCTACCTGGAGGTGTACTATAACTTTGAAGGGCGAGGGGGCTTCGTTTGGATATACATTGCTGAGTTAGCGACCCGGGCGGATGTAAAATGGTAAAAGAATTTTGGTTCAAGTCAAGAAGTCTCTGATACTGGGTGGAGTTTCTGCGCCTGAGTATACTCATGCATGAACACATGTGCCACTATCTTGCCCGTACCCTTTGTCTGGACGGAGGAATCCCCCATCCCTGCCCAAGATGTCCTTCGCCAATGTTCTAAGGCCAACCAAACCGCCCAAAGATCGAGGTCCAGTGCCCGCCTACAACGCCGCCGCTATGCTCATCATTGCTGCTCAGAGAAGTCTTGAATGTTCCGCTGTCCATTTTCCTTATCCACGATAAGCGCCGCTTTTTCTTCTCGCCCGCTTGGAACCTTCCGGCTTCACGATTTCTCCAGCGATTTCATCATGTCGAGGCTCATCCTTTACTGCATCTTCCTCAACGTACACCCACCAAGCCCTCTTCTTCGACGCCTTCTTTTCTGGCGTGTTATGTGCACTGACTGCATCCTCCGTAGACTCCTAATCACTCCCCTCATCGACATCTTGCACGGGCTCGATCACCTCCGCAATATGTTCTTGTAGGAACTCAATGGCGAGCTCCACGGTGGCCAGCGGTACTCTTACATCTGGAAGGCCATCGGGCCCGCCGAACCATTCCTTCGACAAGGCGATGGCATTATTGCCATTATTTGCCCCGCCGCCCGATTGTGCGGCCGTTGTCGACGCATCGCCTGTTCCTGACGGACCCGTATTCGTGGTGGTCGTGCCATTCACCTCCTTTGTTTTGTCGTTACTATTGGCCGAGGTGGCGCTGCCGCTGCCGCTCTCCTCCTTGGGTGTCGTGGCCCGACGCATGACTTCGGCCATCAACTCGGGGAACGTGTCGCACTTTCCGTTGCGGAGGAGTTCCAGTGCCAGGGCTTTGACCCGGTCGGTCCAGCCTGTGCGGTTTAGAGAGTCGGAGAGGAGATTTGACAGTTCGGGGATGGCGTTTGTGTTGGCCCGCAGATGGGCTATGAGGGCTTGGGATGTGGCTGAGGGCAGTTTGGGCGTTGAGGCTGTTAAGGAGGGAGGGCATGGGATGGGTTTCTCCGTGGGTTCTTCCATCTTTTGACGGCGTCGATGGCTGTTGACAAAAGAACCTGAACGAGATGTGAGTAAGGTCAGAAAGCTCGTGGACCGACGCTATGCAGCTGAGGGTGGCTGATCCACAGAGCTGTTATTGTAGTCGAACGGTTTGGAGCGGCAACAGCTACTGTCCAGCAGTGCTGAGGTGAACAACAAGTGCGATAAATTAATGTAGATATTACAGTCTGGCGATGCTGAAGGAGAGTAATGGACTTGCTAATAGCCGTGCCTAAATCAAGTACGTGATGGGCAGTAGGAGGGGACACAATGTTGTATTTATCCTGCTGTCCGCAAGTGGCACGTGCGGAGAAATATTGGACAGCGGAGCGGAATGACTCTGGGTAGCGAATCCATGCACCGAGCCGCGGGCAATGGGCCGAGCAGAGCACAGTACTATGTAGGGTCTTGCTGGCTGGATCCGGGTGTGCGCATCCTGACGGTCATGGCGCATTCCGACGGGCGTTGGCCACGATAGTAGGCAAACATGAAGTGAACCTCAAACATCGTCACTATGTACTTGGATCACGCAAGGCTCTAATGCAGCCTTGCCACGCCTGCACTGAGAAGGCAAGCAACGGCAATGCACCACGTAGGTATGTAACTCGTAACAGGGCAGGGCTAGGAAAGGAAAAGCGTGACTTCATGTTGGGCTGGGTAATGTAAACCAGTCTGCGTGTCATAATGAACAGCGAGTCTGAACCAAGTGGCTCTTACCACAAGCTTCGATATCGTTCTTTGGACGCAGGCTGCAGAAGGCGACGTATGTGACGAATGACCGTCATTTGAAAGTGGCCAAGACAGTTGTTTCTCCTGCGCTTCACGTTGACTTCACCATCACTGCAGTTGAGGACTTTCACCTTTATTTGCCATCTCTCACCCTCTCAAGGTTCTCACTCCTACAAGGGAGACCTTGCTCATCGAAGTTCTACCTCTCCGTCTATTTCATCTCGCTGTTGCAGAACCCGCACGTCTACCGCAACTACATCAACACTGCCGATACCCTTCCGATCCCAACCTTGAGCTGCACCTCAGATCGATTCTAACAGGCCGTCAAGATGTCTGCAGAACCCGATCACGTTCACGAGAAGAAGAAGGTGAATCTACAGTATGTGCCGATGGCTCAGATTAGCAAGATTCCTGGCTAACTCAAGCTACAGTGATGCCTCTGGCGCAGAAAAGAAAGAGGTAAGGACGGCCTCACAGAAGCTACATGACGAAGAGCGCGAAACTGACCTTCGAATCTAGGAGCTTGACACCTCAACAGCCATCCTGAAAAAGAAGAAGAAGCCAAACTCCCTAATGTAAGATGCAAAGCGGCCAGATGGTCATGATTCGAGCTGACAAATGATAACAGCGTTACCGATGCCACAAACGATGACAACTCCATTATTGCTCTATCAAACAACACAATGGAGACATTACAGCTCTTCAGAGGCGATACCGTGCTCGTCAAGGGGAAGAAGCGCAAAGATACCGTCTTGATCGTGCTCGCCGATGACGATCTTGACGATGGCAGCGCCCGCATCAACAGAGTGGTTCGCCACAACCTCAGAGTCAAGCATGGCGACATCATCACGGTCCACCCTTGCCCCGACATCAAATATGTGAGTCCTTTTCCCGTTCCTGGGCGTTCGACAAGATCTGACAAAATGTCCGCAGGCCAAACGAATTGCGGTGCTGCCCATCGCAGACACTGTTGAAGGCTTGACCGGGTCTCTCTTTGACGTCTTCCTTGCTCCCTACTTCCGAGAGGCTTACCGACCGGTTCGACAAGGTGATCTGTTCACAGTGCGAGCGAGTATGAGACAAGTCGAGTTCAAAGTCGTCGAGGTCGACCCTCCTGAATATGGCATTGTGGCCCAAGATACTGTCATCCACTGTGAAGGTGACCCTATCCAGCGTGAAGATGAGGAGGGAAACCTCAATGAGGTCGGTTACGATGATATTGGTGGCTGCAGAAAACAGATGGCTCAGATTCGAGAACTGGTCGAATTGCCACTGCGACATCCTCAACTCTTCAAGTCTATCGGCATTAAGCCGCCGCGTGGTATCCTCATGTTCGGTCCTCCTGGTACTGGTAAGACGCTCATGGCTCGAGCCGTTGCCAACGAAACCGGTGCTTTCTTCTTCCTGATCAACGGTCCCGAGATCATGTCAAAAATGGCAGGTGAATCAGAGTCCAACCTTCGAAAGGCGTTTGAGGAGGCTGAGAAGAACTCTCCTGCCATCATCTTCATCGACGAAATTGATTCTATTGCACCCAAGCGAGAGAAGACCAACGGCGAGGTTGAACGACGTGTCGTCTCCCAGCTGCTTACTCTCATGGACGGCATGAAGGCACGCTCCAATGTCGTTGTTATGGCCGCCACCAACCGACCCAACTCCATCGATCCAGCCCTGCGACGATTTGGCCGTTTCGACCGAGAAGTCGACATTGGTATCCCAGATCCGACCGGCCGTCTTGAGATTCTCCAGATTCACACCAAGAACATGAAACTGGCAGAAGACGTTGATCTTGAATCCATCGCTGCCGAGACTCACGGCTATGTTGGCTCCGATATTGCATCTCTCTGCTCCGAGGCTGCCATGCAGCAGATTCGTGAAAAGATGGATCTCATTGATCTTGATGAAGACACCATCGATGCCGAGGTCTTGGATTCACTGGGTGTTACTATGGAGAACTTCCGTTTCGCTCTGGGCGTTTCCAACCCGTCCGCCCTCCGCGAAGTTGCGGTTGTGGAGGTTCCCAACGTCCGCTGGGACGATATCGGTGGTCTCGAGAATGTCAAGCGCGAACTCATCGAATCCGTTCAATATCCTGTCGACCACCCTGAGAAGTTCCTCAAATTCGGCCTTTCACCATCCAGAGGTGTCTTGTTCTATGGACCCCCTGGTACTGGTAAGACTATGCTTGCCAAGGCTGTGGCCAACGAGTGTGCAGCAAACTTCATCTCTGTCAAGGGACCTGAGCTTCTGAGCATGTGGTTCGGTGAATCTGAGTCCAACATTCGAGATATCTTTGACAAGGCCCGTGCCGCTGCTCCTTGCGTGGTCTTCCTTGACGAACTAGATTCTATCGCGAAATCTCGTGGTGGCTCTGTTGGTGATGCCGGTGGTGCGTCGGATCGTGTCGTCAACCAGCTTCTCACAGAAATGGACGGCATGACCTCGAAGAAGAATGTGTTCGTCATCGGCGCCACCAACCGACCCGAGCAGCTCGACAACGCTCTTTGCCGACCTGGTCGTCTCGACACCCTGGTCTATGTCCCACTTCCAGATGAGGCTTCGCGTGAAGGCATTCTGAAAGCGCAGCTTCGCAAGACTCCGGTTGCTTCAGACGTTGATCTCAAGTTTATCGCTAGCAAAACTCACGGCTTCTCCGGCGCCGATTTGGGCTTTGTCACACAGCGCGCCGTCAAATTGGCAATCAAGGAGTCGATCGCTGCCGACATCGAGAGGCAGAAAGAGCGAGAAGCAGCTGGTGAAGGTGCCATGGATATGGATGACGCTGGTGAAGACCCTGTTCCTGAGTTGACACGACGGCATTTCGAAGAGGCCATGTCCGCTGCCCGACGATCAGTCAGCGACGTGGAGATTCGACGCTACGAAGCCTTTGCTCAGGCGATGAAGCAGAGTGGTGGCAGCGCGTTCTTCAAGTTCCCCCAGGCTGGCCAGGATGCCGAAGGTGCCAATGGCAATGGTTTCGGTGATGCTGGCAATGACGACAGCTTGTACGATTAAACGGCGGCACTTGAGATGGGCCGGTGCATAGGCACACGTCTGCTTGAGTGAGAAGCATTGTCCCACATGATGAATGGCGTTGAGAATCACAGGACACTAGGCAGCAAGGAAACTATGGTTGAACAACCGGAACGGCGACTGTAGTGGCAAGGCCTGAAATGTCCCTCAGATCATCAGCCAGCCGTGCAGATTTGTATTCTACCTTCTACTTAGAGACATGAAGCTGCAAGGGGAAATATTAGAATGGTTGACTTAAAAACTTGACCACGTTTTAGCAGTATCACAGTAATTGTCGCTTGGTATGATGAGTTGCCACTTTGCTTATGCAGCATGGTGGTTGCGCTGGTGGTGCGGCAGCCTTGTGCAAGATGATGCAAAGACTGGAAAGTCGCAGTTCCGGGGATGCCGCCGCCGCCCGTTCGTCTCTCTTTCTCCGTCGTGCTTAATTTCCGAATCCGCCGCCGCCAAAGACTCGTTTGTTCTCCCTCCTGTTCTGAAAGTATTTCCTTCCTGACGAGCAACTGTATTGAATATGGCCAACTATGGGATATCGGCGCGTCTGCTGCGCCTGGCGCGGCCGAAGGTAGGATAATACTGTCACGCTCCCATAGCTCCCTGATGTTGACTTGGTGCACCAGCGATTTTTCTACACCATGACCCTTTCGACGGGCGCAAGCCTTGTCACCCTCTCGATGCTTGTCAACAAACTCGCCGGCCTCTATGGCATCCTCGCGCTCTTCACCGGCTACCACCTCTCGCCCTTTCAGCTGAGCATGTACATCTACTCGACCCTTGCCTTAATCCTAACCGCCTACCTCGCACGTCACATCCGCAAGCAATCGCCGCTCCAGTGCCTCGCACTCGCATGGTTCTACGTCCTCGACAGTATCATCAACGCCGCGTATACCGCCATCTTTGCCGCGACGTGGTTTTTGGTGCTCGCGCAGCACGATGCAGGAACGTCGGACAAGAAAGGACCCGGCGCATCTACAATGGACGATACAAGTGGCTTTACCGATCCTCAACTCAATGTCTCCAGGGTCGAAGTCGTGGCCACGCCGCAGCCTCCCCTGGCAGGATCAGGCCAAGACGCGGTTGCGGCAGGCGTTGCAGCAGGCGGCCCGGCGGGCAGCGGCAGCAATGGCGCCCTTCAGTCAGCCATCCTAGACAGCCAGAATATGAACTCCATTGGCGTGATTATTGCCATGTGGACGATCCGCGCGTATTTCTGCCTTATCATGCTCGCGTGGGCGCGCATGGTGATCAGACAGCACATTGCCTGTTCCGGCTCCAAGACCGGCGTCGACTACACTGCTGCCTCGACGGACGCTCAACTTGCCGAGAACCCCTTCGCCGAGTCAAAACCTCAGGGTCAGGGCTGGCAGGGCAAGCTAGGCAGAATCCTGATTGCCATCGGAAGAAGCTACTGGCTGGGCAGTGACGAGGACGATAGCTGGATGTACGGCATGGGCGGCAAATTCAGGAAGAGTGGTGTCGCGGGTGAGGAAGGCGGGTTCATGCTCAATAAGATTGAGAGCGGGCCGACTGAACGGGAGAGGCGACGACGGTCGGGCACCGGACCACCCGTGCCAGCCGCGGGTGTTGTTCCTGGGGTGCCGGTTGTGGGAGGGGACAAGATGACATTGCAGATTCCTCAGGCGAATAACTTGTGAAGGAGGCGATCCGGAGCTGCTCGACAGAGGGAGGAAGTCATGAGGGATGCGCTTTGTGGAAAGAGCCGGACTGTGAGGTTTCTGCAGTACAGGATGGGAAGAGCAGATCTTGATACGAGTTACAAGCATTCACATCGGTATCGGCGTTGTAGGTTATTCGAGAGGGGACCAGCGCTGTCTGTAGCCGGAGCAGGTTCGGGTACGATTCCAAGGAAGAGCTTCGTGCTAAGGGAAGCATATCTGGATACTCAATGGCGTAAAGACAATATAATAACGATCATACGGCAGCGGAAGTAGCTTGTTCATGCTGCGCAGCCTCAGATGCTTGCTTCTGCTACATATCATACTCCCTATTTTTTCATTGTTATCCACCAGGACGTACATCAGCTTTGACAGTCTCTACGCACAGTCTGGATCCGCAAGAGTTTTGGTCCCTGCCGGTCACTCCGTAGAACACAAGGGCTGGACTGGACCGTGCCTCGCCATCACCATCACGTGCCCTTCGGGCCGAGCAGGCCAATTAGCTCTTCCAAATAAAATAAAAACATCATAATTGACGCAGCCGAAAAATTGGGGACAAAACGCATACAGAAAGACAGTTTGGCCGAGTGGTTAAGGCGGCAGACTCGAATTGGCTTGTCTTATCCCAAGCCTCGCTCGTCATCTGCTGGGTTCGCCCGCAGAGGTTCAAATCCTCTAGGTTAGTATTACAGGTTACCTGTTGCAAGTCGTCTTGAATCTAACAACATCACAGCTGTCGTAGAAATTCAGCGTTTGCGCTTCAGATTCCCTTGAGTAAAGGAAATTCCTCTTTTTTGCTTATATTTTGCTTCTCTTGCGTGTCGACGTCGACGCTAGACACACAGGACCCCCAGTCGACCTTTTCCCGCAACCGACGTGTCGGCTAACCTAACTTCGTAAACATTAATATTATTTATTATGCGACGAGGGAGGCTAATAAGTACCTAGGGCAAGTAGTGTGGACATGTTAATTTTTGTGCGACGAGGGAGGCGACTACTTGAGTAGTGTAGCTACTTCTACGTACTCGACCGTAGGATGTGAGTGCATACTGTACTGTGTATATATGTGACTGAGACCTGCTGTGTGCTGTGTTTGTATATCTCATGGTGCTGATTCTCGGTCTCCTTCGGACGCTCGATCTCGATTTCGAGGACATCTCACTCACATACGCGCGGTGCACTGGATATAGAACTTGTTGAACTGGAGTCTATGGAGTAGTTGGATGAAAAATTTGTGAGCATTTCTTGCCGGGTATTCATGAATAGTATATATCTCCTGTGCGTCCACTGAGATGCTAACTTTTTTTTGAGAAAAAAGCTACAGAACATACGTACACATTCAGCTGCTGATCGGTTCATCTGCACATCTTGTGGAACCGACCAGTGCAGGACAGGACCATGCAGAGCAGAGCAGAGCAGTGCAGTGCAGTGCAGTGCTGTGTCTTGTAGAGAAGGGAAGAATCGAAAGGGGGGCAGAAAAAGCAGTTGTCACATTCAGCCTGGAGTACATAACATATACTTGGCTCTTGAGCCGTTGAACAAACGCGCTTCTTACTGCTTCCTGCGTGTCTAGTCCTGAGGGGGTAGGGGCAAAGGGGGTGTGTGAAAAAATGTCTCGCGACAATCTGTAGGCCAAAACAGGTGTTGAGAAGTGAATGGGGAGATGGGGAAAGGGGTATCCGTAGTGCAGTGCAGCGCCACGCTACGGCAGCATGCAACAATCAACATCCTCCGCTGGAACCATGGGCGTGTTGTGTTGCCAAACAGCCGTGACCGGGTGTTGCGCCAGGCAAGTACGCGGCAGACTGATTGGTGAGCTGTGGCTTTCTTCAGCGGTCGTGGCGCGAAGGTGTCTCAAACACGACAGCCTCGCCTGTCTTCGGCGCCGGCGCCCGTGTACAGGGGAAGCGTGTCGTGTTCTCGGTTGACATTGGCATGGACGTGTCGCTCATCGTCGTGATTGTGGATGTAAGGCTTGTTTACATGACCACACAGAGTAACATTTGGGCAGACATGGTGAGTCTCGTAGGTTCCGCTCCGTGGTTGACCGGGTGATCCTAGTCGTTGTTTCAGGGAATGTGTATGGTTTGGACGATTGCTGCGGGTGTAAAGGCGCTGTTTACATAACCACGCAGAGTAGCATTTGAGCAGACATTTTGACGAAGTGAAAAGAGTGACTTTTGGTGAGGATTGGAATGAACGTGGGCGGGAGGCCGGTTGATGCTCGGGGTATACAAGGGAACTGTATATAAGCGCTGGCTTACCTACTGGTTTCGGATTGAATGGAGTCGCCATTAACAGCGATAATGGTCGCAGAATTGAAAGCCATGTCCGATCATGAAAGAGAGTACCTTGTCCATTCCCAGAATTGGTTGGTGGATGAGTGAAGGGGTTTCCCAGACAAAGAGATGCTCGCAAGGCTGAGTCCAAGGGGACGAGGCTTCATATTATTCTCAAGTCTTAGTATTGTTCTTTCCCGCACAAAGCACGGTCCGACTCGCACTTCATGTCAGCAAGCAGGATCTGCGAACAGAGTAGCTTGTCAAGAGAAGAAATGGCCAAATCCAATGTATTCGCATTCTGGACCCCATTGGCTGTACATAGCCCCTAACATGTCCGACTGTTCCATGTGCAGTTCGTGGCAATGATCTAAAAACGAGTGTATGGCAGCCATTTTCCTCGCAGGGTGATTTTCGCCTACCTCATGTCAGTTCAGAAAATGAAGCGCTGGCGAACCAGTTTCTTACCCATGCAGCTCCATCCTTGTCAATCTCTTTCTCAACGTGAGTAGAGAAGGAAATGGCGCTCATGATGCCGTCGCCAAATTTCTCGTTCAACACTGCCTTGTATGCATACCCGTAGTTCTGCACAATCTCGTACAATCGGTAGATCAACGGTTCCCTTGGGGGCATCTCGATGCTTTTGCCGCGATCCGGAAATCCTGCCATTTGCGTCTCGAGGGTGGCATGGTCGATGCCAAAGTAGTCTGATAGCTTCTTGATGTCTTCTGCCGACGCCCTCGCTTGTCCATAGAAGAGGGCGGCTATGGCGACCTCATCGCGACCAAGCTCTTTTGAGATCTCCTCAAAGGATACCTTCTTCTTCGCCTTTGCTTCGAACAGCGTTATGGAGGACTGGGGTAGGCTGGGATGTTGCAGTACCTAAGCTGGTTAGCATTCGTCTCGTACCAAAGAGAATAGCACGTACATCCAGACTGGCTAGGGACATGTTGGACGTCATCCTAGCGAGCTGCAGTGGAGTTGATCTGAAAGGCCGGAGAGCTGTAGGGGGTCTTGACCTGCAAGCTGTAACGGCGAAACGCTGTAGAGAAAGTACACGAGAGGACATGGTACAGGCACAAGCACGAGCACAAGCACGGTCAATATATATGGCCAATCCAAGAAGCTGATAGCACTACCGTGGAGAAGTGCACCTCAATATTTGTACCTCGATCGTCTTAGTGGAGGGGTTCGAACAGGAGCTCCCCGCAGTGCCATCATTCCGGGCGTCATCACGACGGCCAAGAAGAACACCTAGGGCTTTTTTACCATGGGATCTGACTTCTAGGTCGAATGCAGTTGTTGTAGAGATAGCGCGGCGCGTATCTATCTTGGGAGTATATGTGTGCCAATACGATGAGGTGGGTGGCTTAACTGATAAGGAGCGTGCTGCTTCAGGAAAAACAGCTAGAGCCCGGTTCCAACCCCAGGCTGTTATATTTTGCGGGGCATCCCTAATAGCGGCAATGAGGCGCAGCAGCGGTTGGCTTCCCACTGCCTACTGTATAGGTGGCACCACAGCGGGGAGGAGCCTAACTGCTTAGGTATCCCCTAAACGCTCAGGACGCTCAGCTGGCGGCCTTTTGGTTGGCTGCACGAGGCTCCTCCATACGGCTTGGCGATGCTTGCCTTGAGGATGCTGCATGACTCGATCCAGCTGAACATCACTCATGGATGAAACATTCACTACGTCGTCCGTTTGTCCAGCCCTCTGTTCTGCTGCCAGTTCTGAGCTACGGTCTGCTCATCCTATCTCCCTCCCATCACCTCACACCTCATGCGTGTCAGATCGGGATTTTGAAGATTTCCCCGAATGTCTTACCAACAGCAACCGGAAGACGATGGACTAGCATATGGGGACGACTACTCTCGAGCCCGCGGAAGCGGTGGCACAGACCGCTCGCTACTAGGAGACATTGGCAAGAAGGTCAAGTCCGAATTGAACAAGTACAAAACAGGATCTCCGGCCCCTCAGAACTACGGCTACAGCAGCACCGGTGGGTCAAATCAAGGTTACTACGGCCAACAAGGGCCAAGCACAGGGTACCCTACCACAGGACAATCGCCATATCCAGGTGGTCCGCCTACTCAGCAGCCTCAGCCTCGACCCGATATTGCCTCGAAACTTCTCAGCGGCCTCCACGGCACTCTTCACAATATTGGATCGGACGTTGCAAACCTGCTAGGACCGGACAGCAGACCATCTCAGCAATATCTTTCACAAGCTCCGGGCCAGGCTGGACATTCGCACTATGCCGCTGCGCCAGGTCAACCCACGATAGCGACAGGTCCGAACCGATACGACAGCTTCGCGTCAGAGAAGCCCGGAAACGATGTGAAATGGTACGTGGATGGTTGTGGTTACTTCTGGGCAGTCAGTCAAGCTCTCGAGGGAGCCAGACATTCAATCTGGATTTTAGACTGGTGGCTCTCTCCGGAGGTATATCTTCGTCGTCCTCCTTCTCAAAATGAGCAATGGAGACTCGATCGCACTCTTCAACGAGCGGCACAACGTGGAGTCAAGGTCAAGATCATTGTCTACAAAGAAGTTACTCAGGCTCTGACCTTGTCTTCGGCCCACACCAAGCACGAGCTCGAAAAGCTACACCCCAACATCGCTGTCTTCCGACACCCAGACCATCTGCCGGATGCCCAAACAACTCAGTCATCGCTCATATCCTCTCTCCAAGGCCTGAAGTTGGACGCCGCAGGGGTTTCTAAGATGGGTCACGACGCTCTCAAGGGTATCTATGGTGTCACTGACGACATCATCCTCTATTGGGCACACCATGAGAAACTCTGTCTCATTGACGACAAAATCGCCTTCATGGGTGGTCTTGATCTCTGCTTTGGCCGCTGGGACACCAATCAACATTCGATCGCCGATGCTCACCCATCCGACATGAGCCAGATCATATTCCCTGGGCAAGATTTCAATAATAGTAGATTTCTCGACTTTTCCGACGTCAGTCATCCGGACCAGAATAAGCTCGACCGCACCAAGAGCTCGAGAATGGGTTGGTCCGACATCGCCATCTGCGTGCAAGGGACCGTCGTACAAGACCTGCGACATCACTTCGTTGATAGATGGAACTTCATCTATGACGAGAAGTACAATGTCCGAAAAGACCAACGTTACTACAGACTCTTGGACGATCTACCTCATACGACAAGTGGACCAGGTCAACGCCCTCAGTCACGGCCACCGTCCCAGTCCGGACCACAGCCCCAAGGAAGTCTACAACATTCTGCGGCTGCTGGTGGGTATGCACCGCCACCTGGGAGCCAACCATACACTGAACCTGCATGGCATACAACGAGCAGGCCGCTCACGCCAGGAGGTACATATGGTACTGCAACACTCTCCCCAGCCCACGGTGTCCAGCCTCAGCCACCGCAGGCTCAATCACCCTACGGTCAGGTTACAAGCCCTCCACCTCAGGTCGTCCAGTCGCCACCTCCTCAGGCTGGTATGTACGGCCAGGTGCCGGTTGGGTCTCCACCCCAAGCGCCTCTCCAGCCGTACACTGGCGCTTACGGCCACCATGCAACTCCAATGCACGCGCCGCCAGAGGGTTCTATGGACACATATAGCCAGTTTGCCAGCCCTCCTCCTCAGACTGCAGAAATTCAACGACCGCACAGTGCAGCCAGCGGATATCAACAATCTCCAGGACAGAGCCTGCAACACAATTACCCTCCTCCCCCTCCTGGACCGCCACCTCAAACGTCCCCAGTCCCAGCCACAACCTACCCAGGTTACCCGCCGCCACCAAGTGCATCCTCAGCTTATCCTCCGTACCAGCAAGGTGCCACTGAGTTATCGTCTCAGCAGTCACCTGATCTACCATATCAGCATCAGAGCTACCAGCCCTACCAACAGTCTGGGTCAGAGCAAGCCAGGGGGTTTGACGGTTACAACCAGGAATTCAGCAGAGGCTTTGAAGACTATGGCCCCGGTCGCGAGAACGAGAGGGGCTTCGAAGCGGAGCGAGGTATGCGAGGGAGATTTGACCATTACAAACAAGAAGGTAGACTCTTGGGCCAAGAGCTATCGTCAATCGGGAACGTTGTCTCGGGCGGCCTAGGAGACAGAGCCCACCAACTTCAAGGCAAGTACCTTGGTGGGACTGATTCTTATGGTCGTCCTTACAATCAGCCTCGGGGTGTCATGACTTGTCAACTTCTTCGAAGCTGTACAACATGGAGCAACGGAACTCCTCTCGAACATTCCATCCAGAATGCGTACATCGAGGTAATTCGGAACAGCCAGAATTTCGTTTACATCGAGAACCAATTCTTCATTACGGCCACAGGCGACCAACAAAAGCCGGTCAAGAATTTGATCGGTCAAGCTATCGTGGAAAGGATCCTACGAGCGGCCCGGAACAATGAGAAGTACAAGATCATTGTGGTGATCCCATCAGTACCAGCCTTTGCCGGTGACCTCCGGGATGACGCGTCGTTGGGGACTCGAGCCATAATGGAATTTCAGTACAATAGCATCAACCGCGGTGGTCATAGTATCATGGAGAAGATTGCTCAGGCTGGGTTCAATCCCATGGATTACATCCGGTTCTACAATCTCCGGAACTACGATCGGATCAATGCTGGTGGCACAATGCAGCGGGTTGAGCAGAAAAGTGGAGTCAGCTATGAAGATGCTCGGAAACAACACGATGACGGAGTGGGGGCGGGATACGGTCCGCATGGAGAACGCACCAATACAGCACATCTATCGCAAGCATCGCAATACCAGCAGTACCAAACCACGGCTCAGAACATGGGACGACCAGGAAGTGGCCGTTGGGACAGCGTGGCAGAGTGCTACATGCTAGGAGGACAAGATATCCGCACCGTGCCCTGGGATGGTCCACCCGAAGCAGAGCTGGACGCCTTTGTCAGCGAAGAGCTATACATTCATTCAAAGGTATGCCTGAATTAACCTGATTGCTATATATACTGACTTCGTGTAGACTCTCATCGCAGACGATCGCGTCGTCATCTGCGGATCAGCAAACTTGAACGACCGGAGTCAGCTGGGCTCGCACGACAGCGAGATTGCGCTGCTCATCGAGGATCCGACGAAAGTGCAGAGCTACATGAATGGCCAGCCTTACCAAGCCAGCAGCTTTGCAGCTTCCCTGAGGCGCCAGCTCACCCGGAAGCATCTTGGACTGATTCGGCCTCAGTATTTCTTTCGGCCCGATCCCAACTTTGAGCCAGTCGGAGTACTCAATGCCTATGACTGGAATTCGCCTGAAGACAATGTCGTGATGGATCCTCTCAGCGACACTTTCCAAGCTTTGTGGAACAGCCGAGCAAGGACTAATACCGAAGTCTTCCGCAAAGCGTTCCGAGCTGTACCAGACGACTACGTGCATTCATGGTCCGAGTACAAGGAGTTCTATGAGTACTTCTATCGGCCCGCTGAGACCGATGCTCAGGGTAAACCGAGCAAGCTGCCACCGAGGGTCGAGTACGGACATGTGGTGAGAGCGGACTTCCCTGGTGGCGTACGCGAGCTCAAGGAACTACTGAGCCAAGTCAAAGGCACTTTGGTCGAGATGCCACTGTGTTTCCTTCAGAGTAAGTGAAGCCTGCTTTGACCTAGGTACAGTACTGTTACTGACGTTTCACAGATGAGGACATTGCTAAGGAGGGGCTGACATTGAATGCACTGACGGAAGAGATATACACGTGAAGTCAGTGTGAGCCTAGACCGGGTTTCCCATGATACCTAGCGTAGTCGGTAAACGATTGAATGACATACAAACGAATATTCCGATCAAGAAACTCCATGCCTTGTCTTTGGCTCGAGTCTATGCTTTGGAGTTCAAGGGGTCACTTCAAAATGTATTCAAAATGTGGCTCTTCGTGTCCGTCGTCCTAAAAATCCGTGGATGACCACAGGCAGTACCGACTCTGCTTGTATCGACTGTGTCACCCTTCGTGCCACCGACCTCGCCTCACCCAGCGACATCCCTGATGAGAGTTAGCGGCGCCGTGGCTCAGGTATCGACTTGAAGTGGCTCTCGCGCTTGATTCGTGATTGACCTCTTTTACCTCTTCCAGGTCCTCGGCCATCATTAGAAAGTCACTTGGTTCCCCACTTGGCTCTTCACCAATGCTTCACATAGTACTTCACTTCACAAGTTCACCTTTTCAATTAAGCAACATCGCCCTTTCCTTTCCTTTCCTTTCCTTTCCTCGTCTTCTGCTTCTACGTGTGCTCCCTCTTGTCTCCGTCTTTCGATCTGAAGACAGATCGTCAGCTTGAAGTCGAGTGCACATCCTTTCTCTGACCTACTTCTGGCCGCCTTCCATCCACGACTTTCACCTTCAAGATGGGCAAGATCAAATGTACCTACGAGGACTGCTTCAGGCACTTTGACGACCAGCAGTCCATGATTCGCCACAAGGTCAAAGATCCAGCTCACTCTTACTGCAAGATCTGCGATGTTGACTGTGCCGACGACATGTACTTCTTCATCCACCAATTGGCAAGCCCCAACCACAGTGAGTTTGACTTAACTATCAGATTGATACGAACATCAATTGCTAACCTTCGCTATAGTCTGTTGCCCAATCTGCGCCCTCGAGGTACGGAGACTTGAGAGTGAAACCCCTCTGTCAGAGCTAATGTACGCAGTTCAAAAGCACCTCTGCTCGAGATACTCATGTCTCCTCCGTATGTTGCCCTCGAAAACTCCAGAGTACCAGTCTGACTGTCCACAGCAACACAGGGCCAGTTCCAATATCGAATGCGCCGGTTGTCAGGAGCAATTCAACTCAGGCAACGCCTTGATGCGCCACATCGAGCAAGATGAGTGTCAAGTGATTTCAATCCAGGACTTCCAAATGCAGCGGGCAGAACGCCAGATCCAAAAACAGGCCTGGGAAACAGACGTCGAGCCCTTCGGCGTCGCCCCATCAGCACGACACCATAGGTCCATCACCAAGACGAAGGCAATACAGGATCTTCTCGACGCCGACCCGACCAATATACAAGGCCATTCACAGGCTGACTTGTCACATGGGCCTGATTCTGTTACCTCGCAAGCACAGTATCCGCCGCTGGTGCAGCCTCACGTCAACCCCGCTGCTCAAGCAAATCGACCACCCAACGTCAACACGAAACCGTCAAGCAACCTCATTGACCTCAACGGAACCGAAAGAGCCCTGTCAAATCTGAACATCAACCAACCGACCTGGGCCTTCGATCGACCTTCCGCTCAACAACCACCACCACAATATGCCAACGACCCTCGGATCAAGAACTGGGTCACCTCGGTGCGGACCGCCGCGGCGACCCCTCCCGCCGACAACGCCAGCGAAGTCGCTTCCATGTACGACAAGCCCGCCGTGGCGGTGTCCGACCTTTCGACCAGCGTCCCTCCACCCAGCACGCAGGCCCTCCCCAACACCAATGCGCCCCGTCAGCACGTCATCAGAATGCCCGCCCACACCGTCGTCAGCACGAACGCCCCGCTCGACATCGAGAAGTATTGGGACCCGATCCGCCAGGTCTACGGCTGCCCGACGACCAAATGCCGGCGCCAGTTCCGCACGGCCGAGCAGTTCCGCACCCATCTGCTCTCGAGCGCGCACATCGGCGGCCAAGTCACATGCCCGTCATGTCTCAAAAAGTTCGCCACCACGGCCGCGTGGGTCGCGCACACGGAGAGCGCGAGCAAGAAGTGCAATATCCGCACGAGTTTCGATTACAACCATGTTATGCGGGAGATTACGGGTGGAGTGCTCGGCACACGGGGCTTCAATGAGGACGGGAGTATCAAGTTTGTGGCGCCCAAGATCGATCAGTGGAATGAGGATGGGTGGTAAGCACCACACGAGAAGGGAAGTGATGCGACCATGGAGGGATGGGCGTGGAGACTACCATCTACCCAACTACTGACCCACCACCTATCCACCCGCTTACAACTTACCTATCCGCATGAGATACGAGGAGCAGAGGCAAGGGAGCAACTGCTCGGCATGACGGGCCTCGGAGAGCGATAGGGCCAGCGATATTGCTGGGCGACACTCCTGCTCGATATTGCTGGAGCAATCCTTCTGGTGGATGGATGATTGTGACGCCACGGGCACAGCAGATACGGAGGACTGGCCCCTTCCCATCTGGTCTTTGTTATCACCAAAGTAGGGGCCTTGAAGCCACCAAAAGTGCTATTACTGCAAGAAATTCCAATTCATTTACAAGGCAAGCGTGCTAGATAGCTATGAATGATATGAAGGATACGGAGAATATGAACGGGATGAAGCACAGCGCTAAATGCTAATTATTTACGCTTACACCTTGTTTACAACCGACTGGCAAACCCGTCGCGATCGACCTTGCACAGATAACTCCGATCGATCTCGCCGACCTGTGTAACTCCCGCAAGGCCCATACACAGGCGAAACTCGTCACTCAGCAACCTCAGACACAACTCGACGCCCTCTTGGCCTTTATACGCCAGCCCCCACAGGATAGGCCTCCCAACCCAGCAGAAATCCGCACCCAATGCCAGAGCCTTGAATATGTCCGTGCCGTGTCGGATCCCGCCGTCCACGTGGACGGGCACGCGCTTCTCCACCGCCGCGGCTACTTCGGGTAGAGCGTCGAGAGTGGCGAGCGCGCCGTTGAGTTGGCGGCCGCCGTGGTTGGAGACGATGATTCCGTCGACCTTGTGTTCGACGGCGAGCAGGGCGTCCTCTGCCGTGGCGATGCCCTTGACCCAGACTTGCATGTCCGAGCCGCACACGTCCTTTAGCCACGGGATCGTGTCCTCCCAGCTTAGCGTCGGGTTCGCGGCGTGCGTGTGGAACGTGATCGGTCCCGTCGGGGGCACGCGTTTCTTGCCGTCGTGGTAGCCCGCCGTGGAGGGCCGGCGCTGGCGTGGCATCTTGGGCCGTTGTTTCGACGCCGTCTTCTTCTCGTCCGTGGCGGTGGTGGGCCGGGAGTGGTCTTTGCCGACAGCGGTGTCGGTGTCGTCGTCCTGCTCGGCGAAGTTGGCAATGCTGAGGTGCGCGGGCAGTTTGAACTGGTTGCGGATCTCGAGGTTGCGGCGGCCGAGCATCGGGGTGTCGACAGTCAGGAGGACGGCCTTGTAGCCCGCTTGTTTGGCCCGGGCGATGAGTTTGAGGCTGTGCTCGCGCTCTTCGAACAGGTAGAGTTGCAGGACGTTGGGGTTGGGGCCGCTTGCCTCGGCGACGTCCTCGAGCGTGGACGTCGCGAACGAGGACAAGCCCATCACGATCCCACGTGCGCGGCAGGCTCGAGCGGTCGCAATTTCGCCATCACTGTGGGCCAGGCGTTGCATGGCCGTAGGGGCCACGCCGAACGGCGCGCTGTTTGTGTGTCCGAGTATCTTGACCGTGGTGTCGATTCGGGCTATGTTTCGCAGGACCCGTGGTCGGATGCGGTACTTCGAGTAGGCTGAGATGTTCTCCGCGAGGGTCGTGCCGCCGTCGGCGCCCTCGTTGTAATAGTCCCGTGTCTGCTTGTCCATGCGTTCGTAGGCGAGCTTTTCGAGCTCAGTGATCGTCAGGCAGTTTAGGTCGTGGGGTTCGGCTTGAGGGGCGCGTGGTGCGGCTCGGGACGGGGACGAGGAGTCGGAAGAGCCCATGGCGACCGAATGCTGGTTGTGTAGAAGGACAGAGCACAGACGTGGCGAGCAGCTATGGAAGTGTAGCAGATTCAAGATGTAATTACTTACAGTACCGAGTATCTGGGACCTACCTCTTCCATGGTCGGGGACTCGCGTGAGTGAGAGGCGTCGATCATGACAATGTACGGAGCGAGTGTGAGCCAGACGCCGATGACGCCGTGCGACTGGAGAACGCTCTTATCTGGCAGATCGAGCCTGGATCGAGAGGCTGGAGGTAGCTGGGAGATTCGGCCGCTGAAGCATGACGTCGTGGATGCGGAAAGGGAAAAGAGAAATGAGCAAACGGAAGCTGAAAGTGTGGGGAAGCCAGTGCCGCGTTCGACGTTGGAGAAAATAGCCTGAAATGCGATGGAAGCGTAAAGGCATTTTGCGCGTCGTCAACAGAAGCGAGGCTGTTGGAACGATGATGGCAGAAATTTGAGCAGAGTAGTTACTCGTAAACATATCTCACTCTATGGTTCCCGCACCGGCGTCAACGCTTCCCACTTGTTCCAGTTCCCTGCCTCACCTGTACGCCCTGACGGACGATCATGGACCTCTCCACAAATACCTTCCGCGATATCCTCACGAACCCCATACACACACGATGGATAGCGCCGTTATTACTAGCTGGGGAGGCTTTGCTGTGTGCTCTGATCATATGGAGGGTGCCCTACACCGAGATCGATTGGGAGACATACATGGTTCAAGTGAAGTTGTTCCTCCAGGGTGAAAGAAGCTATCTGAAAATTTCGGGGCCTACTGGTCCGCTGGTCTACCCTGCTCTCCATGTCTATATCTACTCGATCCTCTACACCCTCACCGATGCGGGGGCAAACATCCTGCGAGCCCAGATCATCTTTGCGGGCTTGTACCTTGTCACGCTGGCTCTGGTGTTCGCGTGTTATAGACGAGTGGGCGCTCCACCTTGGCTTCTGGTCCCACTGGTAGTGAGCAAGAGAATGCATTCGATATTCTTGCTGAGGTTATTCAACGACTGCTGGGCCACGTTCTTCCTCTGGGCAGCTATTTACCTTCTGCAACGTCGAAAGTTTGAGGGCGGAGCGTTCGTCTGGGGGTTGGGCCTAGGTGTGAAGATGACGTTGCTTCTAGCTGCCCCTGCGGTGGGAGTTGTCTTGTTGCAAGCTATCGGAAGAGGTGAAGCAGTGTTCACTGGGTTCTACATCGCGGCTGTACACATCCTCATGGGCCTGCCCTTCTTCGGCCAGGACCAGGACACAGGCTTGTCATACTTCTCTCGCTCATTTGATCTGAGCAGACAGTTCTTGTACAAGTGGACTGTCAACTGGAGATTCATCGACGAGGAGACGTTTCTGTCTCGTCCCTTCGCCATCAGCCTCCTAGTTATCCACGCCTCCCTGCTGCTCCTATTCTTCCAGACGAAATGGGTCAGACCGAGCGCCTCGAATCTAGTCGAATTCGTGAGGAAGTATATGGGAGGTATGAGTGAGGTGGAAGAGAGGAGCATTGCGAAGAAGATTACGCCAACTTTTGTGACGGACGTCGTTCTCAGCAGTATGGTCATAGGTCTGCTGTGTGCTCGGAGTCTGCACTACCAATTTTTTGCGTACCTTGGATGGGGCACGCCGTACCTGTTGTGGAGATCTGGTGGAAATCCGGTCTTCGTGCTGCTGATGTGGGCGGTCCAGGAATATGCTTGGCTGGTGTACCCGAGCACAACTGTGAGCTCAATACTGGTGGTGCAGCAGCTGGCTATTCAAGCCATGTTTGCTCTGATTGCACCACCAGTCGACCACATCAGCGTCCCACCAACGAAGCCGGAAGAGCTGCGAAGCTGAGGGACAGATACCACCAATATTTCAATCCTCCTCGTCGTCAGATGGCGGCATCTTGCCTACCAGTGAGTCCTCCTCGTCGCTGTCCCCTGCTGCCGGCTTCTTGACGAATTCTTGTGGCCAGAAGGGCTGTTTCCTCCATGCTTTCTCGTCTCGGACGATGTTCACGATTTCTCCTTGAATCTTGTTTTCACGGGAAGCCGTGGTTGTGGTGTCGACAAGGACATAGCCCCCACGTCTGACAAAGATTGTCCCTCGAAATCGAGCTTCGAGTTCGGCAAGGAGTTCGGATGAGTCTGCTGTTTGGACAGTGTACAGATCTTTGCCATGAGCCTTGACCACGCGTGCAATCAGTTGACCCGGTGCCAAGGTGTCAGGAGGAGTGAGGGTATCTTCTGCGGCGTTACGAATCTTGCGGCGAGACATGGCAAGTACTGAAGCAGATTTGGCCGTGGTGAATCTGGTTGGCGAGCGGATGCAAGATGCGGTGACCTGAACTGTGACTGCGGGAAAATCTGAGCGGGGATGTGGTACGCCTGGTGGCGCTTGCCACATGCGGAAATCTTGCCGCCGCCCTCCGTTGAGAATCTGGAATCTTTCCCATTCAACATCATGCATTCTATTAAGCCGGCTTTATCAGCTTCTCTGCACTTCAGCGGAGTCGGCGATACGCGCTCGAATTATGTACTCATCTTCCTCCAGAAAGTGGGCTTCGAGCGATGATCAGCAGTTGCCAGACCCGCAATGTCCAAAATGCTCCCCTGCAGCAGCAGCAATTTCTAAGTTCTGCACCGCAGCTCATGACCTCAAATCTGCACTTCTTGCTACACAGGCTAATGAGTTCAGGCTACAACAATGAGGCATGACTTTGACTCCGTAGGTATATGGACTTCCTCTTCTACTGATCGAGACTCTGCTGCCTTTTGCTCGTGGCTCCTTCGTCTGCCGTTGCCAATCGTGGCCCACATCATTCCAGTCCACGATGTCTGTCCAAGCCTTTGGCGCCTTCATCACCCACGAAAGCGGCCCTACCCCTGGCCTTAGTGGACCGGCCGCCGTTGTACACAAAGACAGTATAACCAGTGTGACACCTGCTGAGCATGAGTTTGACGAGCTGCAATGGGGCCGCCGGCTCAATGGACCACGGACTGCATCTTCACGAAATGCGTCACCAACAGGACGGGCAGTTCCTCTGACACCTGACGAACTCGAGCGCAGTCAGCCAGCTACCCCGAAGCGAGATCATGCCGTTGACGCCATCGTGCACTCCGCCTCGAATCCACCACGAAATCGATGGCGACTGGCAGCTTCCTGTGTCATGTTCTTCGTCATGGGGCTCAATGACGCCGCCACTGGTGCATTGATTCCTTACCTGGAGGAGGAATACAGCATTGGTTATGCCATTGTGTCCTTGATCTTCATCACAAATGCTCTAGGATTCATCTCGGTGACACCGTTCATCCAGCGGGTCGAAGCTCGGCTTGGCCGTTCTCGCTGCTACCTGGTCGCGACCGCAATGATGAGCGCCGGTTACATTGCCATTGTCTGTACTCCACCATTTCCAGTTGTCGTTCTCAGCTTCTACTTTCTCGGGTGCGGAATGGGGGTGTTCTTAGCCATGACAAACACATTTATTGTGAACTTGGTCAATGGCACTGTCATTCTGGGCTTCTGCCACGGTCTTTACGGAGTAAGCATGTCCTTCTCGATACTGCATGCTTCGAAGCTGATCAATGGCAGTTGGGCGGCATCGTATCTCCCCTGATAGCTACAAACATGGTCTCCAGCGGTATTCATTGGGCTTATTTCTACTTTATCCCCCTCAGCCTCGCCGTGTTCTCGTTCTTCTTCATGGGATGGTCATTCCTGGGCTTTGAAAAGGACGCTGCGGTCCAGCTACTCTCATCTCTTCAACGCACTGCTTCACGGCAAGCCACTACGCGGGGAGAGCCCACAAAAAAGCTGGTTCTTAGAAAGGCTGTCAGAAGCAAGACAACTCTTCTTGGTGCGGTTTTCATATTGTGAGTGTGATCCCTTCAGCTGTTGATCAACCGTCTGACGTCTCATAGCTTCTACCAAGGCGCTGAGGTGGCCATCTCTGGATGGGTTATCTCATACCTCATCCACTACCGGCGTGGCGATCCGTCCCATGTCGGTAATGTCACATCAGGTTTCTGGGGGGGCATCACTGTGGGCAGATTCATCCTGACTCACTTTGCTCAAAAGATCGGCGAGAAAGTGGCCGTGGTTGTCCTGATCATCGGAGCAGCCGTCTGTCAACTCCTCGTCTGGCTGGTACCAAATATCGTAGGGAACGCCGTGGCCGAGTCCATTGTTGGCCTGTTCTTGGGGCCAATCTACCCATGTGCTACTGCCATCTTTGCCAGATTATTGCCCCGGGACATTCAGATCAGCAGCCTGTCAGTTGTGACGTCGATGGGCAGCTCTGGTGGCGCCCTAGTACCTTTCATCACTGGTATATTGGCTCAGAAACTGAGCACTGTTGTCCTTCATCCGGTGGTTCTGATCTCGTTTGGGGCAATGACAATGACGTGGCTCCTGCTGCCACGCATCGGGAAGAGGGCGGAATAGTTCACACGATCTCTCTACTTGACCTCACCGATCACTCACTTCACGTGGCTCGACGTATCCTCGCCAAGACCGCCTGTTCCGACTCCACTCCCATACTATCGATTTCCACCTCGGATCGACCAGCTTCACGCACGAGATTTATTTCGTGGACGACCAAAACTCCGGTACGGCCTCGACTCAAACGCTTCTGAAACAAGTCCTGAAGGTCTGAACCGCAGGCTGACTGGCCCGGCCTGAGCTGGGGAACGCCACCTGCTCCAGTGACTTGATACCGTGGTGGGACGAAATTCAATCTTGTCACACACATGTGTACCGAATTCTAGCAAGGGTACAATTCGCTTGCCATGAATCGATCTAGTGACGGTCCTAAACAACCTCGGAGCCTGCGCAAACAGCTATACCAATGGTTCCATCGAGCGATCAATCAATGTCTCGACGACCGTGATGAGCAGTCTGTTTCCTCATTCTCGACCCATCCGGCAGGTGGTCGCCCTACAATTACTCCACATCACGACACTGACAGTCACAATGGCGCTCTGGGTCCATTGGCGGCAGGCGACATTTACCGCTTGCGGTTCAAAGTGTGTGATCTTTCCCAAAAACTTTCTGCCTCACCCTGTCACGAGCAACAGCATCCCATTGTTCGATAGCCACCATTCGTCCGCATATTACATCATTCTGTCACTTGCTATTGTGAACAGCCGGAAACCTGCAATCGAGTGCAGACTGTCACGATAGATTTCATCCTCAGTGCAGATGCATTCGCAATGCAAAATGCCTTATTATCATGTCCCATATCCCTTACTTTCTGTACAGACGGACTTGGTCCTTATGAAACAAGAAAACATAACGATGCCATAGTCTCTCTTCATCTACACATGGACTTCTATCTACTCTTAACCGTGCATATATTGTCATATCTAACAATCTTGCTCCAGGCGTCACCACTCGCGGTCACCAATTTGACGGTAGTCACGAATGCCACCAGTCCAACAACTGTTTGCAAGCAGTATCCTCCTCTCGTCGACATTGTCTGCGCCGATCTCCTCGGAGACGTTCACAGCGCCACAACCTACGTCAAGCGCGATCTAGGATTCCAGGGCCAGATCGGACCCTATGTATTGCTCAGCTACGGTGACACCCTGTACAGCGATGCCAGTTACAGCGATACATGGCGAGGGATGACGAGCGACTCGGTTGCTTTAGCTACGCAAGACCCTCTCGTGGTTGTCGATCCCTTTCTGAACACGGACGGCTATCCTCCACAATTTTGCCCACTGATATCCTCCTTTGGGGAAGACCCATCCGAGTGTGCCATGGGCATCACTAATGTTGTTGAGACAACCGCGCCAAACGAAGGAATCATCTTCTTCCTCCTGAATCACCGTCCAAATGGGACGAACAATCTCATGGGCGCAGGCGTTGCCTCCATCATTCTCGATACATCCTCGTACCCTCCCGTTCCGCAGATCAGTCGTCTACCTCCCCAATACTGGTGGGATGCAACGTGCGAGCCCTGGTATGGTGACGTATGCGCACTGCGGTGGAAGGACCACATCTACGCATATGGCCACGGCATGGAGGGCAATCCGTGGGTATACCTGACAAGAGTCCGTGCAGATGAAGCAACAAACGTCAACTGCTACGAATACTGGAATGGAGAAGCGTGGCAAAGCGGGAGACTCGACGGGACTGCGATTGGGGAGAAAGAGAGCGTGTTCTGGCAGATCAACCAGGGGCAAGTGATCTGGTCGAACTACTTTGGCTGTTTTCTTTTTGTGTACTGTGGTATGGTACCGCCCTTCTCTCTTGTCATGATCTAGAAGCTTACAATCGAACAGACAACTGGATGAACTCGAAGGTGCTTCTAAAAACCGCTCAGCGACCTGAAGGACCGTGGTCGGACCCGATTACATTGTATCAAGCGACACCTTTGACGGACGGCAGCTCGATCTACGCCGCTGTGCCACATCCATATTTTGACGAAAGCGGAAAGAGCTTGGTGGTTACCTTTACCAATCACCCAAACACCATTCAAGCTGTGCGGATTGTGTTCGCTTAGCTGCTGCGGTAAGGAAAAGAATTGCCACCCAAGAAAGTCTCCTGGAGCTCGCGCAGGCGCGGACAGACTGCCATAAAGTGAGCAGATGTTGGTGAAAAGACGGTCAGGGAAGCGATGTGGTGGCCACTTGATCCTCTCTAGGTAGACTCCTTGAGTTCCACGTGAGCACAACGCTGTTCTCCAAATGCTGGTGAGATTTATCTTCTGTGTCAGTTCGTCGCCCTTCCATTTTCTGCTCGCAAGTAATTCGGACACGTGCATGTGGTACGTAGCACACCGCGTGGTGGCCACGACGCGCTACACCTCGAACGCGACTCGGGATCTCCTATCCTCACCCCTACCTCACACCTGCCTCATCTGTGATCCGATTTTCCACCACATCGAAACTGGTCTGCATTTCCGCACTGATATCTTTCTCGCTCCTCGTGCGCCAGAATGGATTGGAACTCTCTGCGCGAAGAGCGCCGATCGGAAGTTGTCAGCCAGTTTTCCTCTGATATCTCACCAAGGAAGAGGTGCCCTTAGCTCTGCAAGTGGCAGCAAGGCCGTCAGCAATAGGACATTTAATTGGAAAAGTGGTATAAGCAAATTGAATGGCCAGCTTAATCATTCGTGGTCTATCAGGCGCACACCACGCATACTGGCCCGATCACGGAAAAGGAGCAGTAAAGCAGGAACGCGGCACTACGGCTCAGCTTACACTTTACAAGGTGAGTAATAGGTTTTCAGAAGTCCACCTATCTTCGTCCATTCGATTGTTTCCACGGGGTTCTCTATAATGGCATCGAAGGTTTGTCAGGCGCACAAAATCTGGTGTTCTCCTCGGGGACGAATACCTGCATCTCGATATGTCTCGTTGATTCAATGTTGGCCAGAAGTCATGGTTACCCCCTCTATCCACATCTCTCGGCACTCACGAGCTTGCATAAGGGTCTACTAATTCAGTTTTTGCACAGCACCTCCACTCAACCCGCTCCGACTCAGACTGTTTCCAGTGGCCTGCCGGTCACCCGTTATCCAGCTAGGCCCAGATCTGGTCTTCATGCAAAAGCGGTCCACCTGCACGTCTCGTCTGCTCAGTGGGCCCTTGTCGCCCTATCCCTTCCACACGAAATTCTGGTTGACGGTACCCTCGCACAATGGCCTCAACGCCATGCCATAATCGCCTGCATTCGGCGTCCTCAACAATGTATGGATATGAAATTTCGCCGGCTCTTTGTTGGTCAAGAACACGCCCGAGTGGTGGTCAAATTCGACAATCACGACCGGGGACTGAATGCGGAAGTAGAAAGGAGAGTCGTTGTCGAAGCCACCGATCCACGAGAAATACGTCTCCGAGTAGAAGGCTTGGTATTCGGCCAGACGGATAGCGCGGGCCTTCTCCGGCAAGTAGAGGAGGTATTGGGTCAGGATGGCAGTGACAAGATCCTGTTGATGCTGGCCCAGCGACGAGACAATGACACCCTCGTACGGTACGACGCGGTTGTCACGGTACGCGCCGCACAGGTGGCGTTGGTCGTCGTGGTTCCAGCGGCCCTCGGGCATGGCGGGGTCGCGCATCGCCTTGTAGGTCTGGACTTTGGCCTGGAGATCCGCAGAGAGGGACTGCATGAGCTCGAGGCCCAGTCTTTCCTCCTCGTGCAGAATGCGCGTGCCCTTGTAGGGGCCGTGGTCTATGATGTTGGGTTCCGCGCCCGTGAACCACGGCGAGACCACGATCTGGGCACGGTACAAGAACACGTTCAAGCACAAGTGGTGGCCGTAGAAGCCGAATCCCCATGGCCCGTTCGTGGACGGCGTGCCGAACAACACGAAGTTATACGAGTATTCATTCATCACGGCCGTCCCGCTCACCAGCTCGCCCAGGAATCCGTTGATGCGCATTGCCGAGATAGCTTTCTCGTACCCCTCCGGGGAAAGCGTCGCGCTCAGCACGGCGAGCACGTTGTCCCGCACCGAGAGGTCGAGTTCGTCCAGCCGGATGCCCTTGTCGCTGAGGAGGAATTCGGGGTTCGACCACGTCCGCCACTCCGGGCTGTCGATGTGGTGTTGGAGTCGTGCGGTCTGGGCGGGCGAGAGGTGAGACACAAGCGTCTCTGTCTTGGAGACGATGTCCGCCATGGGGATGCCTTCGTCCTGGATCTTGAAGAGGCCGTGTCGCACCATGCCGTCGCTGGTCACGCCCTTGAACGGCTCTTTGAGCAGTTCGAGCCAGTGCTTGTAAAGGGCGTGGATCCAGGGTGGGATCCCGGATTCTTTGAATGACTCGGCATAGACGTGAGCGTCTTGTTTGGCCATGGTGGTGAACCGCGGGATGGAGAGGTCGGGGAGGTATTCGCGGTATGCGCTGGATGGTGCTGAGTCGGCCATGTTGGGATTGTCCTTTGGAGAGAAGACGAGAGTAGCGGAGAGCGGATATTTGGTGTATGATGTTCTTCGGTCGAGGCTGCGTTTCCTTGGATCTTGGCCTCGAGCTTTGAGCCCTGTTGATATGAAGCCCCTGCGCAAAGCGTGATTTTCCCTGCGTCTTAGCAGTAGGCTTAAAGGTCGAAGAACAACGTTGCGGATATGCGCTGGCTTGTATCTTGTGCTCGCTCGGGCTCGCTTGTGAGGTCAATTCAGCGTCGTGAAAGGCTTTGACTTGGGCCGACTGGACAGGCGCCTACCTCTTTACTTCGTGGGCTACGGTTCGTTGCACCGAGCAAATCCAATGCCAGATGTGTTTCAACCAGACCAAGAAGACGTCGTCCCCGCGTATGACAATGTGGGGCAATGGTGGCCGTCTTCGGAAGATGCACCCTTCGCCAGTCCGACCCTGCACGTTTCGATACTGTACTTTTCGTGTCCACTAATTCCTCTTTACGCATATATCAAGCTGAGGTCACACCACGAGGCCTGACAACTCAGCATGCTCAGAAAGGCGGCATGCTCTGTGCCGTGGAAGCGTAAGTTGCTCTCTGCTCCTCGGTTCTCGTGCCAAATCAAATCTCACTCTCAATTTTAGGATTGGTCCGTTTCGTTCCTCGGCGGGATTCATCCAAAATCCTCCTCGGACACCCTCGAGACGACAACATCGACGTCGGACTTGCTGTGCGGACAGGCCAAGATGTCGCTGTCGATATCTTCTCAGGGTCATCCGTATTGTCGCCCGGTCAGGCGACTGGGACTAGCGACATCATCGACAGAGTGCTTTCTCCCCTGGCAGGCACTGAGGTCGGCACCATCCGATGTATCGGCTTGAACGTGAGAATGTGTTGCCCCTGGGAACCGGGGCGCAAAACAGCTGATCAGCAACAACATCTGCCAGTACAAGCAACATGCAGCGGAGGTCAATATGGCCTTGCCGACCGTGCCGACCGTGTTCATGTGAGTTGAGTTGATCGCGCTCAGAATTCTCCAGCCACTTATCTAAACACGAAACCCGGCCAGGAAACCAGATACATCTCTCGGCGATCCTTGGCCCGCTCCTACTGTCCTACCAAAAATCACACAGCTCGACGACTGTGGCGACTACGAGGCCGAGCTCGCGGTCGTGATTGGCAAAACGGCCAAGGACGTTTCGGAAGCCGACGCCATGTCTTATGTATTGGGATACACTGCCTGCAACGACATCTCCAGTCGTACGCCGCAGTTCGCCCAGAGCCAATGGAGCTTCTCGAAGGGGTTTGATGGCGCCTGTCCCATTGGACCGACGCTGGTGTCGCCGTTGCTGATTCCCGATGCGGCGAAGCTTCGCGTCCGTGGGCTGAAGAACGGAGCCGTGCTGCAAGATTGCGGGACGGACGATTTGATCTTCTCAATCCCGCAGCTGATCAGCTTCTTGTCCCAAGGCACCACATTACGGCCTGGCACATTGATCATCACGGGTACGCCGGCGGGAGTGGGTATCGTGAGGAAGCCGAAGGTCACAATTACGCAGGGCGACGAGTTTCACGTCGAAATCTTGCCCCACATTGGCACGTTGGTGAATGTGTTTGCAAACGCGCAATGAGGGCCTGCCCAGAGCGTTGTTGGTCTGAGCTTCTCACGGCGAGTGGGCTGCATTCCTCAGTCGTCTCGACGCACAGACATCCAACTCAACAGGCTGCGCTCCCTTGCCGCAATGCCTCAAGACCACTCGAAGCCCCGCGACATCCTCTCACAGCGCCTTTGACCTTCAGCATTATCCCTAGTCGGGTAATCTCTGCTCGCATGGTGCATGAGGTGGATAGTTCATGCTCTAACATCCATGAGCGGACCGAAAAAGATGGCTTTGTTTGACGAGCGCAAAGACGTCCGAAACAACCGCATCCAGACAGAGACATCCGCAAGTGGAAGTCAATAGTCGCAGTGGTTGTCTTATATGTCGGGGTCCACAGGGAGAAGGCAGCCCATTTGATCAGCCGGCGTCACCCACACGGAGCTCCTTCTCGGTCATCCTCTCGCCGCTCTCACCACAGTCGTCTGTACGGACCAAGATGCACATCTCTGCCGGAAGCACCCTCGCGACGGTCGCTGTCGCCATCTTTGCCTTCAGAGCGTCAGTTGCAGCGCAAGCAATCCCCGAAATCACCGCACCTGGGATGCCCCCTATGAGCGACAATCAAACGTGGATGATCACCCCCCCATTGACACCAGATGACGAGGACTACATCGACGAGTCTGATTACGCAAGGCTCATGAAGAGAGCCCCCCCAGCCGGTTCATACATATGCGACGGTACAAACTGGGGCGGCAAATGCAAGTGGACACCAATGACGGACTACCAATGCCTCGACTACCCCGCCAATGCTGCTTCCTCGTTCGGTGTAAGCTTCTCTCATGTTGGGTGCTTATGCACTCTGCTGACTTTCTTTTCTCTCTCCTAGGCACCTCAAGGCTGGCAATGCAAGATCTTCTACAGCAAAGGATGCACGCCCGGCACTGGCACCGATGGAAAGCTTACATACCCGGGCACCCCGAACCTGGGAGCCACTTATAACAGGAAGGACAAGCCAGGGTCGTACATGTGCAGGATGTGCAATACCGCGTCCGGGGATCATCCGTGGTAAGTACAAAGCCAAAGCTGGTCGAAGACCTAGTTTTACCGCCCTTTCGGGTCATCAGGCTGGAGAACCCATACACACTGTATACTGACGACGATGTTTTCTTTGGCAGCGTCAACAACAATGCGCCGGACTTCTACTTCGCACAAGTCAAGTATGGATATGGCGGGGACGGAGGTACCTGCACTTCTTGGGATGCCAACATCGGGACCACCAAGAAGTATACCTGCTTACCGCAGGCGACTGTTGATCCTCACTTCGTGTAGAGCGCCGAAGAGAAGATGGTGAAGAGTGACAAGATTCGCATTGCTTTCCTACCTGCGTCTGCCGCCTCCGTTTAGAAGGAAAAAGCATCGCCTTGTGAGAAGAGTCTCCGGATGTACGCATCATGCTATTTGGGAAGGGAGTCGGACTTCACTGACAACCAGAGGGGCATCGTCTCTGCGGAGTCAGAATGCCCACTTCTACAGGAGGACGCGCCCGGAAGGTCGGAGGAAGGGCCGAAGCGGGTGAGGTGCGGGCGTCGAAGGCGAAGACCATGCGATGCCATGTCTTGGAAGCAGCGTTGCTGGTAATGATGTAGCAGAAGTCTACGTAGTCGGTGATACGGTCGGGAAATCATTGATTCAGTTATCGAGTCATTGGCGATTGCTCATATGTCCGCGCCGTGATACGTATCTATTTCTGCCCGCAATCGCTTCCGATAGTGAGTCCCCATGCGCGCATGTGAAAGCTGACATGTCAAGATGGGGTGTTGACGAATGTTGAGGTGATACTGGTCCATAGAAGTAACACTAACGATATCCAACAGCATCCATTCAATCCAACGAGATTGCACTCTGTCGAAAGTGCTTGGTCCTCCAACGGGGTCCAACAGCGTCTACTGATACGAGTAGAATAATTAGGTGCGTTGAGGGCCTCTCCTGTGAATATCGCCATTAAAATCCAACAAGAGCTAATGCTGCCTAACAGTATCGCACTTTACGAAAAGTGCTAAACTCTTCAACGCAGCCCAACAGTGTCTACAAGTAAACTGAATAAGGGTGTCTTAGAGGCTACTCCTGCAGACTGAGCCTGCAAATTCAACAGGCACCAACGCTGCCTAACGCCATCGCACTTTGTAAAACGTGTTTAGTTCTCCAACGCGGTCTAACAGCGCCTACGAGTAAAGTGAATAAGGTTGTGTTAGGGGCCTCTCCTTTCGATGTCGCCTGTACAATCCAACAGGCGTCAGCACTACCTGGTACCTAATAGTATCACACTTTACGAAAAGTGCTAGGTCCTACAACGACATCTAACGCTACCCAACGATACAGCACTGCACTTCAGGGGAAATGCTGCAAGGAGGAGCTTCCACGCATACCAAGCCAACAGTGGGCGTAGAGCAAAGCGTGACACCCAGCGGAATGTCTCCCCGCTAGTTATTGACGTCATGGCTGTTTTTACCACCTGATGCGCGTTGCTCGGTAGGTCCGAACCACATATCTTGTGGACGCTTCCATTTCTCTCTGGACTTGACCAAGACTATTTCGCCGAACACACTTACTAAGAGCAAAATGCCCGCTACTACGAGAAGCAAGAGTAACCTACAGCAGACGCACCTGGAAGATTTCGAGGACAAACCTCAGAAAGAGAAAGCTAACACCTCCAAATCCCGACGCCCGAACGCGTCGAAAACAAAGGACGCCACAACAGGGACAAGCTCAAAGCGCAAACAGCCGGAGGACGAGGAAAAGCCTCAGAAAGCTTCCCGACCGACAAAGAAGCAAAAGGAGACGCACAAGGAGGCTTCAGTCAAACCCGAAGAAGATGACGAAGACAACAAGCCCGTCATCATAAATCGCGCGCCAGTCTTACAGCTATGGGCCGCTTGTGTTGCGCAGAAGCTATACCCCAAACTGTCTTGGAACACGCATCTGAGTATCGGCTCCGCGGTATCCGCGCTATGTGCCATTTCCAAGGGTCGTGCCATCGGCACGATTGACCAGCCGACTGATGATCCGGGAAAGAAAGCCGAGAAGGAAAAGAAGAAACAATCCGCTGGGAAGGGCGCCGACGATGAAGTGGATGTCATGTCCTTCAAGCTCTTGTTAAAAGACGGCAGTGCCATCGTTTCTGGGAAGCCGCAGAAGGCCAACGAGGCAGCTTTGATCAAGAAGTATGGAGAAGCCGAATACGAGAGGACGAAGAAAGCGATGGAGGAAGCGATTGATGCTTTCGAAGCCAAGGCTAAGAAAGGGGAGTTGAACAGAACCGCGTTTCACATGTATGAGGAGTTTCGTCCGAGCGTGCAGCATGGGCAGGGAGGATGGGGTAAGAAGGGAGAGCTGAGGTTGGAGAAGATCATGGAGCTCGCAGAGAAGCGGTGAGTCAGTGGTAGGAGCAGCTTTGCGGCTTGGGACGCATGTTTGAATATGTACTGGATGCTGAACTTGGCGTGAAGTTGCGTATAGGACCTGTGCACGTTAACTCAGCAGTGCGCTCGCAGTTCACGAAGGCCACGCTCATTCACGGCAAGATTCTCCATGGAAAGCTCAGACACACGCTGCGCCAACGCGTCCGCTGTTGCCCTTGTACAGTCGAGACTGCCCCTAGGTGCTGTTCACCACGATAACGGAAACAGCCCGGTGATAGACCGATTTCCTTGGTCGATCTATCCCGCTCGGCGACAACCAAAATGCGAAGACTTTGACAGGGGAGCAGCATCGCACTCAAAATGTTGGTTCTCTAGACCCCGGCATCAGGGACCGACAATTTGCTGAGCTTCGCTGGGTGGATGCGTGGAGACGCGTGGACACTTCTGAGGATAAGCCGCGGAAAGGTTGTATCAATGTGGCCACGCGACTTAATGCGAGTGCTCTTGGACTATGACGGTATCAGAGACCCTCGTGCAAAGTGTAGGATAAGTGACGCCTTCACGGATATGTACCATATAATTAGGTGCGCCTGCCCAGCCAGGCGGAGTAAAGAAATCCCGGGCTCCAGATGGGACCGAGGAAACATTCGGCATCCTCTCAACTTCTTCTCGTCCCCATCTGCATTACGGAAAAGAACCTGCACGACTATTAGGTTAATCTGTTAAGGCCCTCAACGGTGAGCAGGCTCCCGAAGTGATGGCGCTGCCTCAGGAGCCGGTCACATGCAAGCGGCCCAATTTCCTTATCATCGTGGCCGACGACTTGGGGTTCTCGGATGTTGGCGCATTTGGGGGAGAGATCAACACCCCTAACATTGACGGCCTCGCACGCGATGGCCTCAGATTTACGGACTTCCATGCAGCAGCCGCGTGCTCCCCAACTCGATCAATGCTGCTAAGCGGCACGGACAACCGCAAGTGCTGTCCCTGAAGTGCCGGGCTTTTTCAAATCCGTTGTGCTGATCCGATATTCTAGACATTGCCGGCTTAGGAACGATGATAGAAGCAATAAAAGAATTCCAGAAGGGTCAGCCAGGCTATGAAGGGTATTTGAACGACCGAGTGGCGGCGTTGCCCGAACTTCTTCAAGATGCCGGGTATTTCACCCTCATGTCCGGAAAGTGGCACTTGGGAATGACGCCAGATCGATACCCTTCGAAAAGAGGATTCGACCGCTCGTTCAGCTTGCTCCCGGTATAGTCCTTCCCACAACGTCAGATTCCTTTCTGACCATCATAGGGCGGAGCGAACCATTATGGCTGGGAGCCGCAAGTGCAAGAAGAGGTACCAAGTCTCCTTAAGCGGAATGGTGCTTTCTATGCTGAAGGTGACTCACCTGTGTCTGTGGGCGACCTGGGCCCAAATTTCTATTCTTCACAGTCATTCACGACAAAGTTGTTGCAGTACTTCGAGGAACGGAATGAAGACCAGAAGCAAAAACCCTTCTTTGCTTACTTGCCATTTTCAGCGCCTCACTGGCCATTACAAGCTCCGGAAGAGGACCGTCGGGATTATCGAGGCCTATATGACGAAGGTCCAGACGTGCTGCGACAACAGCGCCTCAGGAGACTCGAAGAACTTGGCATCATTACTCCCCAAACAAAGGCCCACGAGGTCTTTGCCCTACCACTCGACAAGCCGTTAAGCAAAGACTGGAGCGACTTGACCGCGGACGAGAGGAAATTCTCATCCCGGACGATGGAGATTTTCGCGGCAATGGTACAGAATATGGACAAGAACATCGGCCGTGTTCTTTCGTACCTCAAATCAACCGGAGAGTACGACAACACCTTGATCGTGTTCATGTCCGACAATGGCGCAGAAGGTTTGCTGTTGGAGGCATATCCCGTTGTAAACGAGAACATCTTCGACTATATTGACCGATACTACGACAATAGTTATGAGAATATGGGCCGGAAGAACTCCTATATCTGGTACGGCCCGCGGTGGGCATCGGCAGGTATGGCGCCACTCAGACTATACAAGTCCTTTTCGTCAGAGGGTGGTATCCGAGTACCTTTCATCTTGCGGTACCCGCTATTGACAGATTCGCGGGCCGGTGAGCTTGATCGATCTTTTACAACAGTGATGGACATCGCGCCAACTCTTCTTGCACTTGCAGGTGCACAGCACCCAGGAGCAACCTACAAGGGCCGGCCTGTTGTGCCAATTCGAGGGAAATCGTGGTTGCCATATCTGTCTGATCCGGCAAAGCAGCGATATATCCACGGTGAAGACTCGGTTGTCGGATGGGAGCTCTTCGATCGGCAAGCTCTGCGAAAGGGAATGTGGAAAGCTGTCAAGATACCCCAGCCTTTTGGACCGGGGGAATGGCAATTATACGACCTGGAGCATGACCCAGGAGAAACCGTCGACTTGCGAGCAGCTCATCCCGAAAAACTACAGGAGCTGTTACAACATTGGAACCAATACTGCAAGGATGTGGGTGTCGTCGATGCAGCGCCGCAATTTGGTACCCTTCGAGTAGATGAAGGCTAAGAGAGACATGCCGACTCCATCAGCGGTACAGACCACGTCCACGCACGTCCAATGCTATGCTCTGGCTTTTTGCCCTGCTCGACTGGTCTAGGCCACAACCTTTTCAGTACAACAAGCTTCGGCTTCGTGCTTATCGCCGAGCCGGATCCCCTAACTTAGCCTTCCGATATTTCAACGAGGGGCAGAGGGGGATTTACCCCCAGGGCTTGGATCAATGAGGGGCGGCCATTTTACTTTCCCCCAGTTTCGCTGAGCCCCACGCTTCTCAGTCACGAGGGTTAGTGGTAGGCGCGATCCACTGCCTCGTCGACCACCAGTAACTACCTAGGTATGCCTGCCGTACAGGAAGCTTTGCAAAGGGCACCCACATCCGTTCTACGCTCCGCATTTCTCCCACGAGCTTTCGAGATAAGGTTCACATCTCAGCTATGGCCGACGGAATCCCACTTTCTTAGTCAGCCCTACCTGAACTCGGCAGTGATGTTCTGGAGACTGTGGTACCCACTGCAGGTTATTCTAAAAGGCGCCTACAAGAGTCCGCATATTTGGTGTTGCTCCAACACAGAAGTGCCTCTGCTCAATCCGATATCGATTTTGGCATCGTTAGAAACACTGTTCGAGGGTTGCTAGCACCAGGCGTCCGTTGCTCACCTCGGTCGCAATGACGCATCCGATGAGCGGTGTTCAAGGCCTGCCAACCTTTACCCGTCATATCACGACGCACAATGCAGACGGCATAGCCATATTCGAAACGTCTGACCCTGCAAAATCGACACCGTCGAACTCATCTGGCGCAGGATCACTGGCAGCCGAACCGACATGGTCCAATTTCCCCACCTCGGCCTTCGGCCTGGGGTATGCAACGGACCACATGCCGCCTGATTTCAACGGCAATGGCGATCTAGCGACCTTCAACAAATACCAGGAGCAGCACCCGGGCGTCGTCATCAAAGGAGGCTCGGTTTTCCGTGCTGTCGACATGGCTCCTGGCGCCACGTCGCCCATGCATCGCACGGTGAGTCTGCCAATGTTAGCCATACCGACATGAGGCGAAAGACCTGCGAAGCTCGTGCTCCCCCATCCCGGGCATCTGTGCTAAAGGCCAAACAGGTCTCGATCGATTACGGAGTCATTCTCGAGGGCGAGATCGAGCTGGAGCTGGACTCTGGAGAGAAGAGGCTTCTGAAAAGAGGGGATATGTTTGTGCAGAGAGGGACCATGCACAAGTGGAAGAATCCAAGTGAGTCGCAACCGGCAAGGCTTGTGGTGGTGCAGCTGGAGAGCAAGGAGTTGGAGGTTGAAGGGAAGGGAGCCTTGAAGGAAGAATTTCGATTCTAGTTATTGTTGGCTATAGGCTATAGCGGGTAGACTTGATTCTATCTCGTGGGTTATCTCCTATAACGTAGTATTGTTGCATATTCTCGAAGAGCGGATTCGCGTCCAGCTGATGCTGCCTAGGCACTCTAGGGTAAGAGCATTGGACTACGGCATTGGCGCCGAGACAATCGCGGATGTTCATAATATCGGCTGCACCGCTTTCAGATGCCGACCGCGTCCCTTGCAGTGGTGGCAATGTTTATTCCGGCTACGAGACGAATAGCGTCATCAACATCATCACTCCGCTGGCGATTGCTGTTAACGCCGGTCTCGGCAAGTCACCAGGGACAACTTCCAAGCCAATTAGTAATTGATCGCAGGCGGCGGCCAATCTGCGGACTCTGGCATGCTGTTTCGAGGAGATGCTCTCCAAACAAAAGCTCCCCCATGGTGGAGTCATTGATAGCTCATATCCGCCGCCGAGGGGTCGTTGAGAAGGGTCAAGACTTGTGCCTGAGCCAATCCAAACGTCATTTGAGGCGTAACCCCGCCAAACACCAATTTTTTTCCCTCCCTCACTTCCACTTCACTTCCATTTTATGAAATCGTTATTTAGAGCGACGTCTGGAAAACTCATACGCCGTCTTCCACGAAGTGCAATCCCCTACCAACCTCTTATCCGACCCAGAACACACGCAAATATGGCTGTTCGATCCGCTTTCGATCCCAAGGACATGGTATGTGGTCGCGATGAGGCTGGCCTTCCACTGATTGACCTTTTCGCTGACATTGCCATCAGGTGTTCCGTCACCTTGGTCCTACTGGACTGAAGGTCTCGGTGTTCTCTCTAGGTAGGGCTAATGTCAAATGCTCACTATTGACATGCGACTAATGCGTTGTTGGGCAGGTGGGTGGCTCACCTACGGTGGAACTCAGAAGGGCAACATTGTCAAGGAGTAAGTTGCGGATCTGGGGTTCCCGAGACCTTGCTAACAGCATTCTACAGATGTCTGCAGACTGCCTGGGACCATGGCATCAATTTCTTCGACACGGCTGAGACGTACGCCAACGGTCAGTCGGAGATCGAGATGGGCAATGCTCTGAAGGAGCTCGACTGGCCACGAGACGAATACGTCTTGTCAACCAAGATCTTCTTCGGTACAGGTCGCAAAGAGCCCAACACGCGTGGTCTCTCCCGCAAACACGTCGTCGAAGGCCTCAAGAGCTCCCTTGAACGCCTTCAACAACCATATGTCGACATTGTCCTGGCCCACCGACCCGACTATGCCACTCCGATGAAGGAGATCGTCGAGGGCTTCACGCAGGTCATCCGCAACCTTAACCTGGCTTACTACTGGGGTACTTCCGAGTGGTCCGCCGCTCAGATCACGGAAGCCACCCTGATTGCTGAGAAGTACAACCTCATTGCCCCGATCGCGGAGCAGCCTCAGTACAATGCCTTCCACCGTCAACGCTTCGAGGTCGAATACGCACCCCTGTACCAAGAATACAAGTACGGCACGACAATTTGGTCTCCCCTGGCCTCCGGTCTCTTGACAGGCAAATACAACGACGGTATCCCCGAAGGCTCTCGGTTTGCCAACCACAAGGACTTCTTCGGTAGCACCGTCGAACAGCTCCAGAAGCCGGAAGGCAAGGCCAAGATTGAAAAGGTCAAGAAGTTGACCAAGATCGCCGAGCGATTGGGCGGTAACACAACCCAGCTGGCGTTGGCTTGGGCTGCGAAGAACCCGAACGTCAGCACCGTCATTCTCGGTGCCACCAAGGTCGAACAGATCGTGGACAACTGCAAGGCCATCAAAATTCTAGAAAAGCTCGATGACAAGGTCATGGAGGAGATCGAGGAGATCCTAGACAACAAGCCTGCGCCAGCCGCCGACTTTGGCAGATCGAGGTAGGCTGGTCTCTTTCCAGATTCTGCACCCGGTTGCCGTTTGGGCGAGGCCGAGCATTTGTGCCTTGCCAGACAGCTGGCGAGGGTTCCAAGTCCGTCGGCTGATTCGACACATATAGACGTGAATTGCGCCAAAGGTCGGCCAAGCTGTAGAACGTGGCGCCACACATGACGCTCAACCTAGGTATCTAGACAGACGGCCAATTAAAAGCCAGATTTAGGATGTCCGGTATGTTTCTCAGCCATCATGGCGGTGGGACCCAGAAGGTGTGCGTGTGCATGGCTGTATATGTTGTCTCCTGGAATTTCCGGGCGTTTAATCGGCCTCGTCCGTTCTCTTTACCTCTAGACAAACACTAGATAGAAACTTGATGCAGCCGTTGCAGAATCAAGCGGGTTCTTTTTCAGACTGCCAGCGTCGAGCCAAAGACCCTGCCGAATGGAGAGGGTGTACGGAGTACAGGAGAGAGACGTTTCTGCGCAGTCACGTGCTCTAACCAGGCAAAGGTTGGGAAAGCACGGACAAAGTGGTGGAGGGAAAAGTATCGGTGGCGTCGGGCGACATTCTGATGCGTCACACGTGGATCGAGACTGGTGACAGCGCACCACAACTCCACTGCGCAGTTCATTTTGAGCCTCATAACATTTCAGAGACCTTGTTGCGTCTCCTATCATTGCTAACATGTCGTTCGATGCGGAAAAGGTGCAGCGTGTTCTCAAGACGGTGCCGTCCCTTTATCGAGGACCCGGTGGTGCTGTCGCTGTCCTCAAAGATGGCAACCTCGTCGGCCAACATGTCTGGGGTTACGCTGACATGGACAGACGGATCCCCATCACGTCTCAGGTCCTCTTCCCAATCTGTTCGATCACGAAACAATTCGTTTCCATGTTGCTGCTTGACCTCGCGGAGAACCAGCCGCCGTCGATGGCTGGTCAGGATTTCCAAGAGCAGTTGCTAGCCAGACTCCGTGAAGTCGTGCCCCCAGAATTTGTCGATGAAGGTGGGTTGACGGTGGAGAACCTAGTCGACATGTGCTCCGGACTGCGTGACTACTGGGCGCTCTGTACACTCCAAGGCAGTCGACCGGATACGCCCTACTTGCTCAACGAGCATAACCCGGATATGCTGCGCCGCATCAGGTCTGTGCACTTCCGGCCTGGCTATGAATACTCATACTCCAACACAAACTTCAACGTGATGGAGCGACTCATCGAGCACGTCACGAAAGATTCTCTGGCCAACCTGTTTGCTGAAAGGATCTTCGGTCCGGCCAAGATGAAAACAGCGCGGTTGTGTCCTCGCACCGACAGGTTGCCTGCTCCCATTGTTGGGTATGAGGGGTCAGAGAAGTTCGGGTTTTTTCCGGCACCGAACTTCATCGAATGGTCTGCAGACGCTGGCTTGGTGGCTTCCCTCGACGATATGATCGCATACGAAAAATTCTTCGACCGCAGGTACACCGACCGGCAGGACAGCTACCGAGACGCAATTACTCCGCGACACTACAGGGATGGCGCCAAGGCAAAATACCGCTACGGACTGCGACATGCTGGTCTTGGAAAATACAACACGATGGGCCATGGTGGAGCTCTTCGCGGCTACAAACTCATGCGCCGTTATGTGGCCGACGAACGCCTATCTGTTGTTGTCTTGTTCAATCATTCAGCCGATGCGCCAGAAGCCGCCGGATACATTCTGAAGCAGATTCTGGACGTATCCGACCCACCGCCATTGGCAGTTCAACCAGTTCAACAATGGTTCGGATCGTTCCTTGACCTTGAGACTCAGCTGTCGATTCGAGTCCTGCCAGGAGACGCGGGCAAGATCAAGATCAAGTACGTAAGAGCAGAGGAGACACTTAGGCTCGTTGATGACAACAAGGCTGAATCTCCTGACGTCGAGGCTTCGATCGACGGTGACATTCTGCACATTCGCCGCTTAGACGACAACCGCGTGCTGACTGCGCAACGCCTAAACCATAACGCAGGCGTACTTGACAGATCACCAGTGCAGGGCACTTACCAATGCAGCGAGACAGAGTCTACTTTCATCTGCGAGGGGGAGGGCGACATGTTGTACGGGTTGTTTGATGGATGCTTCGGCCGGGGCCCGCCACACCTAATGACCCATCTTGGCGAAGATGTGTGGCTGTTGGCTGACCCACGCGCCATGGACGATCAACCTCCCGGCGATTGGACCATCGTGTTTGTTCGAAATGGGCAAGGAGCCGTAGTCAATGCCAACATCGGCTGCTGGTTGGCTCGGAAGCTTGACTTCATGAAAGTGTAAACGGCCGTGGAATAGAAATCTCTGAGATTAATAGTCGCCTGCCCAGCACGAAGAGGGTGCTTCTTCCGTGTGCAGCGCGTGTGGAGCGGGTGGACTACACACGATTCAGACAGTGGCATAGAGAATTTCTTGCGAAAATAGTACTAACCATCGACTTCTCATGATGGGTACCAGGTGGGTGTAGATGCTTGGCGGGGAAAGACGAGTAAAAGCTACTCGCAGCTCACGCGCGACTCACCCCGACCGCACGGCTTTTATTATGACTCACCCTCCCTCTTACCTTCGCACTTACCTCGCTCACTTCGACACTCACTTCCACCCTCACCCTTCATTCTAAACCTACCCATCGCGTCTAGCGCTAGCCTAAGACCGTAGCATTAGCAGCGAACCGGCCGGTCCCTCTTGGACGCCTTTTCAACTTTTAACTACTTTTTCGTCCCCTCGGTCGGATAGACGCTCCCTTCTATGATAGCGTATAAAACCCTCTTCTTACCCTCTTAGGCTACTTAATTTCCTCTTCCCTCTTTACTCCCGGCTCTCCCTGCGTCTAGCTCTATACCACAGTGAGATGGAGCATGTCTAAAATTAAGCAGTGTTGCTCCGCTAATTCGGTGACAGGGCGGGCGAAAGGGAAGGAAGAAGGAGACGGCGAAAGAAAGGCCGTGACCAACAAGACAAGAAGAGACAGAAGAGACCGAAGAGACCGAAGAGTGGGAAGAAGGTCTCCAGAAGACGCGCAAGCGTTGAAGGAGACTGTTACGTCAGCCGTGGTCCAACACGGACCAATGGCTAGCTTTCAATCTCTTCTGGAATTGTATGTACTGAACCGTCTGGCTCTTCAAGTGCTCTGAGGGATTGAGGATTTAGAGGTGATAGTCCGAAGAGAAGACTAAAGGGGTCAAAGAGCCACGGTACTGGATCGACTAGCTCCGCTCGAGTTTGCGGTTCACAAGCCGATTTGACTCTTCGAGGTCGGAAATTGGTGGATGATGAGGAGATGGGGAGCGTATAGGCGTCCGGTGGCGCAAAGTTCTCATGATTGGTTGCATAAAGTTGTTTGGGAGGCAGATGTCCCAAAATGAGGCATGGAAAACAGGAGGAGGTTTCACCTAAACATGTCCGTGCGGCCACCAATATAACGTTCGCCTAATAGTATACAGCGTCTAAGCGGCTCGGTACGGAATACAGAATACTTGTCCCGGACATGAATCTGTTAGGTAGTACTCTAATATCTTCACTTGAACAAATATCAACAATCTACTCTCAAATACAAGGGACGACATCAAAGGATACGTGGCGCAGACGGGACAGGAACTCGCGCGATATGGAGAGTCTTGGACTAAATACCATCTCGAGACACAGTAGTGACTGTTCTGGAACAATGGAAGCAAGTCTGGATTGTCATGTGTCGAGGATCAAGAGGAGCCTGTGTTAGTGAAGCAGAATGAGAGCGCAGACTCCCGGTTTTGTCTTCTGGCAGGAGTGCTGAAACCACATTTGCCTTCACCTCCAAACTGGATTGGTCCGTGGCTGTCAATACTGTCGGTGGCTGCAGTAAGGAAAGAAGGGTTCGAGTTCGTGTGCGAAATAACAACCTCTGACTACGCGAGTGCGAGCGTTATACTAACTTCAGAGCTGGATGGGTGGATGCAAACAAGGCCATCACCCAACTCCGTGATGAGTGTGTCGAATTGGGCGTGTCCTTCATCACCGGGCGCGCAGGCACTGCCACAGGCTTTCGAACCGACTCGCAGGGGGTGACCCAAGCCGTCGCCACCCTTGCCGGGGTCCCAGTCACGGGCGATAAGTTCGTGCTTGCGGCGGGTGCGTGGGCGGCCCGCTTGGCGTCTTTCTACAACTCGACCTTGTCTACGGCTCAGATTGTTGGCTATATGCGACTGACCCCAGAAGAAATGCGGCGGCTGGAGACATTACCAATCTACATCAACTTTTCCACCGATTGGTTCAATTTTCCTCCCCACGGAGAGACGCAGCTACTCAAGATGGCGGTGCACGGCTGGGGTTATACGCGCAGGCCCGACAAGGATGACCCAGTGATCACAGCTGACTGCCTGTCCTCGCCTCCCCTGCAGCCCGCGCGTAGCACGAGACCGAATTTTGTCCCCGTTGATGGCGAGTCGCGACTCCGGCAAGGACTGCGTGAGATCCTGCCCGAGCTTGCTGGTCGCCCTTTCGAGCGGCTTGCCCTCTGCTGGTATACGGATACGCCCAGTGGGGATTTCATCATCGACTACCATCCCGACTACAAAAACCTTCTCGTGGCAGGCGGAGGGAGTGGGCAGTACGTTCTCTTCGAATCCGAAAAGTTTCAAATCAGCTGACATTTGCAGCGCATTCAAATTCATGCCAACAATTGGCACCTTCGTCGCACAGGCTTTGCAGAAACGGCTTCCTGAGGCCTTGGCGTCCAAATGGAGGTTCCGAACGGAATGTGTAACGCACACGGAGTTTTTCGAAGGAGACGGAAGCCGCGGAGGCCCAAAAAGACGAGAACTGCATGCAGAGGAAATAGCAAAGTTGTAGCACGCCTTGGACAGAATCTAGCATTGTCAAATTATCGCTCAAAGAATTCCAAAATCCCACCAAGACGAATCGGCCAGGTGGTTGAAGTCAAGAGTTTGCGCAGCATGGGATAGCAGTTCGAGATCAAACTCGTGAATCTGATCAGGCCATCGCCATGAGGTCCTGGGAGTACTCTCTGCCCCATGCTCGTGATCTGGCCCGACTGTGAGTCTGTTTGAGCTTAACACTGGGGTGTCTTCTGCTGTGCCAAGGGCACGGGTACTGCTGGTCGTGATGGGTGGTGCCTGCTCCGAGTCAGAGTTATTGACCGAGACGTTATTAGGCGTAGCGAAGAGAATCTCCTGGACTATATGATGTCTGTCCCGCGAGTCGAGCAGGGGTCCTCAACGATGGATGAAAGAGGCCATTGATCTCCGATCCTCGTGGTTCCGATGAGCAATTCAGCTGTAGGATGTCCCACACGAGCTGAGTGCTGAGGTGAATTCTGGACGATCCAGAGCTCGAGCAGCTTTCTGCCACGAGTCGAGAACGGTTCACGATCTGGCTCATTCGACCGAGCTTTTCGTGCTAATAACATCTTTCCGTCAGTTTTGTCCTTTGTCTTGACTCCGACGACACTTACTAAAAGCCCTGCAGAGCCGAGAAATCGGTGTGAGTCTTTGGACAAAAGCGACACATTTCGCCAGATCTGCTTCTGATTTCAGTCTCAGCCTCTGATCGGTTGAGCAACTGTGAATGAGGTGTAGAGTGGCCGCTATCACGCCTGCGTGTGCAAAGAAAGGGTCTGTCAAGCGGATGCCTTTATCGTGCACCATGTCGAGTAGGCGGACAATCCAGGTAGCATGCAATAAGCCCAGTTCGGATGGCCGCTTCCAGAAGCTGTTTGGTGTACTGAAACGGGTTGCTTCGTGCGAGGCCGCGGCAACGTATAAGAACGGGTGATTCAGCACTGCTTGAATCGTGTGATATGCGAATTGAAGCCTCAATCAAGGGCACCAATAAGCACGCGAACCGTCCACCTCCCGTGGGCTGAGGTTGTAGAATTTGGCCGAGTCATACGATGACATATCGGTATCATGCTTTTCAACTCGTGGAGATCTGCATTGATGATGGAGTATTTTGAGCCATGCAGCCAAGGCGTTCCCGCTTTCCGATTTGCGCAATCTGACACATACCGGCGAGGCTTGCGCCAGATCCAGCCCAGTTGAACTGTATGTCCCCATACCTCTAGACTGGCAGATTTTGATTCTTGTCCGTTTTCCTGGGGCAGAGGCGGTGGTATGTCCTCGTGGCTGCCGTGAATTTGAGAATAGTTCTCGTCGGACTGAAACCACGGCCACATGCTATCCATAGTCTTGGCTAAGGCGGGACGATCCTGGCGTCCATAGTATTGATCAAGCAGCTGTAGACTCCAAAACAACCTCTTCTTGCGTTCGCCCATCCGGCCAGCGTTTGTATACTAGAGTCCATGTGCAACAATGCTGTGAAGCTCAACTCAAGAGCCAGACCGAGATGAAATTGTCCTGGCTCCATATCCCCTCTGCCCAGGGTCATTAGTAAAGAGACTTCTGCTATTTGAGGAAGGGAGGAGCAAAAGATACAGGAGAGAGAGAGAGCTGACGAACCTAGGAAAAATGCAAACGAAAGTAAGCATAGACTCTCAATTGTGAATATACTGACGGTGCCATTCGCGATGCGTAGCATGATCATAGCTCTGGCGTTACTGCTGTAGTTGGAATTCTGATGACTTGCAGACATGAAGCGCGAAGTCAACGCCAGAATGGCACAATCAAGTTCATCCTGCATCGACGAATTGCCCTCCAGGTCGTCTGGCTCAAAGCACCATATGGGCTTCCGATGATAATGCTCCAAAAAGAGGTCGATAGCGGTCTTCGACAGTTCTGCGCTGGCCAAAGGGCTGGTGGTTTTCAGCTCCGTGTGGTGTCGCAAAGCTCGGCACCAAAGAAAGTGCTCACATACCCTGGTCCATATGCATCTACCGGACTCTGCGTGCCCGAGGGGACACCTCTCCCGGGTCGCTCTGCTGGATGCTAGTATTTGTCTGAGTGTCTGCGGCGGCGGTCCGATTCCTATCGTCTATATTGTTAAAGTGGTGACATGATCGACGACTTGGGTCATTCGCACACTTTGGCATTCAGGATGAGATCCAGCTTTCCTTCGATGGTGGCAAACCTCTCTTCCTGAAAGCCCAGGAACTAGCAGAGCAACGGCGAGAAACCCACAAACGAAGAGAGATCAAACATACAAAGGATTGTTGGCCACCAGTCTTGATGACAACGAAGCCATAATTGCACAACTAATCGAGGCGAGTGCAGGTTGAGCAAGCTGGCTTTTCGCCTGGGCACCGTGACTTCTTTCTCCTGAAGCTCATTTGGATCAGCGCCCGATCTGTGTGCACTCATGCCTCAGATTATTCCCTCCGGCGATTTTTATCAACCACAGGTAGCCCTCCATAGTGTTGAGCTGTTCTACCCTTTGAGAGTCTTCACTGACTAGCAGTTGACATCAGCTATCCCTCCTTGTTGGCCATGATGTCGACCGACCAGCCCGCCCAGAATCTCCCGAGACGAGAGGGCTTCATCAGCTTCCCTACACCACTAGTGTCAACACCACCGTCAATTTGGTACGAAATATTTGGCCTGTGGCCACCGGCAGAGGAATCAAGACCAGGCCTCACACTACATGGCGGGCCGGGCTATACGCACGACTATCTTTTGAGCTTCGCCGATCTATGCCACTCTCCCGCCAATTTGACTGTCATTTTCTTCGACCAGCTGGGGTCAGGAAGGTCGACTCATTTCCGCGAGAAACTCCATGACGAGGCATTCTGGACCGAGCAGTTCTTCTTGGACCAAGTCACCGCGGTGGTAAATTACCTTCGTATCGGGCAGGCCTACGACGTGATCGGCCACTCTTGGGGCGGCATGTTAGGAGCAGCTCACGCTGCACGCCAGCCACAAGGCTTGAAGCACCTCGTCATTGCCCACGCACCTCCCGCAAGCAAGTTCTGGCTCCAGAAGTACAAAGAATTTAGGGAGACCATGCCGGAGCCCCACCATCAGATCCTGTTGGAGACTAGGACCATCGAGTCGTCTCTCGAGCCACGGTATTTGGAAGCGATAGGGGCGGTCAACCGACGATTCTTTATGACATGTGATCCACTGCCTGAAGGACTGGTGGCAAGCTACGAGGACATGGGCAAGGATCGAACCGCCACTTTGAGCTGGTAAGTTGCAAGTCAGCCTCTGCCACTGCCATTGCCTGTTTCCTCTCCGCGCGAGCCACGTCTATGATTCCTAATTGTCGTACGCAGCTTAGGACCGGATGAGTTTGAATGGACGGGGTTCATGGCAAGTTGGTCCATCATCGACAATATTGTGGACATCAAGTGCAAAACGTTGGTCCTTGTCGGCACCAATCAAGGCGTGGACCACGACGAAGCCATGGCTCTGTGGAGAACCAGATTGCTGGACCATTCGTTTGTGAAATTCCCTCGCTCGAAACATTTTTCGCATTGGGAAGAAAGGTCCAAATGCATGGAAGTGATATCCGAGTTTTTAAACTCCTGATCATGATGCATTCAATGTATCCTCTGGGGACGCACTATCACATACTCTCCGGCTCCTGAGCGAAGAGGCGAGATTCGAAGGAGGGTATTTTGCACTGCACACCTCTCGCAGCTTGAGCAGGCCTGTAACTCTACTTTCCGTATCCTGAGATATCCCTCCTCGGTAAAGGATGTCACGGAACGTGTCATGGTTGACCAGAACTGACCAGAAGCGGACAAGGCTAACCGACAAGGCTGCAAGGGCTGGACAACTGTACAGCCACTTGCTGATTGGCTGCACGTGACCGGAAGCCTTGGCGGTATGTGCGCCTACCACGTATCCTTGGTGGAGGATGGCATATATATATAATAGCACGGTTTAAGGGGTTTGAACCTTTTCCTTTCCTCTCTCTAGTTTAGTCTCTTCGTATTGAGCAATCTATACCATTATGCAGCGTTAGTCCTGCATACCCTTTCATTGGTGTGCCGTGCCGTCACACAAACTGTCAAGTCAACTGCCCGGAGGAAGCTCGGAAAACGAGCCGTCCATCCGAGGTCGAGTAGATAGCGCTAGAGAGTGGCGAATCGTCAACTGAAAGGACAAGTAAGAAATATTATCAAGAATAACAACACTTGGGGAACGGGTACCTGCGTTAGTAAACGTAAAGGTTAAAGTAAAGAGAAGGGCGTTTGTAATGACTTAGGAGTCTCTCTTCGAGAGCTTATTAGGAAGATGGCCTATTGTATATGTTAAAAGGGGTGTATTAGTGGCCCTTCGAAGGAACAGTAGGTTTAAGGGAAAACAGAAGGGCAACAACGGCCCGCCTCCAAAGAGTCTACAAAAAGAGGTACAGTCCAACCGTCGGCCCGAGATCCCTGTCTAGCGGGCGAGCATAGATACATTTCCCAAGGGAGGCGCACAGTCTTGCACAAGTGAGGTGAGTGGGACATGAGTAGTGGTTCAAAGCGGCGAGGAGTGAAGTTACCATATCTTCAGCCGCTATACAATTACGTGGGATCTATTTTACAGACTTGGGTTATCTACAGCGCTTTCCATTAGGTTTGGCCTCTTCGGGCATGTTCTCTAGTCACCCGATCTCCATGCTTCCTCTTCACGCGGCCTTGTCCGCTGATAACGCTCCGTCGATGCCGCGATGTCCACTGATAACGCTCCGTCGATGCCGCGATGTCCACTGATAAAGCTCTTAGCCAAGGATCACGGATCGCATGGTGGTACACTCGGCACCATTGAAACAGGTCCTAAGACGAGCCTTCGGAGCCTTGTGCCGTTCGCCACTGCTGGAAGTTACTCAATTCTGGCGTAGACGATCCGATACCGTCCTGCTGGTACGGTCACTAGGCTCACTAGAACTGTATTCAACAGCCGCGGGTGTCTAGACGGCGATACTGCTCTGATCCAGTCGGAAAGTCGCGCCCACGAGGTGGGTTAACCATTTGGGCCCGACGACCGGAGTTTTCGCCCATGTTGTACACACTCTAGCATGATGTCCGACAACGTCGGCCGCTCCATATTCTATAAAGTTGTGCGCAGGTTGAAAATCCAGGTGCTTCCCGTTCTTCCTTTCCCTCTCACGCTCGCTCAGTCCTACAAGAGTCATATAGGATTTCGCGAAGGCTAGCTGCTGTCTTTTTTGAGGTTTGAAAGTTAGATCAAGGATAACTTCCCACGACAATGAAAGTCCAATGCGGTTCGTGCGTCATGGCCATGCTAGCGGCCCGGGCGATGGCTGTTCCAGTAAGTCGATGCGTGTGGGGGGCGTCGTCCTGCCCATTGAGGCCGGCATGCTCACGAGCGACCTCCAGTTCTCGCGACATCTACACCGAAACACGGCTCTCGTCATTGTTGACGTGCAAAACGACTTTATCGAGGGATCGCTCAATAACAGCCGGGCCCCTGCAATCCTGCCCCAACTTTACAAGCTTCTGGATGAACATGAATGGCCACTGATTATCGCCTCCCAAGGTACGATTCCTGTTTTTTTCTTCCTTCCAATAGTGAGTTGGCAGTCAGACCACGCTTGCTCACTTACATGCGTGATTTATCACTTTAGATTGGCATCCTATTGGACATGTGAGCTTTGCGTCCTCCCATGAGGGCGCAAAGCCGGGCGATAAGTCCCTGCAGCCATTCGTCACTGAACCGACGCGGGATTTCCAAAACCAAAGTTTGAGCAAAGACCACTGTGTCCCGGGCACCTGGGGCGCTGAGATTGAACCAGGCGTTCAGACAAGGCTGCATACGCTCGAAGGGTACTTCACCAGCGTCAACTATATCAAGAAGGCACAGAACCACACGGTTGACTCGTACAGCGCCTTTGCCGATGTAAGTCAAGGACAAGGCTGATGACAAGGCTGAGGACACGACCTCACCCGACTTTGGGCTGAGAGACTGACCATGAGACTTAGAACCAACACTATCGGTTCACCACACTGAACGACGAGTTACGAGCTCACAAAATCGACAACATCGTTCTCGGCGGACTAGTGACCAATGCCTGCGTGCGTGGGACCTCGATGGACGGCATCAAGTTGGGTTACAATCTCACCCTCCTCTCGGACGCCACCGAGTCAACGACACAGGACGTGAAAGATCGTGCGCTTGCGGAGCTCGACGCCTTCGGGGTCTACATCATGACCACGGCGGAATGGGAAGCGCAGAACAAGGTGTAAATACGATGGTAAAATGGCAGAGGCATAATGTATCAGGTTCGGCGTTAGACTAAGTCGTATACTATTTCACTAGCCTTGTCCAAATCTTCAACCGATTCCACTGTTCCTCTTATTTATTCAACTTTGGTCAACTAAGGCACCCGTATATGTCCAATAACTTATCAATTTACTGCATTGATCAACATGGATTTGACGCTCAGATACTCCTCGATTCCTCGACGACCGCCTTCTCTGCCATAGCCGCTTTTCTTGACGCCGCTAAAGGGACTCTCACACGCACTGAGCATGCCCAGATTGACAACCCCATGCCGACTCCCAGGGCTTCGATGACCCGCCACGCTCTCGGGATGTTTTCGGTGTCGATGAAGCTGCCCAAGCCAACATCGCAGTGGCCTAGATTATTAACCGTATCGAGGGTCGATGTGTGGTTCGGTCCAAGTGCCTCCGCGCAGCCTTGTAGTGCCCGAGTGTACATCTTCTCCGCCTCTGCCAGCTTGCCTTGGTTCGTGTAGAGGATGCCTAGACAGTGAAAAGCCTAGTTCACCCCGTCTACATCCACACTGCCATCTACTATAAAGAGGTCCTGTCGTGTCGCGTGCTGGAGGAGACTCCGTTGCACGAGCCACCAATCCTTCCCATTTGTGCTGGGAACCTCGGAGGCCACGCAAATCAAAAGCTAGCTTTACCAAGCCCTTATCCCACTCCTTGTTAAGTATAAAGACCGTCAAGATTATGAGTGAGATCTACAAGGCCGCTCAGGTGGTGGTAGCCTACATTGGACCCCGAAAGCCGGGCGACATTGCTGCGCCGAGTTTGATGGTGAGATTCGTCGAGCTATGGAGACGCTGTAACCCAGAAGGTCGGGAGCTGAGTAGATCTGAATGGTCTGGCCTTCCTGGTGGCCTTCGGCGGCTTACCCGAAGACCATGACCCAATCTAGAACGCCATCATGGATCTTCTGTCCGGAGAACGGGTACTGCGTTCCTGGATTTCCCCCGAGGTCACCTTGAACGAAGAGACATACATCATATGTGGAACACGCACGTACAGTATTCTTGTCTTGGTTGTCTTTGTTTCTCGATTTGCCTACGATCCATATTTCCCTTTACAAAACCTTCTGAAGGATTAAGCCTCTCCTGTACCGTGGAGAATTGGACATTTGGGCCGCCGTCGTGGATGACCTTTTGGCAGTTGCACACTATTTGGGTTACGCGAACACGGCGTGCCATCCTTCCGGAAAAGGTCACCATATTCTCTCTCCCTGAGCAAACCATGAATCTAAGAGCATCGCTACCTAGGGATAAAAGATATTCCTTGCTCGGAGTTGCTTGCGACTGTTACGAACCGACCTTTATGCGGCCTGTCGGGCCTGGCATAGAAGGGAAGGTTAAGCGAGGAGGCTAGCCTCGTTAGCAAGGCTGGCTCGGGTCACGTAATACCCTAAATAGGAAATAAGGTGTTGTAGTAGTTGCACGTTATATATATAACGGGGGCAATAGTGCAACGCTGTTAAGAATTGCCTCCGCGCAGCGTGTATGAGGACACGTGAGCACACAGGTAACCTTAGGGGTTCTTGAGTATCGGGGGTAGAGCAGTGGGCAATGTGTTAGGAACAGCCTATAGCGATAGGCAGAGAGTAATAGTAATGGGATTCAATGATATTAGGTGTCCCTAGACCTCTAGGTCAAACAGGACTTAAAGCATGAAAGGAGGGTAAGACTCTTATACGAGCTGCATAAGAGATAAAGGCGTCCTCTTGGCAGGCTTAGTAAGCTCTAGTCGCTATTCCTGACATAATGTCGACCAGATCGTTAGACGGGACACGGCACTTATACCGTGTCTCCTTAAGCGTAATATTAACTAAAGTTAACTATACCTCCTGTAGAAGTGTATCTAGCTGTAACTATATATATAGGTAGCTTTCCTATCTAGGAAAGTCTAGGCGTTGCACTATTACCCCTATTGTATATATAACGTATAACTATTACAATACCTTATTTCTTATTCGGGGTATTATATAACCCGAGCTAGCCTTACTAACGAGGCTAACCTTCTCGCTTAACCTTCTCCTCTACGCTAGGCTCGGTAGGCCGTATAAAGGTCGGTTCGTAATAAACGCCTAGACTTTCCTAAACGAGAAAGACTACCTGTGTATATAGTTACAGCTAAAGACACTTCTATAGAAGATATAGTTAACTTTAGTTAATATTACGCTTAAGGAGATACAGTATAAATGCTATATCCCGTCTTAACGTTCTACTCGGCATTAACCTCTACTCTACCCCCGACAATCAAGAACCCCGAGGGTTACCTAAGTGCTTATGTGTCCTCGTACACGCTGCGCGGAGGCAATTCTTAACAGCGACGAGGATTCTTTAGGCATCGTCCCAGATTACTCTACGGCAGACGTCCACGTTTTCACCGATTTCCCGTCCGACTGCTTTTCCTGGAGGAGAAGAACCTTCTGTTTCTAGAATACGTTCTTGACGCTCACGTTTCTTCACCTGATCCTTGGCCATCCTGGTACACAAATTGGTCCTACACGGGACTGTCCTATCGCACGTTTAGTGGTAGAACTAATATGTTCAAGGCGGCAGACGCTGTCTCGCCCACTCTTAGCTTCTCCGAGGATGGCAAATCTCTGATCGTGAAAGGCATCCTCGGCAGACGCCGTCACTGAAGCTCCCGGGGTGCCTTGCAGTGGATATTTCTTAAAGGGTCGTTTGGTCCAGGTCGACTCGACGATTTTCTTACGTTGTCTGGCGTTTCACGAAGTTTACACGAAGGCCATGGAATCCATATCTGTGACACCCGCGTCACCATCTATTGAGGAGACCAAAAGATTCATCCTTGTAAGCACATCCGGGTACTGATATATGGCACGGCTCGGTCGACCTGGACCAGCTGTTGACCCCGTTCCTCGTCTTGCTGAACTTTGTTGTCTCAATTGTTGAATCACCCATTTCAGCGCCAGACGAGGGCCCCACGGAGCGCCAGGTAATGAACTGGTATACGGCCTTTGTGGCAGCTACGACGGTCGCAGATGAGTATCGGTCCCCTTTGTGGCTCTGCTTCGGCCGAGCAATGTACGTTACGAGCAACGGGCGTCTTTACATGGGGCCGGGAAGGGCTCAAAAGGGAGATCCAAAATCGCAATCCTCCTAGGAGGGCGGATGTGCTACCTGCTCAGGCCCCCGTACCAGGGATAGACGACCAGTACGAGTTCATTGGAGATGCTTATTGCGAAGGATTGATGCAAGGCGAGGCCCGGTCAATTCCGAAGCTGCTTGGTGAAGCGCACAATATCATTATCGTAAAAAGGGATGGTTGCGCGAGTTGAGGCAGTTGGAATAGCCCCTTCTGGCAAGGTGATGAACTCCACCGCACTTCTTTGACCATCTTTTATTGTGCTGATCCGACTAGCAGTCTTGTTCGCCGAGGCATGACTATGTTTTGAGCATCTCGCATGCAGCAGAGTAATGTACTGTGAGCGCCCTGCGGATCCAAGTCTTCACTTCAACCCAGCCGTCTACCTTGGCAGACATGCTTAAACACGAATCGTCTGCATGCATCTTAACAGATCTCGGCCTACAGACATGATTTCAGTCTTGGAACCTTGATTCTCCCATGACAAGACACCTGCAACATAGCATCAATACCGCGCCCCAGCTGATCCAGTCGAAGCCGTATCTTCGAAATACAAGTACTAGATTCATCGGCCTCGACTACTCCAGCAGCCGTACATCTCGTGCTTTTTTTCGCCAAGATCAAAAGCAATTGAAGATTTCTCCTATCAAATCATGTACCCTTTTCGTAACCTGTAACTCTACAAGCTAGCTACGTCGTGGGGCATAGGAAAACAACAACCGTCATTGCTCATAAGTTCTCTTGGCACAATTGCCACATTGCAGGCCTTGACAAGGCTCTATTCTGCTCCAAGATCACCGGATACCGGTCAGGAGCCTTTCCTCTGGGAGAAAATGCAGTAGAAAGTTCTTGACCTGGGTCCGATTGCGTTTTCTCCGTTTCTCGTCTTTTACTTTTACTCCCAATTACTAGTAAGCATCGATAGTTCTGTCACCCCCATGGTCGACGAAGCTTCAAAACCGCTCTCTGTGCGTGACATGGTCGACCTTAACTAGATCACGAGAGCAAGGCAGAGACCAGCCAACGACACCGAAAGAGCTACCAGGAACAGCTCATATCTTTGCATCCTCGATATGTTTCGAATATTCGCCCCTCCATCTGCTTCCGTGAAAGGAGTGTCTGGCGCAAGCACGGGGACGTCTTGCACCTCATTAGGCCCGTCGGGCATGTGGTTGGCATCCTCAGAAACTGTCAGCGTTTGTGTACCTTATACATGCACGGTACGTACCCCTTTCGCGGTGGCTTCGGCAAGAGCACGAACAGTATGGAGGGCATCCTGCATCGAATGTACCAGCGTTAATACTTCTTCCCCTAATATTTGCATCGTCAGCAGTTTCGCCGTCAGCAGGGCTCTCTGCGCGGAGGCGTGGTCCCTGTCCGTGGTTGGGGACGTCGTTATGGACGCCTGTTTCGACCTTGCATTGCCGATGGCTCCGGGACGCCCTTGTTTTCTGCGGCGATCCGCTGCCGGGGCTGGTGAGGACGCTAAATCAGGATCATCAATATAGGTGGGATCCTGCGTATCATTTTCATGGCCGTCTATTGACAGCCTACTGTCTTCACCCCTAACTTAGCACGTGGCCATATGTGCGTGGGTAGAGCAAGTGGATCATACCTTCTGTGTACCCGACATGACTATGAAGATAATCTACTCTCGGCCGGTGTCTCCTCGGTCTGTCGACGACATTCAACTTGTCTCCTGACTTTCCAGCCTTTCCCGGAGGTTGTGAAGCAGAGCCTCGGACTCCTCTTTTACCTTCTCGTGCTGGCATGTCGCCGGGGAGTCAGAGATAAAACACACAGTTCTTTCTTGGGTCGAAAGAAACAAGGAGGGGTTGGCGTCGGCCTTATTGTCTGCACTGCTCCACTAATGAAGCTACAGGATATCAATTGGGGTAGGGCTTGGGGAGAAGACTTGGTTTATATGTTAAGAGAGTCGAAGCCGAGTGATGGAATGAAGCTGAAGGCGGAATCACTCTTTATATACCCAGCAGAAAGCCACGAGTGTCCTTCCAAGACGAAGAACGAATACTTGCCTTTCTAAGGGGGAAAAAGGAGATGAAAATGAGAGAGGCTGGAAAGAGACAGCAGAGAAGCTCAGTGTCTGGGACCCATATCTCATTGGACGTGTACATCGCTGTACGGAAGCCTGTGAATCAACGCCCCGAACTGCTGAGGGCCCTGGATAGGGTCCGGAATGGGTGTGTTTGTTGTCGTTTCAGTAGTTGGGGACGGATGCCACTGGATTGGATTTCTGCTGCTCTGTCTGAAGAAATCCTGTCACACGAGTGCCAACGCAGAGGAACCTTTGTTTTTGTCTTTTCAGTAGGAGGCTGGGAGCTGCGAGTATCTGCAAGTCGAAGAGACGTCGGGATCCAATAGATGGGTTTCCTGACAATAACGCGTCACCCAGGCTGCAAACCCAATCTAAAGCAATGGGGTCTTAGCATCGACCAGAACAGAGCAGACAGGCAGCAAGCATCCAGGCTTTTCGCGTCATATATGTACCTTTTTAGCCCTAGCAATGAGCAAAGGTGCTCACCTTTTTCTGCACAGTGTGAGACAGTTCTCGGCCTCGACGTCTCCATACTTGTAGGCTCCTGAAAAGGAGTTAGGGAATGTATTCAGAAACTTACTAGCGTGGCTTCTGTCCATTGTTCGTAGGGAATTACTACGTTGCCATGCGATCAAGCATGCCTTCCCCGCCCATGGGTTGACCGACGTGGTAACCAGGGATAAGCGCGAAAGGTGACGTGATTGGCCAGGCTGATCTCGAGGCGTGTAGGAGGTGGGGGTATTCACGCTCGGACCACGCTCCCCGTCGCCTCCTGAAACAGGCTAGATGGGTCATGGCAGCCCCCTCCCAGCCAGTAGGACTATGCTGTGGTTTTCCTGTGGAATTACCGTTCATCGCAACTCGTGCTGATTCGGCCCTGGACCCGTCTACCCCAACGCGGAAGCGCGGGAGGCTTTTGACCCCTTCCGCCTCCAGTTCTAAAGTGGCGCACCGTAAACGAATATTGTCGTCACCATCAGTATAACCCAGCTTGGGAGGTAATAGCATCAAGATGGGAAGAGAAAAGAGAGCTGCTGCTGGTGAGTTGCATTGGGTGTGCAAAGTCCACTGTTGGATGATTTTAAACAAGACCAGAATATCACCAGTTTTTCCGACATAAGGCTGAGAGCATGCTGGTCGGAGAAAAGAGCCTGCCAGCCTGATGAGAAACCCGCACCCTGTCACAGGTCGAAAAGATCTGGATTGAGAAATTCCACGACATCAATATTGGGATAGGTCGATTCTGTCAACTGCACGGCGTTTGGCTACTGCGGCATGATCCCTGGAGAGGATGAAAGGAGGCGTGGCCGCGACCAGGGCAGGCCTCCCTTGGCACCACCATTCTCTCTAAAAGGGCAGGGTCGACCCGCGTTCTCACCGACACAACTTTCCTGGTGCTGGAGATCTCATCCCCTGCTTTTTCTTTCGGCTTTGACTATTTCCATTTCACGCCGGTGACTCTGTCCGCAATATACGGCATTTATGCCCCCTATATTCTCCTCAATATGCCTGATATTACGATCAGAGACTGCCTGACTTCCCTGGGTTTCTCCTACCCCTCGACACCCTACACAACCGTCAAGCGTGACATATCAGCCTTTCTTAGAGCCTCTGTCGATCTCCCATGGGCAGAAGACGAGATGCTCCGTCACACGGCGGACAGATATCTGGCCCATACGCAAGGTCAGCAGGCATCTAATCCACGGAACCCAGACATCGCTATGCTGCTTCATTGGGAGACTGAGGAAAAGCGGACTGAAAAGCAAGACCTAATCTGCGACGTCATGAAGCTGATGCAGAAGAATGCTCTCGAGACTATACACAAAAAAGCATGTACTGGCTGCAGGATCCATCCACTGCCGATCACATCTGCCTCTCCCACAACCACAGCCGCAGCCACAGTCTCAGTTCGTCAGAGCCCCCTTTCAAACAAGTCAGGGCCCTTGCCGTGGCTGCAGAGCGATGTAGAACGTGAGGGCATCGCGTCTGGCTTGCCATTACCAGAAGAACGACTGTCCTCCCATGGTAAGCAATGAACCCGTGCAGTTCCCTCCGCGACTTTGATGAACCTGGCCTGACGAGTCGAAGAATCAACCAGGTCCCCGTATTCTCCATCGCGTCGCTCTGCCAGTATCTCGTCTGTGCTCCCATGGGCGGACGATCCTTATGATCCGGACTACACGGACGCCAAGCCACCTCGAAAACGGAAGCGCCTCACCTCTACGTCACACCTGCGTGGCAAACTACCTCAATCCCGTGTTGATAAGAGAGAATCGGCAGCACGCGACGTGCAAGGCACCATCCTGGTAGCGGCAAGCCCTCGAGCAACCACCACCCCAGGTCTTGATCAACAACCACCACAACCCTCCGAAGCCGAGGAGCCTCAGAAACCACAGCAACCCCTCGTTCAAGCCGAGGACCAGCAAGAGCAACAAACCTCTGTCCAAGTCGAGGATCCTCAAGCACGAATTGATCCTGTTCCAGACGTATCCACGTCATCGTCGGACTCTTCCTCACCAAGCCCACTTGAGCTTCGAGGCAGAAGATGGGTATTTGCGACCGCGGAAGAGAAAATAAATGGACTCGAGGCCGCCAGAGCTCAACAGCTTGCCCTGTTGGAGTCGTTTGTACAGGAAAGGGGCGACGACAATCAAGTTAGATCTCTAGCAACCATGCTTTCCCACCATTCCAAGACTCTGGACATGTGGTTGACACAGGTGGCCCGCGAAAAGGAGGCCCAAACACTCGTGTCGGCACTCACCCGTCAGTTGGATATAGGAGAGTCGCTGTTGCGTGAGACATGCGGGGATGACAAGGCCTTGCTCCGCAGGCGGATTTGGGAGCTCGACTCACAGACTGAAAGATGCTTTGTCGAAAACGGAGGGGATCCTGTGCGTTGAGAAGACGGATATGTATTTTGGCTGCGTGCATGTGCAGCGTGTTTCTTGGAGTAACGTCGGCGTCTTTCAACGGTGGCGTATATCTGCTTCGTGCCCGAGGTTGATATACATATAAATAAGAACAAGAGTGCATTATGGTATATCCTTATATGAAGTATTGGCCATTTAAATCCTGGAGCTAAAAAATATGAACTGTAGTCTATACTGAACCCTTATGGATAAATCGGACAATGTGCCTAGGTTATAGGCGGTTCCGCTAAGTGGCAAGTTGCAGGCAAGTTACGGTTCTAAACATACAAAAGGTCCTAGACATTCGCTCGCTATCTCATGCACTGTTTGTTCACTAATCCAGCAATCCCGCTCAATTGCCCCGACGGTCATTCAAAATGTGCAGCATGACCCAATAGCCATTATCGACGTGGATGTGCGTGTCTCGACGGGTCACGAAGGGTTTGGCTCGATTGCCATGTGGTAATTTTCGGGGGGAAATTTCCCTCCTTCTTGAATATTGCATATATATTTTAGGGGCTACAATGCTTGATGAAATTCCTGGAACTCGTATTCGGAGACATGAGTATCCACGGACCCTCTAGTTCAATTCCTCCCCCTTTCTGGCCAACTTTTGAAGTCTAAGCGCGGCGCTCTCATGATCCAGACGCCTCAGGCGCTTTGACAGATCGACTACCGATTCCGGCACATGGTCTAGTTCCTGAATTTGAGAAATGCGCATGTTGCTGACAGCCTCCGCCAGATCGATACGCTGAGCAGCCGGAAAGCCTCGAGGAGCGTTCAAATCGTACGGAGAGACGGTATTCGTCGGACTGATCTCCACGCCGTCGAAGACGTGCTTTGGACCAGCGCTTTCCTGGAGTGCCTCCGTGTCAGCTAGTCGTGGGACATGCACGGGTCGTAGGACGGGGGTCCGTGGGAGGTATCCAACGACCGGATGGTGCTGGCTTTGCACATGCAGAGGATGCACAATTAGCGCTGGAGTCGGCGGTTGTGGTACGTTCGACAGTGTCGACGCTGACCAGTCGTGTCTGCACGGAGCGCTGGCAAGATGTTCAGGGCAGGCATTCTCGAGGCCGTAGAGTTGTGGAGCGCTGTGCCGCCACTGTCGTTGCTGGAGGGCTTGCATCTGCAGGGTTATAGCCGCCAGACGGTCCCCGAAGGCTGCCAAGTTCCTCGCGCACCGGTTGAGTCGGGACCGTCGCTTTCGGATGCTTTTCTTCAGAGAAGTGATAGAGACTGGGGTAGAAGTGTTGGGGCGGCCCGAGAATTCATCCTCTCGAACCTCCTCAAGCTTGCTTTCATTCCTACGGATCTCAGACGTCAGTTTTCGGTGAAGTGCCCTTGCAGCGTCTATTCGTTCGCGTATGTAATCCGCTTCCTGGCGGATATGGGAATGCGGAGCTGTGGCTAGGGTGGGTACTATGCCCGCACCGAAGGGCATGAGATCTCGGCGAGAAATCATTTCGGCGACGAGGTGGAACTTGTACTCCAGTCGATGGAAGGGAAGGACTGCAAGTGGACGCGGCCATCGTCTTCCAGATACGGCTTCTGGCCGGTTTTGTGCACTTGAAAGTCTTAGTCTCTTTGTCCTGGTACAAAGAAATAAGTCGACCAATCAGACCTGGTGCAATAAAGATATCGTGGGGATTGTCGAGTCCTGCGAAAGAATGAAGCTTTGACCACCTGGCAGTCGTCGAATGCATTGTGATGCCTCGATGGCGGCTTTGATGGCGTGTCACTGTCAAGCATGGACCACCTGAATCACGGCTCAAATTAGGAGAGTAAAGTAATGTATGGGACGTCGTAGAGCGGGGAGGTTGTGATGTGCGGCTGGAGGTAGTATGCTCCTCATACACGATGTGATCCACTTGGTCGGACCATTACTTTCGGACCAGGAATGCTATTGCTGGGTCATGCTTCTGCTGCGACCTGACCTGACCGGGCTGGACAATGATGTGAACCATGCAGAAAGAAGTCCCCTCATCAGCCCTCAGGATGGATGCCGTAAAGCGGAGTCCGATCTGCTTTCTATTTCGGTGTCGGACGACGAGTAGCACACGCCGTAGTACGATATACTCTGACCTCCATGGTCTCTCTAATGAATACTACGTGAACTACCTAGCTATGCAGGAGCCCGGTCAGGAGAAAGCGGACCTCACACGGAACGGGTTATGTAAAGTTGATATAAGCATATTTCTGGCCACCAACAGTTATCAAGCGGGTCACCGTTAGTGTCTGAAAGGTTCCCACAAAATAAGCCAGCACCATCATAGTGTGATCTTCGTCTATACTAACTCTAACTCTAAAAGCCCTGGTCGAAGGACTGAGACCCACCTTTATAGTCGACCTGGAGACTTTCAGCTAGCGATGAAGTCTACTTAGGAGGTCCTACACGCGGTCTTGGGCAGGCCAGGTCACGAGTCACCAAAAGGAGACTCACCACGTTCATTCGACAATTCGACAACTCGAGGGAGCGCAAGGAGAGCCCAGCCTGGTCACGATATGTTACGTGACATACTGTTTTGGCTCGGTTGGCCCGGAGGCCCAGGGCTCCGAGGGCGCAGGGCACGAAGAGCGCGCAGAGCGCTCAGGGCACCAGGGGGATATCTTCCCTCATTATCAGCCGGTATAGACACACTCTCTCGTAGCCATCTCGTGTCAAGTATGTACTCATACCAACCTTTGAAAGTACTTATCCAGTTCGTACCAAGCCGTCTGCTGTACCCTGTCTTGTTCCCGTACATGTATCCTCCATACCCCTTCATAGAGCCTTGTGGCTGGAGACCTGACCTTCACTGGTCAGCCGAAAGGAGCAGCGCCGACAGGAGGTTCTCCGAAACGTCAGAACCAATAACGCCCTGGACCTGTAACCTTGACAGAGCGTCCCTGCCACCATCACCTCGATCATCCTCGTCTACTCCATGGAGAGAGTTGCCAGTCAGCAATACTCGGGTGTACGTGGCCTAGCAGCTGTTCTGAGATTGCTTGAGTGGTAATTGTTCCCAAAACTGCGCAGAGCTTCGAGCACTGTTGGTTCCCATTCGTGGGAGAATGGCACCAAGCCAAGGTGTACACAGGACCCTGCTTCTATTGAGTCAGCGCGACTCTCGACGTTCTTTCCGTGACAGAATTTCCTTGCCTCGTGCCGCGATTCTCTCGAATTGGTGCTAGTCGTACCATGAGAGGTTGTGGCGGAACGGAGTTATGACTTTGACATTCTTGAAAGTAAGATATCAGCCGCCCGCAAAATCACTCATCGCAATACGCCGGAACCTCTTCAGATATTGAACCCGCCATGTCTGGCCGCTTCTGCAAATCTCCAGAGTCCAGCGTCCTTTGCTGCCTTCTGCACGACACCGACCTCGTCGAGCTTGACGGGTCGATTGATCTCACTGTATCGTTTCTCGCCACCCCGCTCGCCCTTTGACCCTCTCCTCTCCTTTCCAACATGAGCAGTCGGGAAATACTGCTCCATGATGTTCACAAAGACATCCTTGCCCAACGTGCCCGCGAGCCAGTTCATGATCTGAACACCCTCGTCTTCCTTGCCCGGCATCACAAGGTGCCGCACAAGCACACCCTTTTTGGCGATTCCGTCTGCCGTAAAACACAGATCGCCAACCTGCCTATACATCTCGGTAATACTCTCCCTTGCCGCATCGGCATACGCATCCGCCTTCAAAAGCCTCTTACTCGTGGCATTTTTCCAAACCTTGAAATCCGGCAGGTAGATATCCACCAGCCCGTCCATGAGCTTCAAGCTCTCGAGACTGTCGAATGCGCTTGTATTATACACGATCGGCACGTTCAAGCCCATCTCTCTCGCGTGTAATATCGACAATGCAACCTGCGGAACCACATGCTCAGGGGTGACAAAGTTGATGTTATGTACACCGCCCACTTCCTGGAGTTTGACCATCCACTCGGCCAGTTCCTCTGGTGTCAAATCGAAGCCCACCTTTTGATGCGCGATGTCGTGATTCTGGCAGAAGACACAGCGCAGATTACAACCACTGAAGAACACGCTCCCGCTGCCGTTGTGGCCTTGAAGGCAGGGTTCCTCGCCAAAATGAGGTGCAATGGTTGATACCTTGACGGTTTCCGCGCCAATCAGGCAGTGGCCCGTGGTTTCGTAGCGGTTGACGTTGCACAAGCGCGGGCAGAGATTACATTGTCGGAGATGCGCGTAGGCAGCGGAGCGCTTTTTCGCGGCATCGGCGGAGGAGAGGAAGTGGTAGCGGGGAATATAGTTGTCGAGGAGGAAGGGCGGGGCGAGGTGCAGAGCTCGTCGAGGTGCACACAAGCCCCGCCGCACGACTGCGGGTTTAACGAGGAAGGATTTGAACATCTCCACGAGATGGACAGGACCCTCCCATCCTCGTTTTCCGCCGGCGTGAATCGTATGTTTGCAGTGGTTAGCGAGAGGGACAAACAGACGGAGGGGAAGATCAGAGGAAAGCAGTTTTCTGACTAGCGAGACCGGTGCAATGATTCAAAAATAGTATGATGTCATCCGCCCCCCCCCCCCCCCCCCCCCCCCCCCCCCCCCCCCAAAACGGGCAATGGATCGCACTGTGGCACGTTCACCAAGTCAATTCTCCAAATCGGGCTTCAAAAGTCCACATAATCCGCATACACCTCCAGGTTGTGCTTGATTGCATGCGGTGGGCCAGGGAGCTCCAGGCCATATTTCATGAGCTCCTCCGCCGTCAGCAACTCCCTTGTCTCTCTCTCACCACCGCCTCCCTCATAATGCGGCCCATAATCGCCGTCCCCATCACCCTTCTCCTCATCATCCGCTCTTACACTCGCCGGTCGCTCACCATCCCCGGCATCCTCACCGCAGCCCTCACGGCAACGATCCACGCCTCGCATCCATCGGCCCTCCCATTCACTCTGCTCTGCGTCTTCTTCCTCCTCGGCACCACCGCCACCAAAGTAAAGCATGAGGTGAAAGCCAAGCTCACCTTATCGAGTAGCGGCAGTTCTGGGGGAGAGGGACCACGGACAAGCATCCAGGTATTGGCGAATAGTGGGTGTGCGAGCATCCTGTGCGCCGTGCATCTCTGGCTTTACGGGGGCGGCGACGTGCCCGCGTGGGTCAGCGGCGGCAGCAAGAAAGCTAATATACCAGATGTTTTGTTATTTGGGATTATGGCCAATTATGCGGCGGTCACGGCGGACACTCTGTCGAGTGAATTGGGGATCTTGTCAAAATCTCAGCCGGTTTTGATCACGCATCCGTGGCGGGTTGTTCCAAAGGGGACAAACGGCGGCGTCACGCTGGCAGGATTGCTTGCAGGCGTGGGTGGTGGTTCTGCCGTTGCGGCGACGAGCATCTTGTTCCTCACTTCTGCGGGGTCAAACCTGAATATCGTCGGGACGTTTCTGGTGCTTACGGCCCTAGGTGCGATCGGGACTCTCCTCGACTCGCTCTTTGGTGCTGTACTGCAAGCATCAGTTGTTGACCGCCGTACGGGCAAGATTATTGAAGGCGCAGGCGGAGTGCGGGTCCTCGTCAAGTCAAAGTCGAAGCCTCATACGCAGTCGCAGGAGCATGCCAGAAAAGACAGTGGTGAAGAGAGCCGGCTTGTCAATACTGGCGCCGACATTCTGGACAACAACCAGATCAACCTACTCATGGCGTCCATCGTGAGTATTACGGGCATGGCTGTGGGAAATCTGTTATAGACATAGAATGGAGCTGGCAAACGCGAACAAGAAGTTCAATGATCAGTCATGGTGATATTAGATTGGTCTTTTCTTTTTCGTCAACCGAGGCGTCATGCCTATATTGTTACCATTATTCGCCGGATATCTGTGGTCCGCGTAGATTTCCTTCGTGTATTCCGTCCATCCAGGGAGGGCTCTTTTCCCTTTGAGCAAACTCCATCTAACCAAATCGTAAGTTTTGTGCGGGTATCATGATCGTAGCAGAATCCAAGCCCAAGTTCTTTCCCAATCAAGCGCTGATTTTCCACCAACACCAACACCAATTCTTCCAGCTGTCGTTTGCTTTGAGCCTTAGATAACAAGCAAGAGAAGAAGCATAGCAAGCAAAGTCAACCCAGCGAGGCCAGAGACAGAGACATGAGCCTGGGTTGATGCATTATTGTCCAGTGCTGCGGACTGTGTTGCAGACGCGGTGGCGGATGTTGATCTTGACACAGTCCTCGCTGTCTGTGTCGAGTGCGACACGGCCGTGGTAGGGACGATGGTGGTCGACTTCAGACCAACCCCGCCGGGTCCAAACGAAACCGACGAGTGACCGGAGCCCAGGCTCGTTATCACTTGAGGAGCATTCGGCCCTATGCGGTAAGTCGTGCCGCTGATAACTGCTTCAGTGCCACCGACGGAGAACGTTAAGCCTTCGGCGGTAACAACCACAAACGGTGAGCCGCCTGGCGCAAGGGTAGTGCTGGCCAGCCCGACTCCCAATGGACCGAATGACACTGTCACATGCTCGCGGCCAAGGGTGGCAGTCACTTCAGGCGCATTTGAGCCAACACGGTAGGTGGTCCCACCAACAATAGCCACAGTGCTCCCGACTGAAAAAGTCAGACCCTCCGTTGTGTATATCACAAAAGGCGCGGCCGTTACGCCACCAGGAGCTACAGTTGTGCTGGGTAGTCCAACCCCGCCGGCGCCAACCGAGATGCGCGTCCCTTCGACAGTGACGGTAGTGGCTGGCGCGCCTGATCCAATTCTGTATGTCGTTCCAGATATGATCGCCGCTGTGGGTCCAACGGTAAGTGTCAAGTCACCCACGGTCGTGGTAATCGTGCCCGTGGCCACGGGAGTCACCAATTGCTCTCGTTGAGCCTGGACCAGCGTGATGGTGGCAGAAGGAGCCACGATCTGAGAAGGCTGAAGAGTAAAAACGACACCAGAAACCTGTACCGTAGTAGGTGCCAGATTGGGAATCGCGAAGGTTTGACTACCGATTGCCACGCTGTTGGACGGCAAAACGACAACAGGTACGCCGCCGAGCGAGGTTGTCAGAGGTGTGGCGGCGGGCCCCGGGACAGCAGTAGCTGGCGAAGGAGCTATGAAGGGTGAATTGATGATCGAAGCAATGATGTTACCGAGGCCTAGTGTTGTTGGTGTGTCGGTGTTGACCACTAGTGACCCTCCAGTCGAACCTGGACTTTGAATAGAAGCGAAGGCATCGGGCGAGAAAGATGCAGTGTTTCCACTGCCACCATTGCTCGCACCACTACCGCCGCCAGAATTACCCTTGTTGCTTCCATCATTGCCAGGCTGATTGTTGTTACTGCCACCACTGCTGCCCCCGTTGTTGTTGCCCCCGCCATTGCTACTGCCACCACTGCTGTCCCCATTGTTGTTGCTGCCGCCATTGTTACCGCTGGAGCCATCATTAGTACCACCGCCACTATTCGGGGAGGGAGTCGGGGTCTGAGTGGGGAAGTTGAAATTAATGTCCAGTGAGCTCGTCGGTGGCACGACCACAGTCACTGGTGTCTTTTTGGTGACAACAACAGTGCTAGTATAATCGACACTAGAATAGACCTCGGACGAAGATGCGGGCGCCGGGGCTCCGAACGGAGAGTCCGGAGGAGCTGAAACAATCGCAGGTGTCGCGTTAGGTGACATCAAAGGCCTCGATGCGCTCGCGACCAGCGGAACCTTCGGATTCGTGTTGGTTGAGGCGATGGTGCTCATAAGAGGAATGAAAGACTGGTCCATGGGCATAATCGTCGCTGAGCAGGCTGGTAAAGGAGTGATCAGTGTAGGGGTATCCGTCACGGAAACATTACTGGCGGTCACAGTGACATCAAAGCCTTCTGTGACAGTAACATAGACAGTAGGAGGTACCGTACCATAGTACGTGACCGAGCCAGTGCAGGTGGCTAAAGGCGTCGTGGCGTTCAGATCGATAGATGTTGAATAGTTCGTGAAAATGCCTGTAAACGATGGTAATCTTGGTGGAGTCTTCATTGGGGGCCGGCTCGAAATGGTAAATTCCGACAAGTTGGTTGTGATGTCGGCGTCGCTGAAGGTTAGTGTAGATGCCAAGGGAATTGAGATGCCGACGGAGCTAGGGGAACAGTCTGGGTCTTTCGAATCGCATTCCGATGAAGGCAGTGGTGGAGTGGTGATTCGAGGACCGAAGTCTGTGCTAGGCCCAGCTATTGGCGAACCGGAGCTGGAGAAAGTCGGACGAGAGTCGCCATGGTCGATATCCGCCGGGGGAAGCGGTGGAGAAATCGCTGAAGGACTCGAAATCGAGCCGGAGAAAGCTGAGTCATATGGGTCGCTTGGATCGTCGCCTGACGGCAGAAGTTGAGAAGGAACGATTGAAGGGCCCGAGGCTGAGGTGGTTGTACCTGCGAAGGGCGTGGTGCTGGAAGTGACTGTTGGTACCGTGGAGGACCATGTTGTACTGGAGAGGATCGTGTCGCTTGGATAACTGAGACCGAATAGTGAGGGAGGGTTTGGTGGTGGCAATATCGAGGGACTTGGAATTGTGCTCAATGGAACGGTCGATGAGGCAATTGGCCCACTGCTGGGCGAAGTCACTGCCGAGACTGCTGAGGTCGATGCGAAACTGGTCGAATCGGTCGTTGTCAATGAGGCGACGTCCAACTGTGAAAATGTTCCATTCGAGTAGGGCAGATCTCTGTGCATGAATCTGAGCGGCACCACCTTGTCTGAGGTGTCTAGACCCAAGGCAGTCGACAGTCTAGCGGCTAGCAGAACGAGCGACAAAGTTGTATGCATCTTGCCCGGGAACAATGTGCCTCCTCTTGCATCCATCAAATCTTAGCGAATGTTATTCCAATGCTGGATAGTAACGAATGACTGTGCGGAAATATAGCTGAATAGAAGCCTCTCAACCCCTCATAGCAACGAATAGGGAGTGACAAAGACTGGCGAAGTCACCGCCTGTCTGGTATTCAGAGCCCAACCGTGGTGGTGAATTGGTCGCGAACGTCCGAGATTCGACAGGCATGGAGGTAGATTTGAAGTTTGCGGATACACAAGGCCTCATGTATACGGCGTCTTCAGCATGGCTCCACTGGCAGATCGTTGACAAGTGCTGTGCAACGATCGAAACGAAGGACAAGGCCAGCAATAATGTGGACGTTGGCGACTGATGCGGGCGAGCGCAGAGGGCTGAAGTCTGTGGAAGGAAGCCAAAGGCGTGGCCGAAGACAGAGGCACAAGAGGCGGAGATGGAGAAACGAGGGAACTGCAAGGGTCAAACCCGTGACAGGCTCTCGCAGCCAGTCGTTTGTAGCCTTGGGCGAGCTCAGTGGCTCCGTTCCAGGCTTCCAAAGCTTGCAGACCTGGGACCGCTGGGCGTCGTTGGCCCTGCCAGCCTGGTTAGCTTTCGGGCTCTTCGTCATTAGTTTGGCCCCAGCCATCGTGCGATGCGTGCCAAAGCCCTTTGTGGACGTGACGATTGGCTGAATGTCGGATTGAACGGCAGCCACAATCGGCAGGTTCAATGCCTATCGATGAGCAAGCGACAGGGCCTCCCAGTTAGCTTGTGCCGGGAAATTTCTCTGAGCGAAGAACCCTGCAAGTAACAGCCTCCCCGGCCCGCCAGCCCGCCAGAGAGCCCTTCTTTGTTTGGGGAAGGGGCCTTTCGGAGCTCGCTACACGACAGAGTCGCTGATGGCTGCTCACTGGCGATGAGTTCGACCGCCATCAAATCAGACCTACTCATCTGCAGACTTACTTAACCAAAGAACTATAGAGCCTTAGTGCCCGGTGGGATCAACCCCAGTCTTAATTTGCTGTGCATCATGACAATCCGGCCATGTCCAGTATGCGAGCAGCATTTCCTACACGCAACCCTATCCTGAGACACGCCGCTGTCCCAGCAATCTTCCATATACGAAAGGTACACCGTACATTGTCTTGCTGTCCTTTGTTATTGCAATCGTTCTCCTCAATCGGTCTTCGGTTCTTCATCAATTGTTACACAACGTCTAATACAACGGACGCAACCAGGAATCCGGACCTCTGCGTATGCCGACCGGAAGGGAAGTGCCACATGTTCCTGGGTGAAAACAGACGTTGATCCCCACTCTGGCGGCCTTGTGGCATCACCACTTAATCATCCTGCTCGTGTTCGGGTCAAACACTGACAGATGTCGCACCAGGACCTCCTCGTGCGACAGGAGACATGATCATAAGGCTCTTTCGGGATCTCCGTCCATATCATGTCGGGGACGCAGCTAGCCGTCTAGAGGTCCCCGAGAGAGGGATACATTGGTGTCACGAATAATGCCACCCTCTCTGCTTGGGGGCCGAACCGGCCATAGCAGTAGAGTAGGGACAGTTGTACATATTGTAGTACTGCGTGCATCTTCCAGGCACGTCACTTCAAGTCAGGTTTGCAGAATTTGTGCAGAAGCAGATAATCTCGTCGCCGATTTGACACGCTGTGCACAATACTATGGTCTTCCCATGAAGTCGTCTACCGAAATGGGATATGTGGTCCCTCGCCGCTTCACACAGCCAGTACAACCATACAGTTAGACGCATGTGGATGCATGGTAAACATGTTAGTGAGTTCAATTGTGTGCAAAAGGCAGTGCTGCTGCTTGCAACTTGCATTAGATTCAGTGTGTGTTTCAATCGACGACTTCAAGGGTAGACCGTAGTACACTTGACTCTTAACTCGGAGCGTGTGATCGAAAACAATTGACCTGGAGAAGACCCTTGGAGGTACTCCGTACTCGTACGTACTTTAGACTGCGTCGCGCACGTGCCAACATTGAAAGGAGGAGCCCGAGCAGTTTGCGCAAGCCAAGACAACCGTCTCGGATGGCTTTGACTTTTCTTAGTTTACCGAAAGTGCTGCGGAAGGTCGCATTTGGTGGCACAGCGTCCAAAGTTCGCACTTAGTCTGTCATCGGAAGTTCTGTTGCTTTGACGTGGGAAAGCATACCTGGGGTTCACAGAGTTCCCCGGCTCTCTGTTATGTACTACTGCAGGTTCGAGTTTTCCAAGGGAGTAATATACCCGGGTAGCAATCAATGGTTTCCGATACGAGTACTCCCAGCCAGAGGGAACGTCACGGTGGTACTCTTGTGCGTCGTGCGAGGTGCATACGAGTGCTATGCCCAGTACGGAATGCCTTTCTCCGCCTTAATGAGGTGGGCACGCTTGAAACGTCCCCATCAGAGACACTGACAGGCGAATAAGGTCCAGCTCGCTCGCTGATTTGCGGGCGGCGAAGCTACTCCAGGTAAACTTGGGCCTTTCAGGCTTGGTCTCAATTTTGTTCGGCTTCCTACGAGGTGCCTGTAGGCTCCCCCACCCGCGACTCTGCAGCCGCAACGCACTCTCAGGGAGTGTCTCTTCGCTGCATCGTTGGCAGAGACGTCGTGGTTCACGTTCATACACGTCCTTGTCACGTCTATCGTTCCCGGTTGCATTTGCAGTCCACTCGCTAAATCAACCTGTCTGTATGAACCTCTTTCGGCATCATCGTCTTAAAGCATATCCCTCGAACGCGTCAAGTCTATCTCTAGACGTCGATCAAATTACACCTCGAACAACTATGCCCGCGTTCCGCACATCTGCTTCCCTGGCATGACGTGCTCGACACAACCCGGCGGCATCAAGCCTGCCTCACACTCTTTCCGCAGCAATCGTCTGATAGCGCTGGTAGTCCTATTCTCTCTGATCTCAATTGGGGCTGGGGAACCTTCACCCATCGTTGCGACAACCAGCACGGATTTCTTTGGTTACGATGGTCTGTGGTCGGCTGTCAGCATCAGAGTTGGATCGCCCGAACAATATGTTTATGTTCTTCCGAGTACACTGAGTCAGGAGACGTGGGTGGTAGGGCCGGCTGGCTGTGACGGAACCACAATCTGCGAGAACAAAAGAGGAGGCCTGTTTGCCGCGAATGAGTCAGAGTCATTCATACCTGAGGGGTTGTACGAACTCAACTACAATCCTCAACTGGGCAATGCCGGCCTTGGATACTATGGTCTGGACGCGGTGTCCTTGGACGATACGACTTCGGTGCCTGACCAAATCGTGGCCGTGGTCAATTCTACAGCATATTGGATAGGAAGCCTGGGCCTTGGTGTTCAAAACACTCGATTCAGTGGCTCCGAGAACATCTCGCCACTCTTGTCGAGCCTGATCGAGAAACGCGACGACATTCCCAGCCGTAGTTATGGCTATACTGCAGGGGCATCCTACCGTAAGTGCTCCTTGTTCGTGAGCAACAGTTTGCTAATGAAGATGCTTAGGTCTGAAGGGTGTGCCGGCTTCTTTGACGTTGGGAGGAGTTGATGCAAATCGATTCGTGCCCAATGGAATGAGCTTCTCGTTGAGCCAGGATTACGCTCCCGTCGTTGCTATCAATTCCATATCACTCTCGTCAGGCGCAGAGTCTTTACCCACAAACTGGAATTCTAACCCCCAGGCTCTTCTGGATCCCTCTCAAGCCGACCTGTTCACCATCGACTCCTCCACTCCATTTCTGTGGCTCCCCGAGCAAGCCTGCGATGCCTTTGCTAACTCCTTGAACCTTACCTACGACGAAACCCTTCAGACCTACCTCTTTCCGACCGATAGTTCCTCTTCACCTGAAGCACTCAGTGCATGGAATCTGACCTTCACATTCACTCTCAGCAACTTGCCTGGTTCCTCAAGCCAGATTCAACTCAGTTTACCTTACGATGCCTTCAATCTTCAACTCATATATCCCTTTCCTAACCTCGCCGCCAATTTCACTTCGGCGCCCACCAACTATTTTCCGCTGCGAAAAGCGGCTAATTCGACACAATATACGATTGGGAGAGCTTTTCTGCAAGAGGCCTACCTGATAGTCGATTACGAACGGAGTAATTTCTCGGTTTCGCAAGCAGTGTTTACCATGGAGGCTGTCAGCAACGTAAATCTCCTTTCGATATCCCGTCCAGTAGGAAGCACATGGCCAGGACCAGAAGGATCTGGTTCCGGAC